CACAACATTCTGTGGGAAGGGGATAGGTGCTCAGACCTATGACCAGCTGCATTAATTTATTTTTCAGTCGTGAGTTGGGTTTCCATCAAAGGTAAATGATTCTAATGCTACTACACACTGAAAGTTAAAATACTGTTGAAGTAATTATTTTTTTTTTGTTTCAACGGCCAAAGCTATTTACTTTTCTTCGATACTAAAATCATTATACGTAAAGTATAAATCATGTGGATTGGTGCATAAATACAGATTTTAATTTCTTATTTTCTGACACAATAGAAGCTGTAATGCTAATCTATGGTATACAAGAACAGCAGTTTTTACCGTAGCACTCAGCTCTTCAAAGAAAATTACAAAAAAAAATTTTTTTCAACCAAATTTTATTCAAAGATAAAAGCCCACGACACTAGCTTTAAAATATCTCATAAAGAGACAATAAGCATAAATAATTGTACAAACATTAATTTTAAAAAGCATTGAGAATAAAACATCTACATATTTTATTGATTAAGAAAAATTGGAAACAAAACATTTTAATTCGTGTAAACTAATATTTAAAAAATACCGTTTGTTTTCATTTCAAACAAAGTGTAAAAAGCTCCTATATTAAAGTAATAAAATCTGTTTTCATCAAGATTAAAATAACGTAACATGTGTTGTAGTTTTAAGGAACTTTAATACCTATAAAAAAATATTTACCAATTTTAAAATAAAATGTGTATATAAATATCAGTAGTATTAGTTGACTGAATTAATTAATATTTTACAAAATTTAAATAAGATTCGTTTGGAAGAAAAGTACAATGATAGTAAACTTAGCGTACAATTTTATAAAATTCAAATAAACTATTTAATGATATATGTGTTAACAAATCTTATTATAAAAGTCACCCCAGACCATCAGACCGACGCTCTAAAATGCAAACACTTCACTCTCAGCTAGTAAGTGGAAACATTTAAATTCATAATAAGAAGGTAAATTTTAGTTTACATTAGTACATACTTTGTAATAAAGCACTTTGCAACTAAAAGCTATACTAAATTATACAATACTACTTGAAAATAATCTATATATATAATAATTCTCTTCTTGGAGACCTTAGAAAACACCAAGCTGTAAGCGCGCCTAACAGTCCCCTCTCTTCCTTTCTAGGCATATTGCTACCACCCCCAACCCCACATGGTCTGGTGAGCTGTGGTTCACGCTAAATGTTTACAATCGTAGAGCCGGTTTAGTGACGGCTATTATGGGCAGATAATTTAGTTTGAAACGATTTTTAACTTAGGGGAGGTAACTAAGAGAAGGCTGTTTTCACGGGGGGGGGGGGGTAGGTTAGGGGAAACGAGGGTTTTAGTGTTTTAACGCAAATATTTTCAGTGGCAGCATTGGTGCTGTCGAATTCACAAATTATGAATTAATAAAAAGTAGAAAATAAAACAACTAAATAGCGGCGTATGATACGCCGCGGGTCGGCTCGTTGTAATTGTTATTTCAGCAAAACCATTATTTATTTTCAATTTTCGTTAAAGATATAAACAAAAGATCGTGTCCCACTTGTGTGTAGATCTAACTGGACTAAGCTTTTGCTAACCGTTAACGTGACGTGGCATTGTTAATCGTCACCCTTAGCCTCGAGACAAAGTGCGGTGCTTAAATATTGCTTTAAGATTATTCAAGGTCTCTTAAAACTACAAGAAGAATTACTTAAATTTATTTAGTAAACGTACATTTTCAAAAAGCAACTTTTGATGCATTTAGAAAAATGTCATCCTGGAACGATACAACAACGCTTCAACTTTTAGGAGCAATTAAGAGTCTTGAGTTTCAAGTTTCTATTGAGTTATCTCAAAAATCATTGCAAATGTACTTCCTACTTCCAAAATATTCCAAACAGAAAATTTTGATCTATCTTCAGCTCTAAAATTGACAGCAGATTTTTTAATCAGAATTTACTACCAAATAAAATAATATCAAAGACATGTGTGATGATTTCTACATAGGTATACTTATTCCACGTCGAGATGGAAAACAAATTCCCAGCTGCAAAAACGGAATTTTTCTAACGATTTTTTAAAATGACATTTACAATTAATATAAACAATATAAACAAAGTATTGTTCATGAAAATCTTATTCATACAAGCCTCAATTTGGTGTATGTGAAGATGTTATTTGGTTCCACTCAACACCTGGATATAGTGACCGTGACAACTTTTTTATCCGTCCATACAAATCTGTTTTCTGCTTGGAACTATGGAGAACTGTCTACGTGTTTTACTTGTATTAAGGGCCTTTATTTGACATTTTATTTGCAGAGCATATCATGTAATAAAAACATTAATGTTGTATCTAAAGTATCATTTAATATGTTCTTTCTTGTTACTAAATTTTAAATGAAAAATTCACATTTAATTATACAATATAATAACTTATACAAAAAAGAAACACAATTGTTCATAAAATATTATTTTTAAAAAATTATAATATAATATATTTCAGTCATATTTTAAAATAATTAATATGGTAAATAATATTTATTTATGATTATTCATTCAAATTGTTATCTATAAATTTTTTTATTTGTTTTTTTTTATTTTAAACTTTTTTTTATTTAAAAAAGCATTTTGATGCAAACAGCATTAATATATAGTAATCAATATTCATTGGTAAAATAATACCAAATGTTTCTATTGTTTTGCAGTAATATTTGGATACTCATCATTCAGATGAATTATCCAAGTTCAAAATGTTGTTTGACCTCATATAAGACCTGTGTTCACTTATATTAAACATGCCATTAACTCTTCTCCGTGAATATCACTGTATTATTATTCATGTCATAAAGACAACTCAGATTCTTGGGTGATTAGAAAAACAATCGAGATAAGCCTTGAGAATTTCCATCAAATTTGTATCGTTAGAAGATGTTTTTTTTATTCTTCGAATTTCGTCAACAATGGATTCAGAACTTTGTAAACTTGTTTTCTCACAATATCTCGAAGAGAACGCTGCAGAATTCCAAACATTTTCATACCCTATAGATCCAGTTATATCAGAATTAGCAGCTGAATTGATTTTTTTTACAGATGTTCGACTTATGTAATTTGCTTGTTTAATACAAGATTGATCGCATTGTGTTTGATGATAAGAAAAAGGATGTATCGCCCATGAAGGTATATACATCCTCTTCTTATACATATTTTTTGACGATATCTGAGTTAAGTAATATGTTTTATTTACTTAAAAATAAATAACATTTTGTCTCTAAACTCGGATTTGGTTTGATAAATCTTTGGACAGCATTTTTTAATGCATAAAATAATTTTTTTTTATTTTTCATTTTCTTAACTGATTTGGAAGTTGACTAAATGTTAACACATTAACAGATCTTAGCGAATTTTAAAATTTATTTTAATATTAATATTCTTGGTTCTTTGCTCAGTTAACATGATCAAAGACAAAATTTGTACGTGCAGCCATCTGGCGATTTATATTTAGTAAATGTCAAATAGTTTATTTTTAGTTTTTTTTTTAAATACTGTCTCTAGCCTTGATTAAAATGTGCTTAATTCTTACAAATAATGTCTTTTCGTTAAGATATTAAAAATGCGAAAAATCTGACCGCATAGCGTCGGCATCTGGAGTATTTTTATTTAACAGAATATTCTTTTCCGCGAATGTGAGTTTTTCAAAACTTCCTGAAAATTTATCAGAGTTTGCTTCAATTTTAAAACTTTCCACAAATGACTTAAGTTCATCGCTCGTTGTCACCTTATTTTTATCTGCAGAGTTGGATTTTTTTCTTCTTTTACTTGATGTTTTACTTACCACATTACCTGCTTTTCTTTTTCGAAACATTTTTGCTGTATTCTTTTTTATGACTTTATTTTTTATCGCATTGTCTGCAACTACGACATCAAACCTGTCGTCAGACAAAGAGCTATATTTAGTGTCTGACAGTTTCTTTACATTGGAATCAACAATGTGTACACGTTTGTCTTCATAGGCTGTACAATTCTGAACTTTACAAGCAGTTGAAGGGCCTGGTGTGTTTGAAATATCAGGTGATCTATGACTGTGTGAAGAAAAAGACACAGCAGGCAAAGTAGATTTCGGACCTGCTTGTTTATTACATGATGGCTGATCTGACTTCCGATTTGACTTGATAGATTTTAGAGACTTCTTTTTATAAGTCTTACGATTGGAAGAACATCTAGCATCTTTATGTTTATTTGACACAAATTTCTTTGTTGAAATATGTCCCGAAACCTTCCGACTAGCACGCGATTCCGCAATGTCCTGTGCATTATTTGTCAACGCAGATAGCTGAGCCTCGTCTGCATGTTTTGTTGTATGATCCGCAAGTTGCTGCTGATTTATGACTTCACGGAGCTTGTCTATGTTTTTCGTTATTTCCTTATACATTGAATGTTTTAATTTGTTTTGATCTATCCGATTTATATCACTGATCAAAGTTTGTAAAGTTATCAATATGTATTTACACATTGACAGCTGAAATAGCTCGACTGTTTTCCCATCATCCCAAAGCCTTGCCTCGTCATCCAGTTCAAACGGAAATCTTTTTTCTTCACGAAGTTTACGGGCCAAAGCTTCGTATTTTTTCTTTAAGTCTTCAACTGTGTCTTTAGATTTCCCTGTAGGATTTCTCCACTGGAGCCCCACCTCACTATCCCACCATTCTGGTTTACTGTCTTCGCTCCATACACCATCTTGACCTTCACCTTTCCCAACGTAAACTCTCGACAAAAGCCTGACACTAGAAATCAGCCATTCTTTACTCGTCTTTAAAGATTTACTTACAGAGGTCAGAGTGTCACGTGACCTGTCAGACAGGTCAAAGTTCAAGTCGTCTCTACAGCTCATGTCAGTTGCTGACAATTGTCTCTTACAATAAAATAAGTTCTACATTGTTAGTAATGGAATATATATATACAAGAAAGAAATAAAAGTTTAATTGATTATATTCTAATCTCAAATCGTGTTTATGCTTTGAATGATTTATCGCTGTCGTCTGCTCCCCTCAAATAAACATGGGGTGGACAGAGAAAGGCACACATGGAGCTTGTCGACTGTTTTGTTATTCTGAATGTCGGTTTGTTTGTTGGCACATTGTCTTCCTCATTGACAAAGCAAAACGTAAATATTGCTATTTGCCTGCTGTATAATTCTTTAGCAACCATTATTTCTCCAAACACTTTTACGAATTCCCCCCGCACAAAAGCTCTTTTAAAGTCTCTATACACTCGATGTTGAACCCACTCACACTTAACACAATCTTTAAACTCCATCTTTAAATTATTCCGAATGTAGCCGGCCATTTTGTTCATCAAAACCTGCGCGACTGAGGTTGTGACGTCATTAATATCATACAACGTAGCTGATTGATAATCTTTTGTGACTTCGGTGCTAATGTATTTCATGTCAACAAACTGTTTCATTATTGTGAATATCTGTTGTTGCTCCTTACCAAATACTTCAGAAGTCAAACTTTCATCATTTTTTTCACATTTTATTTCACTTTTTAATGTGTTAATTATGTAACACGTGACCTTCGTAGCCAAATTTTCAGCACTATTATATAAGTCGAAATAGTTACCGTTCTTCGTTTTGCATGGAGGAAAAATAGCGAACAAAAATCTGGCTTCTAGATTGTTGCACCTGTAGGTAAATAACGTTTGTTGTAAGTCTACATAAAAGGGATAATCCACCACCTTACATATAAAACCACCTTTAACCCTGACTTTTAAATTCTGAATGCAGACCGCCATTTTTTTCATCAAACACTTTGAGGCAGACAAAATGATGTCACTAATGTTATGTGATATTTCTTGTTGTTGGCCATCTTGTGTGTCTTCTTTTGTCTTGTATTTCTTTTCAACGAATTGTTTAATTACTGTAAATATCGCTTCTTTCTCGTCACCAAAAACTTGAGAAGCCAGAATTTCATCAACTTCTTCACAATGTATATCACTTTCTAATTCTTTAATTATGTAATACGTGATTTCTGTAGCCAAACCTTCAGCATTATCTACTAAGTCGGAGTCGTGGTGTAACTTAATATACATCAATCTTTCAGCACCTAGTATCTTATATTTGTTACGAAATAGTTTAATCAAAGCGTGTTTTAGAGGTTTATACAATGGATAATCCATCACCCTACACGTAAAACCATCTTTAAATCTGACTCTTAAATCATTCTGAATGTAGCCCGCCATTTTGTTCAGCAAACATTTTGAGACAGACCCTGTGACATCATTCATGTTATGTGATGTTTCCTGTTGACTGCTATCTTGTGTCTCTTCATTTGTTTCGCCAAAAATAATTTTAATCAATGTAAATACCTCTAATTTCTTGTCACCAAACACTTTATAAGCCAAACTTTCATCAACTTCCTCACACTGTATGTCACTTTGTGACTCTTTAATCATGTAACGCGTGACCTCTGTAGCCAAAACTTCAGCATCATCCACTAAGTCTGAATTTTGTGATGTAGCTAAAGAATACACACTCAAAACATTTTTACCAGCTGAGTAACAATACGGTATATAAAATATTTGAGCTCGAATGTTGTATTTGTCACGAAATATTATTTTCAAAACTTGTTTTAGACGTTTATATTCAGGGTTGTGTGATGGATGTCTCTGATACGAGCCCATTTTTGCTCATCAAAGACTTCGTGACTGTGATTCCCTTAATCTTTTGTGGCCCCAACTGTCTTAAATTTTCGGTCAACCATTTGTTTAGTTAAAGTGAATATCACCTCTTGTCACAAGAAACTTGAGAGGACAAACTTTCATCATCCTGTAAAACAGAGAGTATCTTTATACTAGACTACCCGTTATCTAGTTAGATAACTGTGGGTTTCGGGGGTCATCCATAAAAAACATCACGTTTGTCACTGATCATCACAAAATAACCAGACCCCACATTCAAATAGACGTCACACCTCAGACGTTTTTGTCTTTTAAAAACACCTATTTCGGCTGAGCATGGGTCTGACAACACTATCCCTTTAAATGCTGAGATCACAAAAACAGGTGAACTCTACTTCACCTGCTTAGTGTCGTCGTCGTCGTCGTCGTCCGTCCCCCCCCCCCCCCCCCCACAAAAACAGGTGAACTCTACTTCACCTGCCCCGTGTCCTGCCAAGTCCCGATAGACAAATTTATCATTCTCATCTAAAGAAAAAAAATTACAAAAAAAAATTAATATTTACAAGATGTGTTTCGAACCCGTACCACACACGGTTAGCAATTACACCATCAACTCAACTATCTGGAAAGCTACAATTATAAGCAAATTTAGCGGTATTGAATCCTTGAATGAAACTTAAGTTACGCAAATAGGCCCTAGATCGAGCATTTCAAATTTAATATTATCCCAAATTAGCCTATTCCATAGCTAAACAAACAAAATATGTATATAAAGTAAAATATTAAGGCCTGAAATAGTTTAGTATATCTAGATAGAGCAAGATCTGGAGTTTACGTTAAATCTATAATTTTGCAAAATTAGTGGTATAGAAGCCGCGTATGAATCTTAAATTACGCAAATGGGCCCTAGATCGAGAATTTCCAAATTAGCATATTCCATAACTAAACAAGCAAAGATTTATATAAAATAACTAAGGTCTGAAATAATAGTTTAGTGTATAGATTCTAGGTTCTAGATTTAGAATGTACGTTTATTCTAGATCTAGATGTAGAAATTACGTTGAGTCTAGATTTTACATCTAGAATCTAGATTAGATCTAAAAAATCTAAATTTTAGATAGATCCAGATTCTAGATCAAGATTATAGATCTAGATCTAGAACTTAGATAGATAAATCGGACCTAGATCAAGATCTATGCATTCTCGAATAAGATGATCATTGAAGCTAAACAAACATTTATATAAAATAATTAAGGCCTGAAATAGATTCTAGTTCTAGAATTTACGTTAAGTCTAGTGACCTAGATCTAGATCTGGACTTCTAGATCTAGATTCATAACTTTTTCTTCCTTCAACAGCTGATCTGTAGATCTAGAGAAATTTATTGTAAAAGACAGTTGAAAACTGATATAAGTGTTGGAAAGTAGTAAATACAGCAAACGGACGTATTGTTAAAGTTATAGCCGACGGAAAATTAGCTTTAGAACGCGTTAAACATTGGAATGGGAACACAATCTTCTTCTATTGTTGATGTAAAAAGTAAACAAATCATGTGACGTCACTATTCACTCAAAGTAAAGTCGTTTGTTTTTTCTAAACTTTTAAAGTTAATGTGGTTAATCTACCAATGAATAAATCAATAAATTAATTAACGTCTTTAAATAAATTTGTGATTAACAGTCTGTCTAAAAACAAAAATTGTTCTCTACCTACATACTATTTTACAGGTCTATGCATATGGCAGATTCTCTCCAGCAGCAAATCAGACAAACAAATAAATATTCAAACATGTAAACAAAGTTGAGTTTCAGTAGTATGCAGAGGCGTATCCAGGTTTTCGTTGTAGGGGGAGCGAAAAGAGCAAAAAAAGGCGCCGAATTTTTAACACGTTCTATATACGTGTATTATAATAATTATATATATATATATATATATATATATATATATATATATATATATATATATATATATATATATATATATATATATTTACTAGCCGTATGTCATTACTTCGCTATGATGTAAAATAAATTGAAAGTAGCACTCTGAAGAAATAAAAAAAAAACATACAATGTAGGCCGACAAAACAAAAATTGTATCAATTAAAACAAAACAAAAAATATATACACACACTACAACCAAAAACAATTAACGTAACACAATCTGTTTTGTAATTCTTGTAAAAAAAAATTTCTTACATAATAATTCCTGGGAAATTATTTAAGACAAGTGAAATAGGGGAAATAATCACTCTCTTAATATAAATATGTATATATCTACACATTTAATTATATAAAATGTCAAAACAAATAAATTATTGCTTGAGAATATAATAAAATTGTTTAACACTATTCGTGTTTACAAAATGTTTTTGTCTGTAATCAGAATTTAATATATCGTCATCATAAAGGCTAAAGTATTACAGCATAATGAAAGTTTTTAAAATCAGAGTAGGTATAAAACCACGCTTTTCGATATAATAGAAAAACATTTGGAATAACAGCTTACATTTAACTAAATATCGTTCTTTTTAGTTCAGATCATATATTTTTTATTAACTACTGCTTCTTTGTGTTCTTTAAAGATAATTTTTTAACATAGTGTTAGGTATGGGTTAGATCACTGTATTGATCACACACCTTTTTACTGGTAATTGCAAAAACAATATTCACAGAGTTTTACGTTTAAAAAGCTAATTTTCTGGCGGCATGGTACTTTGGTACATCATTACGCGTTTTTCTACATGTACTTAACAGATCAGTTCGGGGTGGGGGGGGGGGGGGTGGGTTCAACTTCATTCACCACTGTCCGGTCACTTTAGGTCAATTATCCAACCCAGTGTAGACCTAGGTGTGACATTAATGTCGCTCTACACAATTGTGGTGGTGAGGTGTGTGGGGGGGGGGGGGAGGATAACCAACTCAGGGTGAACATAGCGTCAGTTTAGATGACTGTTCTAAACATACATATATATATTACACAAATATATATTACACAAATATATTACAGAAATAGATTTAAATAAGTAGCAGTGGTATTATGACAATATTTTTTTTACCGAGGGGTCCATTGGGGAGGGGGGGGGTTGTAACTGTTTCATATAATTTGTAATCGTAATCACTATCGCCCAAACCTTAAGAATACTACTACTTCATCATGATGACGTTGTTGACCTTGTCAAAATGTCCCCACCACTAAGCAGTTTGCTCATAAGTAAATTTAAATAGAGATGCCACATCAGTTGTATTTGTTTCTGTATTGTGATTTTTTTAAAATTAATCACACGATTCAAACTGTATATATAAAATAATTATGTGTGAAGTTTTATGTATAACATTTTCTAATTCAATTATTCGTAAGCAAATACATTATACAGTTGCCTTAAACTTAACACCCCTCTTGCCAAGTGGTAGGGTAACCCGGGGTAATTCCATACACTACTTTTCTAAAAAATTTGTAAAAAATCTAAAATCAACACTACCACAATATAATATTGAGGGTAAAACTAGACATGCATTACTTATAGGATGGCAAACAAATATAAAGATTATTCACAAAATAAAATACAATTTTTAAATATTTCACTTTTATTGCAAAAACATGGCAAGTGGGGCAATTCCACACACATTATAAAAATTTTAAAATTCATGTATTTAAAAATATGTAAAAAACATTTTTCCCCTACTACCCATAGAGGTTTTTTTTTAAACATTGCAATGCATCGTAATGGTTATTTTTAGAATGGCAAACTGATGCAGCTGTTAATACGTGTTGTAAACGTAGACACTACAAGACTAGTACAATAATGCTTAATTGCTGCATGAAAAGAAATCTTGTGATTTACATAGATGTGCCGACCAAAACTATTTTTTAAACAAATATCATTGTTTAAAACTTTGAGTTTAAAAAGTTTCCAAAAAGGCGCCACTTTGCTGAAAATGGCCAGAGATGGAGCGGCCGCTCCCCCTGCTCCCCCCCTGCGTACGCTATTGGTAGTATGTAGATGAATGAAGTAGTTAGTGTGTCTATATGTGTCTTTGTTTGTGTGTACCAGTGTGCATCTATGTGTGTATATGTTTTTATATGTGTATACGTACGTATGTGTCTATGTCTATGTAAAAACATGTGTTTGTACTTGTGTGTGTATGTCCGTACTTGTATGAATGTCTATGTGTAAGCATGTGTTTGTATATGTATGAGCGTATATGTATGTGTATGTATGTGTGTGTGTGTATGTGAGGTTCTGTGTGAATCAACGAGAGCGTGCAAGCGTATGAGTTCATTCTGTTTATGCGTGTGTTGATTTTATAGAGTGGATTCTTCATACGACAGCTGTGACTTGTACAAGCTATTCAGCTAGCGTTTTGTTTTAATAGAGGGGGGGGGGGTAGGGTGATGACAGTTCAAATTTTCAAGCGTCATAAAACTATAACATTAGAATAAAAGAGAAGATTAAAATGAAAACTACACTATTAAAAACTATTTTATCAAAAGTCTCGACAAAGTAAATATGCCTCAAGCACTTACATTCAATACAAATCTGCAAACCATCAAAGAAAAACACATTTTAGTAACACATTTCTTGCTTTCCTTCCAGCGGAGTGATGTTGCTTCCCTTTTTATAGCCCGCTAAACTAAAGTTCAATCTATAAACCCAGCATGTGCGATGCAGGCTCACAGCTTGCGCGAGTGTGAGCTCTCTTTTCTTTATGAAGTGCTCTCATCCCAGGAATTCCCGATGTGAATTTTCTACTTCCTAAAAATTCATTTTACACGCTTATTAGTCAACAAGTCAACAATAACACTTAAATAAAACTGTGTTAGCGCGCTATTTGTACTAATGCAATAACTAACCTGATTCCTCTCCTCTTGCAATTATTTCTATATACAAGAAAAGAGTGGGTCTCTTTCTAAACATAAGTAAACGTATCCAATAATATTATATATTTGAATATGTATTTTTCTTCTTTTTAGTGCATTATCATATAAAAGGTTGTTATATGCAGTTTTAATTTATGACTGAACGACGGAAATGTTTTAACCGGTTTCAGTTGTTTATCACTTCGTAAAAACTAATTCAAAATGCTGTCATATACAGACTTACTAAGGCTTCGTCATAATGTTGTCCCATCGTAATATTTACCGTTCTCGTTAATAACACATTAAGCAGATGTAGTAGAGTTCATCTGTTTCAATGAACTCACCATATAAGGGATAGTGTGGTCAGCACAATGTCCAGCCACCTAACATGAGTCGGGTACCCATCAGTTGGGTGGACTCGGGTACGTCTTAGAGACTCGAACCCGGTATCCGAACTCAAAACTCTCCGTTAGAAGTCGTTACCTCTACCATCCGACCACACCATTCGTTAATGCTTCCCTATATAGACTATAAAACTAGTTTTAGTTCTGAAGCTAAGTATGCTTAGTAATGTCGGGGCAGTTACAATCTCACTTCTTATAAAGCTTGTTTAGTAAGAGGTTACTATTGCTGTATTTGCAAGTATAGCGAAACTCAGAATTATAAATATCCCAATGTATATGTAAACACTCAATCAAGTTACATTTATCTGTAATTTTCCTGTGAATATATACATATATATATATATATATATATATATATATATATATATATATATATATATATATATATATATGTAGCCTATATATATATATATGTAGCCTATATATATATATATGTAGCCTATATATATATATATATATATATATATATATATATATATATATATATATATATATGTAGCCTATATATATATATATGTAGCCTATATATATATATACATATATATATATATATATATATATATATATATATATATATGTAGCCTATATATATATATATATATATATATATATATATATATGTAGCCTATATATATATATATATATATATATATATATATATATATATATATATATATATATATATATATATATATATATATATATATATATACGTGTGAGTGTATGAGTGTATGTGTGTATCTGTCCGTGTATGTGTGTGTGTTGGTTGGTTGTGTGTGCGTGTATACGCCCTTGTGTATTATTATAAAATAATTTTAGACTACACCACATACACACACGCAGGGCGTGTAGTGAAACGGGTTAACCTGTAGCAGTTGGGCTTCAATGACGTCGCCTATTCTATCGACGAGGTCTCGCTAGGAAAAGGCGGGCTGAACTTTGATCAGCCGTCTGCTATATATTACCTGCAGGGTTAACCCTCGTCTCGTGGCTGGCTGCTGGTCCGGATATAAACACGTCATACAAAGAGGCGGGGACATTTCCAGGAAATCGAGTGGGAAAATCTTTCTCTTAGTTTACTATCAACGTTTGTTGGTGAGTTGGCGCCCTTTGTATACCTTTGAATCATTCTTTAAAAATAACATCGTCACGCTCATATCTTGCTAAAATTGATTCTATTTTTAGACCTGACGTCAGTTAAGTTAACCTAATCAAGTGAAGCTGTAAGCTGTTTCCAATACGAAGTTGTATAAATAAGTTTCGTTGCCATCATAACACAGCCGCCATTACTGTAAAGGGCTTCGGGAAAAAGGTACTTGTACCACTCAACTCTACTTTAACTACAACGTCGATTATCACTGGGTGCAGCGAAAGAAAAAAAAGGTAGGTTTCAGTGTTTCTTCCAGACTTTTTTCTCCGGGGGGGCACTTGAAATTTTCGGGGGAAGGGGGGGTCAACATTTTTCGGGGGGGGGGGGGGCGGACACTAGTAAAAGTGTATGTTTATTATATAAAATCCATCTCGTTCGGGGGGGGGGGGCGGTAGACTCCCCCCCCCCCCCCCCCCCGAAGAGATGCCTGGAAGAAACTGGTAGGTTTTAGTTAAGTAAACCAAGAAGGCCGTATGAGTAGTTCTTTTGATCACACGTCATTGACAATTAATATTTATCATGTTTTCTTTTTTTTAAATTAATAATTAAAAACTTTAAATTTATCTACTAGTTTACATAGTTTATTTTAAAACTCTCTTTTAATCATTAATGTTGATACATATGTATTACTATCATTTAATTAAGATAGATTACCTTGATCTAACATTTGTTTCTTTCTTACCCTCCCCCCCCCCCCCCCCCCCCACCTCCATTTATCAGCATCACTTCACAGTCCCCACCCCCCTTTTCCCCTCCCAGTACGCAAAGATGAGAGCCACACTACAAGCGCCTGAGAACGTGCTACATCTACAACAAACTTGTAACGACAGCCAGCGTCCGTTAAACCATACAGTGTTGAAAACAATGTCAGTCATAAAAATGAGTTTTTTAATAAGCTGCAATGAGCATTTATTTGGATTCCAATTCTATCGAGGGGTGAAATTCAAAAGCGAAATCGTAAAATAACAATAGATCCACAAGTGATATAAACGTATTTTTTACTATATTGTTTATCTAAAAACAATTAGACAAAGTAGACGTGATTCTGTAGTAAAGGTTTATATATACAAGTCATTCTGTGCTGAAGGTTTATTTATAGCAGTGATTTTATGATGAAGGTTCATTTATAGAACACTAAGATGAGCAGTGCTGGCACTTGTCCGTGCCACTTGGACTGGTCAACTGATATTCACGGTGCCAGACGGGAGCCTGTCAACAACGAGAAGGCCTGGCTTATATTCGCAGTGCGTCTGCTGTCTAGAACCGTCGTTGGGAAGGTCAACGGTCAGGAGACGGTGTGGAGCCAGAGGTTTAAGCCGAGCTGGTGGGACCAAGAGGTGGGGCTGGCCTGGAAAAATCCAACCACCAATCCTAAAGACACGAAGCAGGTTTTGATGAAGAAGTTTGAAGCGCTACAGAAACATCTTAAAAATGAAGGGAAATTTCCGGAGGTGTTGGAAGGGGAGTCGAGACTATGGAACGCTGGGAAGTTTTCAGATTTGTTTTTCATGACGTCAGTTCTGGGCGTGCTGGAGAAAACGATTGACCTTCACAGCGCCGTGACCCAGCTGTGTGCCAGGAAAGGTTCGAGAATTTTCCCAGACCTGACTCTGGTTGGTAGCATCAAAAAATGTCTGGCTGCGACGTTGTTAAAGCTGGATCAGCTTGGGACGTCAGACTGTGGTGTAAACAGCAGGACGTTCTCAAAGCTGGGTCAGCTAGGGACGTCATACAATGCTGTATTAGAGAAGCCAGACAGTGTTGTATTAGAGACGTCAAATAGTGGGATATCAAAGACGTCTTGCAGTGATGTATCACTTGCGTCAAACATTGCTGTAAACGGCAGGACTTTCTCAAAACTGAATCAGCTTAGGACGTCAAACAGTGGTGTTTTAGAGACATCTGGCACTGATATATTAAAGACGTCAAACATTGCTGTAAACGATAGGATGTTTTTAAAGCTGGGTCAGCTAGAGACGTCATACAATGCTGTATTAGAGAAGCCAGACAGTGTTGTATTAGAGACGTCAAACCGAGCAGTAAACAGCAGAAAGTTCTCAAGGGTGGTTCAGCTAGAGACGTCATACAATGTTGTAAGGGGCATGACTTTCTCAAAGCTGGGTCAGCCAGGGACGTCTTACGCTGTATTAGTGACATCAGACAGTGCTGTAAATGGAAGTACGTTCCCAAAGTTGGGTCAGCTAGGGACCTCAGACAGTGCTGTAAACGGAAGGACGTTGTCAAAGTTGGGTCAGCTAGGGACGTCAGACAGTGCTGTAAACGGAAGGACGTTGTCAAAGTTGGGTCAGCTAGGGACCTCAGACACTGCTGTAAACGGAAGAACGTTGTCAAAGTTGGGTCAGCTAGGGACCTCAGACAGTGCTGTAAATGGAAGGACGTTGTCAAAGTTGGGTCAGCTACGGACGTCAGACAGTGCTGTAAAGTGCAGGGCTCTAAAAAGACGAAGCTCACAATCATGCGGAAGTTTCAGCGATGTCAGCACTCACAAGACTCAGAAAGTTGACTCGCCAGCAGTTAAAAATCCGCAAGTTGGAAAATCAGAATGCATAGCTAGAAATGGCTTACGACTTTTTTAACTTGTTTGTTTTTCTATACGCTGTATAAGTTTAAAATATTTTTTAACGACGTAATAAACTATTTAATTTTATTCTTTTTTTTTATAATATCTTTGTGTGTGGGGGGGGGGGGGGTGTATCTGTTCTAGATGGGTGATGTGTGTTTAAAATGTAAAATGTCAGCTTGAGACGTGAGATTATCTTGTATTAGAGACAGAGGCGTAGCGAGGGGGGGGGGGCGGGGGGGGACATATGTCCCTGGGCGCCGACCTTAGGGGGGCGCCAAATTGAAAGTTTGAGGGGGGGGGTGCAAATCGAAATTTTTGTCCCCGGGCGCCGGGAGGGGTCGCTACGCCTCTGATTAGAGACGTCATCAGTGCTGTATTAAAGGCGTCAAACAGTGTTGTGAACGGCAGGATGTTCTCAAAGCTGGGTTACCTAGAAACGTCATACAATGCTGTTTTAGTGACGTCAAACAATTATGTATTAGAGACGTTACTCAATGCTATATTAGTGACATCAGATAGTGCTGTTAACTGCGGGGCTCTAAAAAATCCGCAGGTTGGAAAATCTTAATACATAGCTAGAAATGGCTTACGTTTTTGTTAACTTGTTTGTTCTTCTATACGTGGTAGGGACGAGTAAAGTGTATTTTTTAAATATTTTTTAACAATGTAATAAACTATTTCATTTCATCCTTTTTTTACTTTATCTTTGTGTGTGTGGGAGGGGGGTATCAGTTCTAGATGGGTTACGTGTTTAAAATGTAGGACAAAGATTTCTATGGCACACAGAACAACTAAATCATGATACATGGTACAGTAAAAAGTTGTGATGGGAGATAAAATGATCCACCATGTGACGTATTACTTTAATAAACGTTAATCAGGTAACCGTCAGAAAAAGGTTGGACCCAATGGACTTTTGGGTTAGCTGCTGTGAAATGTTGTGTGGTAGGCATGCATTTCGTAAATCTGTAATATGTTACAATATGTTAATCTCATCTGTATGGCTACAGCCCAGTAAATCTCTGATGTGTGCTACAATAAAGTTTTAATCTCTGATGTGTGCTACAGTTCAGTTAATCTCTGATGTGTGCTACAGTTCAGTTAATCTCTGATGTGTGCTACAGTTCAGTTAATCTCTGATGTGTGCTACAGTTCAGTTAATCTCTGATGTGTGCTACAGTTCAGTTAATCTCTGATGTGTGCTACAGTTCAGTTAATCTCTGATGTGTGCTACAATAAAGTTTTAATTTCTGATGTGTGCAACAGTCCAGTTAATCTCTGATGTGTGTTAGTCTAAAGCAAATCGCTGATGTGTGCTACAATAAAGTTTTAATTTCTGATGTGTGCAACAGTCCAGTTAATCTCTGATGTGTGTTAGTCTAAAGCTAATCGCTGATGTGTGCTACAATAAAGTTTTAATCTCTGATGTGTGCAACAGTCCAGTTAATCTCTGATGTGTGCTACAGTTCAGTTAATCTCTGATGTGGGCTACAATAAAGTTTTAATCTATGATGTTTCCCTTTAGGCACCTATCAAGGAGGGGTTTGTGAGGCTACCTTTACCTTTCCATAGAGAGGGAAATACCTGAAAGTAACCTGCTGATAAGTGATACAGACAAGTCAAGCTAACCCATGCTTTGTAGTACAGAGAAGAAAAACCTATACATATTGAAACAACTTTTGTTCACCCATACAACGAGACAAATGTTGGGGGAAAAAATATAGTTTACTCACTAAGTTACAAATTTAAAAATTTTATTCAACATTTGAGAGGATAAAATAATTTCACATTAATTTTACAAATTAGATAATCTTGAACATTTTCATTTAAAAAAAAAAAACAAATATTTTTACATGATTCATAATGTTTAATATTATATTCAACAATATGATTTTTAAAAATTAAGGTGATTTAAAATATAGAAATGATAGGTACATGACACACAAAGGTACAGTGTTTTAAGATTTTATCTTGAATTTAAAAAATAGTATAGATTGGTGGACTGCTATTATTAGCAGGAGAAAAAATTAACAAGCATAACATTAACAAGAAATGTATTTACAAATAATAAAACATTCTCAGCAAGCTGTACATCATGGGTTTTAAAAACAAGAGTTTAATTGTCAGACAATTATGGTTATGTACATGCGGAGAAAACAATACTATTATTTATTTTTTTTACTAAAGTTAAGTTCACATTATAGATATAATGATCCATAGAGCAGATGAAGTTAAGATGTTTTTTTACTTAGGCAAATGACAGAATGATGTGGTCAGCACTATGTTCAGCCGCGTTTATTTTCTCTACCATTAGTCAGGTACCCATTAGTGCTGGATGGACTCGGGGACAACCTACAGACTTGAGTCTCTAAACTTTCAGATTTGCTCAACTACTCTATCACACAGTGTTTACTATGTGAGGTATAGAATATTCTTCTTTTAAATATGTCAATTATGAAAATTTAAAACCTAGGTACATAAAGTTTGCCAGTTGAAAATGGAAATGGATTGGTAAAACACTCAGGAAGCCTGTATCCAGCATAACAAGACAGGCCCTCACCTGGAATTCACAAGGCAAAAAAAATCTATTCACACACAAAAAAATAAGTAACTAAATTGGATTCAGGATTTTCCAAAACGTAACATGTAGTAGCAGTATGGATGGGATGCAACCTTTTCTTATGACGAACTAGGTATTCCTTGAGAGTAAATTTCTTTTGACATACATCACACGGAAATTCTTCTCGTTTCACCGGTATATGTCTACGCTTATGTTCCACTAAGGTACGTATTAGTGGAAACTTTTTATGACAAACATCACATTCAAAATTTCTCTCAGCTGCATGAATTACTAATTTATGACTTTGCAAAGTTCTTACAGAAAGAAAATTTTTATGACAGACATCACACTCATGTAGTATCTCTGGTCGGTTAGGGTTGTGAATTTCTTTATGTCTAATTAATTCTCTTCGAAAATAAAACTTTTTGTTACATACATTGCATTCATACTGAGCATCAAAATGCATTTTTTTATGCCTGTACAAAGTTTCATGCTTAAAAAACATTTTATGACAGATTTTACATTCCAAATGTGGATTTTCTGAGTGTGTTTTTTTAGGATTTAAAAAATTCTTCCGATCAAGAATTGTTTGTGGACATGCTTTATTTTCAAAGACCTCTCCTCTTGTACAACACTTTTTATGTTTAGTTAGATCTGCCTTCTTTAAAAACCTTCTATTGCATCCATCACACTTAATTGGTTTTACTTTTAAGTGACTTAATTTATGTACATTTAAAAGGTACTTTCTGTTAAATTTCCTCTGACATACTTCACACTGATGCTCCATATCTCCTGTATGCATTCGCTTATGCAGTTCTAAATTACATTTTAAATGATACCTCTTTTGACAAACATCACACCCAAATGGTTTCACGCCTGAGTGGTATTGTTTATGTAGTAGGAATGTCCTCAGGTGAAAAAACTTTTGGGGACACTGCTCACACTGATAGGGTTGATTTGTTCCATGCAAATATTTTTTATGTTGTTGTAAATGTTGGCTGAAAACAAACTTTCTTTGACATACATCACATTCAAAAGGTTTCTCTCCGGTGTGAATTACTTTATGTTGCTCTAAAAATCCTTTACGTCCAAACTTCTTTTGGCACACGTCACACTCATAAGGTTTCTCTTTTATATGCGTTTTATTATGATTATACAAGCGATTCCTGTTTTCAAATATTTTATGACACACCTTACACTCAAAAACTTTCTCTTCTGGTTTTTCTTCATCTGGTTTATCAACGGGATGGAATTTTTTTTTATGCTTGGCTAGGGTACTTGTGTATTTAAATTTCTTCTGACACACGTCACACTCGTAAGGTTTGTCTTTTAGATTCAATTCAAGTGTTTTGTCTACTGACTTATTTTCTGCCTCATTTTCTTCAGTGTTTTCTGCTGAATGATCTTTTCCTGAGTGAATTTTGTGCATAGATAAATCTTTCTTCTTTGTAAACTTTTTATGACATACATCACACTCAAATTTGCTTTGGGGGCTGGAGTGAACTTTTATATGTCGCGCATAAGCACATTTTCTAGCAAATTTTCTGCTACACACCTTACACTTAAATGACTTTTCTTCTTCTTCTACATAATCTTCATCAGATGTATCGCTGCTAGATGATGATGATGATGCCGAAGAAGATGAAGAAGAAGATGATGAAGAAGATGATGATGAAGAAGATGATGATGAAGAAGATGATGAATCGTCTTCTTTGGCTTTCTTATTACTTGAAGATTTATGTTTATTAGCCATTCTTGTCAGCTGTTTACTGTTGCTAAATTTAGCACTGAGGAAGAACAATAATGTATTTTAATATCCAAGATATATAAAATCAACATATGCATCTACATAGACATTTAAGAGTGGGACTGGAAAAAAGGGTGGAAAAATAACTTTTCATTTAAGAAATTACATGGCATTGGACAACTAAAAAGCTTTTAACAGGGTTCATGCTCCAAAACTTAAAATAAATTCCATGAATTTTCCAGGAGATTTCCAGGAGTTCAAAATAAATTCCAGGTGATTTTAAAATCACAAGAAACAGTACAAAGGTCGCAGTGAGCTCATTTGAGGTCAGAATATAGTATTAGGCTAATATTTAATTAAAGTAGGCTTAGTGATTTAGTTATGGAAGGAGACAATTTAGTTTTAAGCAAGAATTTTTAAAAATTTTAAATGTATTAATAACATGCTTTTATATCTATATATATAATTCTCTTCATGGACAGACCCTGCTAGACCTTACCACGTAAGCTCAACAGACCATATCGCTACCACCCCCACCCTACCAGTCTGGTGAGCTGTTTACAATTGTACAGCTGGCTCGAATTAGTGATGGCTATTAGAGGCAGATAATTTAGTTTTTAAACAATTTGAAACTAAAGAAGGTAATGATCTTTTCATTGTCTCTTTAAACTGTCATCATGGACGGCTGCTTTCATGGGGGCGGGGGAGAGGAGTGGAAAGTGAGGGTAATCATCCTTCACAAGCTATTGATAGTGTTTTAAAGCAAAATATTTTCAGTCCCAGTACTGGATTGTCGAATTCACAAATTATGAATTACTGAAAAATGGGAAATAAAACAACTAAATAGCGTGGGTCAACAGATAAAATAATTATTTTCATTCATGAGTAACTTTTTAATTTCTGTTGGCCAAATCAATGATAAAATTATTTTTTTTGTTATTTGCATATTTAACTAAAGCAAAAAGTAGATATTTTTTAATGAAAATCATGGATTAGATTAGTATTAGAATAAATACTTTTTTATTTTGTTAAATTATTTTATGCACCTACATAATTGATAAAATTAAGACTTTAAGTCTGCTGGGAAAAGCAAATTCCCAGATGCTATTATTTTATGTAGTTAACATATGAGAACAATATCTTATTCTAGCAATCGCATTTAATGCAACAGCAGAAGGAGGTAGGTTTAGGAAACAGCTATTTTTCATTATTAAGACTTGAGACTATGTTTATTATATCTGCTACATATATGATTTTGTGCACTCTAATAAATAATATTTTTTTAATTAATACAAGACATCATTTTTGGATGTCACAATGCTGCTAATTAGGCTACCATTTGTAAATTAAGAATACAAAAACTTTCAGGGGAAATAACATTTCTGGTTTAATGAGTTATTACTTATGTCTCAACAACAATTTTCAGTCATTCTTTGTCTTGTGTGCTCTGCTTGCAAAAACCTAGGGCATGTGACTATAGGAAAAAAGCCACAAATGTGTATTTACATGGTATTTGTTAATGCATTTTACAATGTTCAACTTTTTGTGACTTTTTTTCCGTGACTTGTTTGTGATTTTTTTTTTCCATAAATTTTTTTTTCAAAGTGACTCCTCGGAAAAAGATTTTTTGCCCCAACGTCTCCACCTAGTCGGCAAAAGATAGTTCTGCGCATGCGCAGTGACCTATGGCCCTATGGCTGGGGTTGGGGCTAGGGTTAGGATAGGATTAGGCATAGGGTTAGGATTAGGGACAGGCGATGATTATAGATACCAGTGTCTGATAATGGAATCATCTTTAAAATAGGGGTGTTGGGTTGTTAGTAGTTAGTATTGTAATCTCGACTAATTTTATGGTTAGAAATTAGAATAATTAGGGTTAGGCGTATGGTTGGACCAGGGTTGGAGTTAGGGTTAGGGACAGGGTTAGCATTGACATTAGCCATCCATGTGTGTATTTAGTTAACTACCAGTAACCTAACACCCTTTTTTTAAAGAAGATTCCATTATCAGACATCAGACACCGGTGAAAGTTGTTAACATTCTCCCAAAATTTTAATAAGTAGGCCTATTTCACATTTTGAGGAGGATTTATGTTTTGAAAAATACAAAAATGTTTCGATCTCCTTGTTTCATTTATGTACCTGTTTTTAAACAATTGAATTAAAATTTTTCAGTAGGCCCTAATAAATGAATACTAGCGATGTTTCCGACAGATGCAACCATGCTCATTTAATATTTACTATGGCAGCCATCTTGTTTATTTTTTTTTATTGTAAACTATAGGGATTCAGGGGAAGCCACTCTAAGTTACAGATGGCCGCTTTTTTACTTTCTCGTATATACGAAGTATAAAGAAAGTATTGTAATCGTGCAAAAAAAATCGAGATTTTTACAAATCTCAACGTTTTACACCTCACTGATACGGAAAAACATAATTTTGCAATCTTGTCCGTATGTCTGTGTGTGTGTGTCTGTCTGTGTGTGTAAACACGATTACTTGAGTACCGTTACAGCTAGGTTGATGAAATTTCATAATTAGGTATTTTATCAAAATCGTAGATCCGTATCAACTTTAGAGCGATTTCCGATAACCGGAAGTGGTACTTTTTCTACTTTGAATTTTTCAAAAGCCTATCACTTGAGTATTATTTCAGATAGATAAATGAAATTTCAAAAGTAAGTAAAAGATCTAATTCTCTACCGTCTATCAAATTTTGAGTAATTTCCGTTGACCGGAAGTACAAATTTACGCTATTTCCGATTTCTCAAAAAACGCATGTAAATTTATAAAGAACTAATAATGTTGCGCACTATTATGCGCTTTTTGCTTTGGCGTTCACTTGGTTCGCAATTCTTTTTCTACTAGATTTTATTCTATTTTTAAAAGTTTAAGTAAACAAAAATCATGTCTATATTCCGAGTTGTCATCGGACGTAGTGTTATATTAGAACTAGCTGCATCCCGTGCTCCGCCACGGTAAATCTTTTTTTAAGTATACCAACTTGGGAACAGAACAAAACAAAACACAACACAAACAAACGAAAAAAAAAAACACAAACGAAAAAACAAACACAACACTCATAACATAAACACAATTTAAATGCAATCATAAAGGCATATTGCTCACAGTATAGCCCGTAGCTCCAAATCGCGCCCTTTCCGAGCGCCGGCGGACGCGTCTGACACAGTGAATGACAACAAAACAGAGGCGTAGCGACCCTTTCCGGCGCCCGGGGACAAACTTTCAATTTGAGCCTCCCTCAAACTTACGATTTGCACCCCCTCCCGTCAAAATTTCAATTTCCACCCCACCCCCTTAAACTTTTGATTTGCATCCCCTTCAGACTTTCGATTTCCACCCCCCCCCCCCCCCCGCAAATTTTTTCCAACCCACTTTGGCGCCCCCTAAGGTCGGCACCCGGGGACATATGCCCCCCCCCCCCTCTCTACGTGTCTCCTATAAAACCCCCAGCTTGTCCGCAAACCGAAAGATAGAATAATAATCAGTAAACAGTATAAATAATCGGCAGTATTTAAAATATCCGTGTTTTACCTACCATATATCACTTTATCAATTCTCACTTTTTTTCCCCAGTACTTTAAATTTTAAAAATTTACAATCGAGTTTCATAACTAAAACCATTGCGCACCTAATGAACGTGATGACACGTCTATAATAGTGCGGAATAGTTGATTAAATAAGTAATCAACTGTACATTCAGTGAATAAAATAAATAAAAGATTGCCTTTTATCAATCCATGCTAATTATAACTTTCTAACAATAATTTCCTCTTACACATCCGCATAATTTGCTATTACATTTTGCTAATTATATTATTGCAACACTAATTCCTTCTATGACGACCGTATATTTGCATTCACATTTTTTTATTAGCGTGAGTTTAATTTTTTTTTTTAAATATTCTCCTTTGTCAAAATTAGAAAAAAAAAGTTAAATTAATTTGATTTTTCTACCGTACTGTTATTATGTTATTAAAATGTATATACTTTTTCTGGGAATATAAACGAAAATGATATTTGACATTGATCTTTTTAATTTGTTTTAGCAATGTGCGGTTATTTAATATTTTCTTTACGTTATGCAAAAAAAGAAAAAACAGTGGCAATTATACAATAGCTCTATGTCGTTATATAAACAAACCCTACTCTATTACTTATAATAAGACACTGCGGTGCACTGAAAAGCACAGCATGGTGCGATGTTTACTTTTATGGTTCAAAAAAGCTCCCTCCCTCCCTCCCTCCCTCCACATGAATTAGGCGGTGATTTTATTATAGAGTATCGATGACATTTCTTTTGAGTTGGGGGGGGGGGGCTTAAACGTTCTTACGCGGGGGATGGGCTTCGCCCATACCCGAAGAATTATATGAAAGAAACTCTTCACGCAAACCACTTTTTAAAATTAGACAAAACTAGACTTACCCGGTCATCCCTTGGATAACTGTGGGTTTCGGGGATCATCCATAAATGACATCACGTCTGTCACATATCACAAAATAACCAGACCCCACATTCAAAAAACACCGATTTCGGACTATCCCTTCATATACTGACGTCACAGGTAACCTACTCAACTCTACTTCACCTGCCCAGTGTCCCGCCAAGTCTCAGACAACATGTGTTTTTATCGTTTAAAAAAAAACGATTCCGGCCGAGCATGTCTCTGACCACACTATCCCTTCATATGCTTACGACAAAGAAACAGGTGAAATCTACTTCACCTGCCCTGTATTATTCACATCTAAAAAAAATTTAAAAAATAACATTGTCTAGAACCCGTACCACCCGCATGAAAGCCTATTACACTATCAACTTAGCTATTAGACTCATTGCGTCAGTGATGGTTTTTAAGGTATAGTTTAATACTTTGAGTCTCCTCATCATGATTTACGCGCATAGATCTAGATGTAAGTCTAATAGCAGTAACTTACAAATTAAATTTATTTTTAAATTAGCCAAATACATAGCTAAACAAACAAAGATTTATATAAAATAATGAAGGACTGAAATTATCTAGATCTAGATTGAATTATCTAGATATAGATTCTACGACTCGTTTGCTTAAGTCTTAAGTCTAGTTTTCGCGTAACTCTTGCTAGATTTAGATTAGACCTACTCTAGATAGATCTAGATCTAGAGAGATAAATCCCAAAGATTTATATCAAGTATTTAATGAATAAACAAGGTAATTAAAAAGTCTAGTGACAATTTTAGCGCAATTTCCTTATGTTATCTAAAAATAGCTCTGTCGTAGCGTAAATCAAGAGCAGGGTTAGTAAAACCATTGGTTAAATAAAATACATGTTTTATTTACAATAGAGTTACATGACTAAAAACCATTGCGCGCCTAGCTACTGAACGTGATGACGCAGCCATTGAACGTGATGGCGCAGCTATTGAACGTGATGACGCGTGTGGTGTGGTTGGAAAAAATGCCTACTAATTCGGTCCAAATTTTAATTAATTCAAAAAAAAATTTGTGACCGAACGAAAGGATATTTTTGAAAACTTTCTTCGGCAATATTGTTCTAAATTATGGCAGGAATCGATTGGTACATGTTTCAAGTCGCTAAGTGGTCTGGTTGCCGAGATATGGGCCAAAAAATGCTTTTTTTTCGAGGTTTTTTTGGCTTTTCCGGGAAATCCATGAAAGAAACCCGGAATTTTTTTTGGCCTATGTTCATCCTCGTAACTTGATTAACATAATTGCTTTTGGAACTAGTCCTCGATATTGCTTCGTTGAGGAGGAGATACGACTTAAAGCTGCGGACACACATCCATCCATCCATCCATCCATCCATCCATCCATCCATTCCCAGAAAAGACGAGTTAGTAAACGCAATTCTCCAGAATGGAAATTGCGTTAAAAAATGTATTATGATTATAAAATGGATTGTATTTTTATCTAATTAATCTTTGGTTTGTATCTAATTAATCTTTTGTTTGACCTAGATTCTAGCATGGGCGTAGCTAGGGGAGGGCGGGGAGGGCGGCCTCCCCGGGCGCCGACCCTAAGGGGGCGCCAAAAGGGGTAGAAAAAAAATTAAAAGCTCATTTTAAGCTGCAATTTTGAATTATAAACAAAGTAAAGAAATTTAACGGCTGAGAGCCTTTGCATACCGATTTAACTGTTTTCTACCTTGATTGTGTAACTGTAAAACTTATATCTTTAAGAAACAGTGACTGGAAAAACCGCTTTCCAGCTTTCCTAGATGGGGATGGGAGGGGGGCGCTTTTTCGAAGACTAAACTAGAATAAATTTACACCGGATTAAGAAATAAATAACCGATATCACTCAGAAAAGAAACCCATTGAACTAAAGCGTATTTTACGATTGTATAACATAAAAAGAGTTAGTGGCGTTTAAAATCCGCTCTACCATTTTTGTCCAAGAGGGTGGGGCGCTTTTTCACTAACAAAAATCGCAGAATTTGTACTGGATCGGTTGCTAGATAACTCTTTTAACACTTATAAAAAAAATCAATTGTATTAACACTTAATGTACGATTTCACTACCCAGTTTTTCTAAGTAATAACGCGACTAGTTCTTTGCAGTGTTTCTTCCAGACTTTTTTCCCCGGCGGGGGGGGGGGGGGGGACACTAGAAATTTTCGGGGGGACGGTAGACTTTCTTCGGAGGGGCGCACACTGTTAAAAGTATATATTTTCTATATAAACTATATAAATTTTATTTCGTTCGGGGGGGGGGGGGGCGGTAGAATTTTTTCGGGGGGGGGGGGACCTTTCCCCCCTCCCCCCGAAGAGATGCCTGGAAGAAACTCTGGTTCTTTGTACGATTTTTACGATTCTCTCAACTTGATCGTGATACATCAGATACTTTACTTGATTGCATTACATCTTGCCTGGATCACTGCATTAAAGAGAAATAAATATAACGGATTCTTGTATCGCTATCCGATCAGTAAAATAGCAGACTGACGGAGCGGGTGGATGGGAAGCAACACTCTTTGCCAAAATTTTAAGACAGAAGAAAATTAGTATATTGTACTGATTATTACTTTGTTCAACCTAACTGATAATTCAAAGTTGCAATACTGGCCTATTATTATCGAAATTGTTCTAAAGACACGACCAAAAGTAGACCAAATAAGGCTTGGACCTTCTACAAAATACACTCTAAAGCAGTGGTTCTTAAATTTTTGGAGAGCCGAACCCCACCAGTTTCATACGCGCAATGGGGGGGGGGGGGGGCGCCAAACTAAAAGATCGCCCCGGGCGCCGGGAGGGGTCGCGACGCCTCTGGATTCTAGATCTAGATCTATAAATAACTTTCTTGGTCACCTGATATTTAGATCTATAAATAACTTTCTTGGACAGATTGTAGAGCTAGAGAAATTTATTGTAAAACTAAATGAAAAAGACAGTTGAAATTTGATATAAGTGTGGGAACGTAATAAATACAGCAAACGGACGTATTGATAAAGTTATAGCCGACAGAAAATTAGCTTTAGAACGCGTTAAACATTGGAATGGGAACACAATCTTCTTCGATAGAAGCCGCCATTTTATTGTACTAAAAAGTAAACAAATAATGTGACGTCACTATTCAGTCAAAATAAAGCTATTGTTTGAAACTTTTAAAATTAATGTGGTTAATCTACCAATGAATAAATCAATAAATTAATTAACGTCTTTAAATAAATTTGTGATTATAAGTCTCTCTGAAAGGAAAAATTGTTCTCTACCTACATACTATTTTACAGGTCTAATACATATGGCAGATTCTCTCCAGTAGTAAATCAGACAAACAAATAAATATTCAAACATGTAAACAAAGTTGAGTTTTAGTAGTATAGAGATTGGCTTTTTAATTCGTTTACTCGAGAGTCAATGACGTCATATTATTGTGTGCACTCTCCCGGCTTTCAACTATTTTCTACTACATGCTCAATGTGACGTCATGTTTCGTTTTACTATGTATGTTTTTATTTTGCTTGTGTTTTCTCTATACTATAGCGTTCTTGTCAGAAAGATACATAGATACACAGATAGACAGACAGGGAAACTATTATTATTATACATAGCAAATACTACTCGCAAACACCGCTGATGTGTGGTACAGTCCAGTTAATCTCTGATGTGTGTTAGTCTAAGTCTACAGCTAATCGCTGATGTGTGCTACAATATAGTTTTAATCTATGATGTGAGCTGCAGTCATCAAGTTATTCCCGGCTATGCAGTGTTTCCCTTAGGCACATATCAAGGAGTGGTTTGTGAGGCTGCCTTTACCTTTCCATAGAGAGGGAAATACCTGAAAGTAACCTGCTGATAAGTGATACAGACAAGTCAAGCTAACCCATGCTTTGTAGTACAGAGAAGAAAAACCTATACATATTGAAACAACTTTTGTTCACCCATACAAAAAAAATATAGTTTACTCACTAAGTTACAAATTTAAAAATTTTATTCAACATTTGAGAGGATAAAATAATTTCACATTAATTTTACAAATTAGATAATCTTGAACATTTTCATTTTAAAAAAAAAATATTTTTTACATGATTCACAATGTTTAATATTGTATTCAACAATATGATTTTTAAAAATTAAGGTGATTTAAAAAGGATAGGTACATGAAACACAAAATTTACAGTGTTTTAAGATTTTATCTTGAATTTAAAAAATAGTAAAGATTGGTGGACTGCTATTATTAGCAGGAGAAAAAATTAACAAGCATAACATTAACAAGAAATGTATTTACAAATAATAAAACATTCTCAGCAAGCTGTACATCATGGGTTTTAAAAACAAGTGTTTAATTGTCACCAATTATGGTTTTGTACATGCGGAGAAAACAATACTATTCTTTATTTTTTTACTAAAATTAAGTTCACATTATATAGATCTAATGATCGATAGGGTAGATGAAGTTAAGATGTTTTTTTACTGAGGCAAATGACGGAATGATGTGGTCAGCACTATGTTCAGCCGCATTTATTTTCTCTACCATTAGTCAGGTACCCATTAGTGCTGGATGGACTCGGGGACAACCTACAGACTTGAGTCTCTAAACTTTCAGATTTGCTCAACTACTTTATCACACAGTGTTTACTATGTGAGGTATAGAATATTCTTCTTTTAAATATGTCAATTATGAAAATTTAAAACCTAGGTACATAAAGTTTGCCAGTTGAAAATGGAAATGGATTGGTAAAACACTCAGGAAGCCTGTATCCAGCATAACAAGACAGGCCCTCACCTGGAATCCACAAGGCAGGAGGAGGAGAGGCAGACCAAGAAAGACTTGGAGACATGACCTGGAAGAAGACACCAAGAAGATTGGATACACCTGGGGACAGTTGGAGAGACTAGCCCAGGAATGAGACGCCTGGAAAGCTCTTGTCGCCGGCCTATGTCCCAGGAGGCACGACAGGCAAACCTAACATAAAGTTTTGGTTCTTTTGTTCCGGAAAGGTTTATTAAAATTGACATTAAAGCAGAATGCTCATAAGCCTTACGGTAAACAATGTCTAACTACTCACACAAAAAATCTATTCACACACAAAAAAATAAGTAACTAAATTGGATTCAGGATTTTCCAAAACGTAACATGTAGTAGCAGTATGGATGGGATGCAACCTTTTCTTATGTCGAACTAGGTATTCCTTGAGAGTAAATTTCTTTTGACATACATCACACGGAAATTCTTCTCGTTTCACCGGTAAATGTCTACGCTTATGTTTCACTAAGGTACGTATTAGTGGAAACTTTTTAAGACAAACATCACATTCAAAATTTCTCTCAACTGCATGAATTACTAATTTATGACTTTGCAAAGTTCTTATAGAAAGAAAATTTTTATGACAGACATCACACTCAAATAGTATCTCTGGTCGGCTAGGGTTGTGAGTTTCTTTATGTCTAATTAATTCTCTTCGAAAATAAAATTTTTTGTTACATACATTGCACTCATACTGAGCATCAGAATGCATTTTTTTATGCCTGTACAAAGTTTCATGCTTAAAAAACATTTTATGACAGATTTTACATTCCAAATGTGGATTTTCTGAGTGTGTTTTTTTAGGATTTAAAAAATTCTGCCGATCAAGAATTGTTTGTGGACATGCTTTATTTTCAAAGACCTCTCCTCTTGTACAACACTTTTTATGTAGAGTTAGATCTCCCTTCTTTAAAAACCTTCTATTGCATCCATCACACTTAATTGGTTTTACTTTTAAGTGACTTAATTTATGTACATTTAAAAGTAACTTTCTGTTAAATTTCCTCTGACATACTTCACACTGATGCTCCATATCACCTGTATGAAGTTGCTTATGCAGATCTAAATTACCTTTTAAATGAAACCTCTTTTGACAAACATCACACTCAAATGGTTTCACGCCTGAGTGGTATTGTTTATGCAGTAGGAATGTCTTCAGGTGAAAAAACTTTTGGGGACACTGCTCACACTGATAGGGTTGATCTGTTCCATGCAAATATTTTTTATGTTGTTGTAAATGTTGGCTGAAAACAAACTTTCTTTGACATACATCACATTCAAAAGGTTTCTCTCCAGTGTGAATCACTTTATGTTGCTCTAAAAATCCTTTACGTCCAAACTTCTTTTGGCACACATCACACTCATAAGGTTTGTCTTTTAGATGTGATTTATTATGATTATACAAGCGTCGCCTGTTTTCAAATTTTTTATGACACACCTTACACTCAAAAACTGTCTCTTCTGGTTTATCTTTAACTGGTTTATCAACGGGATGGAATTTTTTTTTATGCTTGGCTAGGGTACTTGTGTATTTAAATTTCTTCAGACACACATCACACTCGTAAGGTTTGTCTTTTAGATTCAATTCAAGGGGTTTGTCTACTGACTTATTTTCTGCCTCATTTTCTTCAGTGTTTTCTGCTGAATGATCTTTTCCTGAGTGAATTTTGTGCATAGATAAATCTTTCTTCTTTGTAAACTTTTTATGACATACATCACACTCAAATTTGCTTTGGGGGCTGGAGTGAACTTTTATATGTCGCGCATAAGCACATTTTCTAGCAAATTTTCTGCTACACACCTTACACTTAAATGACTTTTCTTCTTCTTCTACATAATCTTCATCAGATGTATCACTGCTAGATGATGATGATGCCGAAGAAGATGAAGAAGATGATGATGAAGAAGATGAAGATGATGAATCGTCTTCTTTGGCTTTCTTATTACTTGAAGATTTATGTTTATTAGCCATTCTTGTCAGCTGTTTACTGTTGCTAAATTTAGCACTGAGGAAGAACAATAATGTATTTTAATATCCAAGATATATAAAATCAACATATGCATCTACATAGACATTTAAGAGTAGGACTGGAAAAAAGGGTGGAAAATTAACTTTTCATTTAAGAAATTACATGGCATTGGGCAACTAAAAAGCTTTTAACAGGGTTCATGCTCCAAAACTTAAAATAAACTCCATGAATTTTCCAGGAGATTTCCAGGAGTTTAAAATAAATTCCAGGTGATTTTAAAATCACAAGAAACAGTACAAAGGTCGCAGTGAGCTAATTTGAGGTCAGAATATATCCTACTAAAATCATTGTTTTTGAAAAAAAAAATTCCCGCCTTTCATCAAAAAATGCTAAATTTTAAATAAAATTGTTTGAAAACTGGTTGGCCAACATATATCTAACAAATAATTAAATATAATTATTTAGACCTAATCCTCTTAGGACTCTTAGGTCATAGTCTTGGCCACTCTTAGGGCGTCTTAGGGCTTAGACATAGATCTAATAATTAGTAATAATTAAATCAATAGGCTTAAAAAAAAAGTATTATCTTAGTTTCTTAGCCTAGAATTTAGAATAATTCCTAAATAAGTAGTAGGCCACTAGTCACTAAATCTATAAATTATTCTATTATTAAATGTAAAAAAAAATAGGGCTACTCTAGCTCTAGCTGGATTAGATCTAGCTAGACTAGAGTCTAGCTTTTTAGCTAGATCTAGGACTCTACTCTAGTTACTAGTAGCTAGACTCTAGGTCTTGTCTTAAGTCAAGTGACTCAAGTTGAAGTTAGGACTAGGAGCCACTAGCTAGTACTAGATCTAGCTAGATCTAGTCTAGTATGTAGCATTAGAACAAAGGTAGATAATTTTCATACAAAAACCTACCTAGAGCTCTTGGCTGATTTTTCAAATTTTGTTTTTACCACTGTCTCTTATTAATTTAAAATTAATATCATATTAATTTCCAATACACAAAGCAACTACATTTTCAAAATCTACTGAGGTTCAGCTATAACCTAATGCAATCACTTTTCATTTTCTTTCATTTTTGCCTATAAATAAATTGATTTGAAAACAATATACGTCCTAAGCTCTAAATCAACTTTATTTTAATATATAAACAGTTGCCTATACACAAAACTATGCAAAATGAGTTAAATAAACCACTTGTGGTTCTTATTTTATAAAGAAATTGTGATAGAATTTTACAAATACATTTTTTATTAATTTTTTAAGATTTGGACCTTTATCGCCCATGTTGTTTATTCCTATAGTATATAATTAGTCCTAGTAAAAATGTAGCCTACATTTTTAAAAATAAAGGGCATAACATCAAACAGAAACAAGCCTGCACAATTATTAATGCAAATTTACAGAAAGGAACCACCCCTGATTCATAATATTAATTTATCATTAGGGGTCATTCATTTATGACGTCCACAATTTTTTAATTTCATTTTTTACAGAGATTAGGCCTTAAGACTTAGATCTACTTAACTTAAGTATAAATAAGTAAGACTCATACATTTTAAACAGAAAAAAATTATTTCTCCTCTCCTATTGAAGCTAGAAATATTAAATATAAATTTGGTACCAATGGAATTCTGGTAATCTATCGTTTTGGGTACGTAAAATCGCCCGCGGCTATTAATGTACAAAAACGTTACCTCATTGTCAAGGCTGTAATAGAAGTATATTGTGATATGTTTGTGTCAAATATTATAGATAAATGAATAATAAACCTAAATCAATGGCTAAATATATCAATATACGCCCGAAATTAACTTTAAACAGCAGTGTCTGCAAGCAAGATTTGCTATATAAACAGCAGCCATTTGTAAAATAGAGTGACTTCCGCCTGAATCTTGCGCTATAAGTCTATAAAAATAAAACTTTAACAAGATGGCTGCTATAGTAAATGAGCATGGTTGCATCTGTTGGAAACATCGCTGGTGTTCATTTATTACTGAAAAGTTTTAATTCAATTGTTTAGAAACAGGTACATAAATGAAACAAGGAAACATTTTTGTATTTTTCAAAACATAAATCCTCCTCAAAATGTGAAATAATTATTAAAATGTAAGGAGTCACCTGTTTTTCACATTACTAGTCGCGGGCGATTTTACGTACCTAAAACGATAGATTACCGGAATTCTTAATCCTTCCTCTAACAGTCTAAAAATAGTAACTAGATCTAGATCTAGGCTAAATAGTAAATTATTTATTAGCCCTAGTATATGAATAAATAATTAGATTCTAGATCTAGATCTAGATCTATATATAATTTCGAAGTGTCTACTCGGAATAAGATTTTTCGGCAAAAGATAGTTCTGCGCATGCGCAGTGACCTATGGCTAGGGTTAGGGCTAGAATGAGGGTTAGGGGTAGGATTAGGGATAGGGTTAGGGATAGGGTTAGGGATAGGATTAGGGCTAGGGTTAGGGATAGGATTAGGGTTAGGGATAGGATTAGGGATAGGGTTAAGGATAGGATTAGGGTTGGTATTAGCCTATTAGGGTTCTGCGGTTGTAAACACACGCATGCGCAGTACCATCGAAAACATCGCCGCTAAGTCGTAGTTTCTCTCCATTGCGCATGCGTATCGCATGCGAATCTTATTCCGACTAGAATCGGCCATATAATTTTTATATATTAAAATAAAATCATAAAAATTAAAATCTGTCTAACAGTCTAACAGTGTCTAAACTCTAAACTTAGATCTAGAACCAATTTGGTTGACTGCAATTTTAAACCGTAGGCCAATAGAAAGCTCGATGGGTGAAAAAAGTTACTGTAATCTTACGTTTAAAAGGGACGAAAACGTCTGCCAGTTTTTTTTAATCAACAGAGTAGAAATTAATAGATCTACTAGGCCTATGGGGTAAGATTTTGATCTACTTTCGATATTGTGCGCATTGTAGCCTAAGATGGCGGACTGAGGCTAAGCGGTGGTTGGTCAGATTTTGACCACCTGATAAGAACGTTGCAAGCTAGATCTAGATCTAGATCTACATTTTTAGACTAGACTCCTTTAGGCCTAGTGAACAGATTCTAGCCTATACTAGAAATAGAATATACGTGTTTTCGTAATTTGTTATATCAAAAAGCACTGGTTTAGAAGTCTAAATTCAAAATATTTTATTGACAATAATGTTGTTTATTTGGATTGTGTAATATTTTGTTCCTTTATCATGTAGACTTAATTTGTTTTATGACAACCCTACTATAAACTATTAGGCCTACTTACTATGCTCATTTTAGAATACTAATCACTATATATTGCCAGTGAGTAGAACATTACCCCCCCCCCCCCCCCCCCGTTAGGGATAATTTGGGGATAGAGTTTATATTTATGCCAATATAGGCTTAATGTTTCGTATAGGGTTTTCTATAGGTTTGGGTATAGGGTTCTTCAGCATAGAGGAGGGCAGTATCTGCTGCGGGGAGGGGTGGGGGGGAAGGCTGGGGAAAATGCCCTAGACCCAGTGGAACCGGGTGACACCATTTAGGGGGGTGACACCAAGGCAAAAAATAGTAAAATATATAGAGAACAACGATAATTCCACTTAATTAAGTGATTAATTCGAGTGTTAAATAGTCTCTTCAGAGGTGCTAATCGAAAGTTTGAGGGGTGGGGGAGCAAATTGAAAGTTTGAGGGGGGGGGTGCACATAGAAAATTGAAAGTTTGTCCCCGGGAAGGGTCGCTACAGCCTCTGGGGGTGACACCATTAAGTGCCGCACCGGGTGACACCCGACCTCGCTACGCCACTGCCTAGACCCATATGGCCTCCAACAAGTAATCTTATTCCTGCATTTTCTTTACCTCTTGTGATTCTAACCGACGGTACTGTCAGTTTATGCATGTCAGAGCACCAGAAAAAGAGTACAGATCACCATATTTGGTGTCCACCCACAGGTTTGCTGTTACTTGAGCATATCATTAACTTCTATTATCACCTTCCAGCTCTCCCATAGGCGAGGACATGGATGGGATTTCCCCTGGCCACCCTGAAAACTGCAATAATACCTTCAACTGTATCAGTGATGTTACCCACCCCTGCTATTAATAAGGGAGACAATTTACTCCATAAAAACAAAGACACTTTTTAAAATAGCATCATTGGATTCGGCATACAAATATCTACAAAATCACATTAAATTATATCAATTGGTGAAGTCTGCTTGCTTTTATACCACTTTTAGTGAAAAACTTAAAAGTTTGGTCCATACCATCCCAGTATTTTTCCTCTTTCAGGGTCTACCCCGTTGTCTGAAAAAAATGCTGTTTTTTTAATGACTAAAAAATTCATAACTTTTTTGTTTATGGTCAGATTTTGAAAATTCAAACTGGTCTGTAATCAGATTGACGGCCCCTATCCAAAATATGTAACTATTATATTGTTTTACTGAAATTAAATTTTTGCATTGGCTTAGCTAGTGTAATCCACCCAGTTGCCGGTGATTGGGTACCAAATATGTTGCCTGGGGTAAGGGTTAGGTTTTAACTTGAAAGTTGATGATTGATGCCTTCAATAAAGAACTTAAACAGTTAATCTACTTTTATTTCCTTTGTTTTTGTTTTAAATTATTTAACAGCAGTGTTAATTCACAATAATTAAAAGGGCTAGTTCACTATAGACAAGTGATATAGTAACTTAATAACTATAAGAGTGAATAACATTTTTAAAACACTGCATACAAAAACATAATAAAATGCTTAAAATTTAAAGAAAGTTTATTGCAATTTTAAAAATTACAGTAAGTATGAGAATAACACTTATATCATTTTTTTTTGTGATAGCAAGAAATAGCTACATTTTAAAACATAAAACTCAATAATACAGTTTGTCATAAAAAAACACATACATCAAAGTTTTGCAAAGAAATGTTTTTAATGGATACAATTCCTTACAAATAAATGAATTGTGAGTGTAATAGAAATGAAATAAAATTAGTATAGATTGGGGAGTGAAAAAATCAATTACATTTAGGTTTATTAAAAATTACAAGCCAGGCTCATATTTTTATTTCTAAACAAAACATTTTAAGACTCATGCTTACATAAAATTTCATTCAGAAATGTATAAATCGCTTTTCAAAACATTGGCTTATCGAAAGTAAAAGTACTCTTTTTCACATGTTTCTGTGACCACCACATATAAAGTGATAGTTTGGCAAGCACTATGACTAGCTGGTTACTTTATCCAAGGTGAGTCAGGTACCTATCAAAGCTGAGTAGACTCAGTCACCGACTATAGACGCAAGCATGGGATCCAACTTTTGTTTACACTGAGTTCTAATAGGAGTTGATGTGTAGAAATCTTTTATTATGCACATCACACACGTGTGTGAAGATGTTTATGTTTTTTTAAGTAATCAGCTCGTAAAAACTTTCTACCACATACATCACACTCATGTGGTTTCTCTCCTGTATGAATTCTTTCATGAATATTCAATTTGTCCCTGTAGGCAAATTTTTTTTTACAAACGTTACACTCATATCTTTTGGAATGGACCTTTATATGCACATTTAATTGATTTAGAGTAAAATACATTTTTGAGCACTTATCACATAGAAAAGCTTTTTCTCCTGAGTGTAGTTTTTTATGATGTGTTAAATGACCATTTGTGAAAAAACTCTTGTTACAAATGTCACAATCATATTCCTTTACCCTATAGGGTGCATGTATTTTTGTATGCTGTTTTAAAGTACTACTTAAAGTAAACTTTTTACAACATACAACACATTCATATGGTTTTGTATCAGTATGAGTTTTTTTATGACTATGTAATCTGTACTTATCAGGAAACTTTTTATGACATAAATGACACTCAAATTTATCTTTGGAATGTACTTTTTTATGTCTCATTAATAGTTCTTTACTAAAATACATTTTTGGACACTCATTACATAAATAAGTTTTATCTTCACTGTGTAATTTTGTATGTTCTGCTAAACTTTGACTTGAAGTAAACTTTTTTTGACATACATTACATTCATGAGCCTTTTCTCTCAAATAATTTTTCTCCAGTTCTTCTGAATAAGCACACAGATAAAGCTTTGTTTGTCCCTCATCACAACCAATTGATTTTCTTTCTTCTTGTGTTGAATGGACTTGTTCAATGGACTGTTCATGAAACATTTTACAGCCATGTGTCATCTCTCCTAAGTGTAGGCCTACTTTTTTATGTTGTTCCAAAGTACAACTTTGATTAATACTTTTATGACATACATCAAACTCATTTGGCTTTTCTACAGGATTAATTTTCTTATGACTATTTAATTTGTGCTTGTGACAAAACCCTTTGTGACATTCATCACACTCATATTTATTATGCACCTTTTTATGCATGATTGATAATTCTTCACTACAATACATTTTTGGACAATCTTTACACAAATATGTTTTACCTGTATTAACTTTATTGTGTAATTTTTTATCTTGTTTTGAAGTACTATGAGAAAAAGTTTTAGGAAATACTTCACACTGATGTGGGTTTTTTTCAGTATGACTATTTTGATGAATAGTTAAATGGCTCTTATAAGAAAATTTCTTCTGACATACATCACACTCTAATTTTTCTTTGGGATCTACCTTTTTATGCAAGGTTAATTGTTTTTGAGTAATATCCTTTTTTGGGCACTTATCAGACAACTCTGTTTTTTTCACACAGGAAAACTTTTTATGCAGTTCTAAATTAACCTTTAGAGTAAATTTCTTATGACACACATCACACTCTTGATATTTTCCACTTGAGTGATTTTTCTTACGTTTTTCTGGACGATTGCCCAGCAACAACTTAACTACACATACTTTGTAACCATGTGGATTCCTATCCAGCTCAACATTTTTAGGTCTGCATAATTTTTTTTCTTTAAACATAAACTTCAAGCTACACATTTCCCATATTTCTCCTGGTTTGATTGTTTTTTTCTGTGTATTACAATCACTTTGCAAATTATTTATGTTCGTATTCACTTTAATTTTGTCTACTGGCTGATGTCTTTCAAATTTCTCAAGAAAACTTTCTGTAACAACTTTTACATTTTTATCTTGAATTGATTGACCAGAGGCAATAGATAAATTATCAATCAATTCAGCATGCATCTGCTTCAGCTCAGTTAAATCGTCACAAATCTCAGTTTTTACTTGATGGAAATTGTCAATTAAAAAATTAACATCTGTGAGAGGTGCTGGTTTAAAGTGTGGTTGGGTATATTCAGTTGACGAATGAAGAGAGGTAGAGTCTGCACTATTTAAAACTTCAAGTAAACTATAAGTAGTATAAGGACTGAAGTCAGCAACTGCAGAAAGTTGGATGTCATTTGAAGTTTCCTGCTTGACTACCATTTCATATGTAGCTGCTGTTTTTTCACACATCTTGTATAGCTTGTATTATTTCAATTAGGAAGGAAAAGTAAAACAACATTTTTAAAAACAATTTTAAAAACATTAATTTTAATAGAATAGGCCTCTATACTCTATTCGGTAATCTCTCGATGTAGCGTCATTTATTATTGCCGAATGGTTTAGCAGTAATAATAATCATTAAAAAAGTTTTAAAAAACCCACGTTTTCTGATTGAACTAAAAAGTAGAAAATAAATGCTATAGGCCCTACATCACAATAATGCAAGCGATCACTCTACTATAAGCGATGAAAAACGTGGGGCGCCGAAGTAAAAGTTATATTACTATTGATTAGATAATACTATTGACTTTTATTAGGGAGCTTGTAGAGAGTCAACAGTATTAGAAACTGTAAGAAAATCACGGCGCCCCACGTTTTTGCTCGCTTATAGTAGAGTGATCGCTTGCATTATTGTGATGTAGGGCCTATAGCATTTATTTTCTACTTTTTAGTTCAATCAGAAAACGTGGGTTTTTTAAAACTTTTTTAATGATTATTATTTTCTACTTTTTAGTCTTTGTCTGTTTGTTTGCATTAAAATCTTGCTATCGATTTTATCTTTTCACTTTTTTTGGGTAAACGAAGACAACTCGTAAAAAGACAACTCGTAAAAAGACAACTCGTAAAAAGACAACTCGTAAAAAGACAACTCGTAAAAAGACAACTCGTAAAAAGACAACTCGTAAAAAGACAACTCGTAAAAAACACGTTGTTTGAATACGTTACTGACTAGAACACATAGATTTGAACCCGTGTCGAGTGGGATAGCAATCGTGTGCCCAACCACTCGACCATATCGTCTCCCCCAAACTGGCCTACCTCCTGTAAGTTTAAACTCGGTTCAAGCTAAATTCTCTGCCCCTAAGCCTGTGGCGACATGTGATCGTTCGCTTCACTGCGCGCGAGGTACGCGTCGCTGGTTTTTTTTTCTAATGGCTAGCAGAGGAGAATTATATATATAGATTATATAGCGGTCTAAAATGCTCAATAAAATGTTTCCATTGATCAATTTAGTAATAATAACAATTGAATATTCAATGGTCATCCAAAAGAAAGCTTCCCTGAAAATTTCAGCGCGCTAGCTAACTGGGAAGTGCCAGAAATTTCGATCGCAAGATTTGATTGGAAAGACAAACAAACACACAAACAGAGAAAGCAAGTTAAAGAAAACGTGGGAAAAAAATGTGAATACAGTAGAACAATGGCACACCATTCAGCAATCCATCTAAAGTACTGTAAACCATATTTTATGTTGCGCCAACTAGTTTAAATAGAAAGAGTTTTATTTAATAAAATTTCTTCATAAGCCCTTGATTTATTTACATTACATATTATTTTTTTAACGGTCAAATAATAAAACATTTACAATCACTAATGTTTATAAAACTCAAACAAACATTAAACAGATAATATCCAATGCTTATAGATCTAGATCTAGTCACAGTGAGATTACACTCCATACTAAATATTAAACTAGTCTACTCTAGTGCAGCCTAGTCTAGTCATATTCTGTGATACTAGTTACTAGTAACTAGATCTAGGGGTCGGCGTGGTCGAGTCGGTAAAGCTCATGGTTGCTAAACCGAAAAGTCTCGAGTTCGAACCCTCGGGCAGATGAGGCTCGTTAGCTAGGGACAGCCACTCTTCTAGGAGAGACAACTCCAAAATTAAACAACTGCTGTCTTGTAGTTTGTTCTTGGTTGGACAAAGGCTATGGAAGCAAATCCAAAAAGAAAAGCAGGCTGAAATCGGAGTCAATGGCCTCAATGGCGCATAACCAGTTGACACGTAATGCTTAATTGTGTTGGAGATGTAGTCTATACTCTATTATTATACTATTACACTGTATACTACTTTGATGCTAACTATAGTAAAGTAATTTAGTAATAACTTAGTAATTAGTAGATCTAGGTCTACTTAAAATAAGCCTAAATTACCTAAATGCCTAAATAAATAACTAACTCCATCAATAATTCAATTACTATCATACTTATACCAAGTCAATACTATTCTAAGTAGTAAATACATTAGTATAACAATAACAAGTAATCTATCGTTTCAGGTGCATAAAATTGGCGAGGGTAGTAATGGGCGAAAAAGTTGCCTCATTGCTAAGTTTAATAGAAGTATATAGTATATTGTGATATATTTGTGTCAAATATTATAGGCCTAGATAACTTAATAATCAATGGGTAAATATTATAGTAAATATATCAATATAGGCCGAAATTAACTTTAAAAAGCATTGTTTGAGAGCTAGATTTCAGCGCCATCTGTAAGTTAAAGTGGTTTCCCCTGAATCTCTAACAATAATGCTACAAAAAAATAACTTGATGGCTGCTAAAGTAAATGAGCTTGGTTGCATCTGATGAAAACATTGCTAGTCTTCATCTATTACTGAAAAGTTTTAATTTGTTTAAAATTTAAAAGCAGGTAGATCTACATTAATGAAACTTTGAAACATTTTTGTATCTTCCAATACAAAAATCCTCCTAAAAATGTGAAATAATTACTAAAATTTAATGAGTCGCCTTTTTTTCACATTACTAGTCTAGTCTAGGCCGATTTTACGTACCTAAAACCATAGAATTATTATTAAATTCTATTAAAGCCTTGACAATGAGGTAACTTTTTCGTACATTACTAGCCGCGGGCGTAAACGATAGATTACCAAGTGATCTAGATCTAGATCATGAACTAGTACTTGAATTAATTGAATATTATCTAACTCTGCTCAGCCGATCCAACACAAGACCTAATTTTAGATCTAGATCTAGATCTAGTTAGGCCTACTCAATACTGTCTAGAAGTATAATGGGATGAGGCCTTCGATTTTTTCCTTAGGCCCTAGGCCTAGCCTACGGATGAGGCACCCTCTACACACTAATAAGACAGCCTACGCATGACAAAAGTGAACAAAGGAAGGTTGTTATAAAAACTAGATCTATAGATCTAGATCGAGATCCACATGGGGAACAAATATTATTATACAATACGTTTTAAATTTAAACCAGTCTTTTTTTTATCATTATCAGCAAATTAAAAAATAAACACGGTGTGTATACCAGAGTTTCTTCCGAGCATCTCATCGAGGGGCGCGACTCACACTTTTGCATTATAAAAAAGCAATGTTAGATTGTTAGAATACGAATTTTAGACGTTATTTCGCGTTTTAGAAAACTTTTGATAAATTGCAATAGGAATTGATTAAAATACTCCATGTTGACAGAGTTCAGACAAGATTTTGGAAAAATATCTGTTTTCAGAAAAATTCAACTGCAATTTTGGAAAAATATCGATGTTTTAAAAAAAAATTACGTCACGCTTTTTTCTTGACGATTTTTACCTCTTCCCTCCCCTCCGTCACACATTGTCACAAAAAGCCAGACCCCCCCCCCCTAAAATGACGTCACACCTCAGCCTACACCCCCCCCCCTCTCAAAATAGCAGTTGAATTTTTCTGAAGTCTTGGATTTCGCAGATGTGCGCTGCCTTCTCGCACACAGTCAACAACAAATGCAGAACTAATTGTACTGGTTGAATAAGTAATAATAACCAGTTTAATGATAATGGCACCGCCAATGACGTTCTGATTAGAATCAGCAGCGTTAAAACGAGTTTTAACCTTCTACGCGAATGTGGAATTCAAATGCATTGTCAAAAAGATTAAATCGGGATCTATGGCTAAATGTGAAGTCTCTTTTACTGTATGGCTTGGAGCTAGGTTACAGACAGCGGAGAATCTTCTTCTTCTTCGTTCTTAATTATTAGTGTTGAAGGGGATCGAGATTTATCTGCCAGTGGGTTTGAACTCGAGACTTTGTTCGTATTTATCAACCATGAGCTTTTTGCCGACTCGACCACGCCTCCAACACAATTAAGCGTTACGTGTCAACTGGTTATGCGCCATTGAGGCCATTCTCCGATTTCAGCCTGCTTTTCTTTTTGGATTTGTTTCCATAGCCTTTGTCCAAGAACAAACTACAAGGCAGCAGTTGTTTAATTTTGGAGTTGTCTCTCCTAGAAGAGAGAGACAGTCCCCAGCTAACGAGCCTCATCTGCCCGAGGGTTCGAACTCGAGACTTTTCGGTTTAGCTTTACCGACTCGACCACGCCGACCCCTACACAGCGGAGAATGAAATAAGAGCATGGAAAAGTGGTGGTTAGGGCACCATATTAGAAAGACCGTAAATAACATTACAAAGCAGGTGTTAGTGTAATGTCCACGGGGAAAGAGGAAGAGAATGAGACAAAAAGTCCTAAAGGAAATCGTTTGAAATAGAGATAGGGAGGCATCTTCATAAAAATCAAGTGAGTTTACGAAGTGTTGCCTACGCTTCTTGGGGAACCGAAGCGCATAAAAATTAAGAAATCAAAAGTGTTTACAGCAATGGTTCTCAACGTGTGTTTGATCAAACCCAAGAGGTTTGGAAAGTAAGTCTCAGAGCTTCGGCGGAGGTCAAGACACACACCCGACTCTAATAATTCATGTGGACGATAAAACTATTAAGAACTCGGAGAAGGCGCATATGAACTGTTAGTGTTTGGTTTCTGCAAAAAGGTTAAGAACCTCTGCTTTAGAGTAGTTTGTAAAAAAAAAATTTTTTTTTTTTATTTTGGTCATGTCTTTAGAACAATTTCTATAATAGTATATAGATCTAACATTTTGAAATTATCAGTAAGGTTGAACAAAGTAACAAATCATTAGCAATCTTCGTGCTGTACCATTTTTTCATCGTTTAGTTTTACTATATGACTTGTTATGAAACAAGCAATCAAAAAGTTGATCTATTCGATATGCTATATCAATTTTTTTAGCTCTTAAAATTTCGACAAAATTTTTTCCGCCAACAAGCTCCGACCGTATGCTATTTTAATGATCGGATAGCGATTAAAGAATCCGTGATATTTATTTCTCTTTAATAAAGTGATCCAGGCATGATGTAATGCAATCAAGTAAAAATATTTGATCCCTCAAGTTGAAGTCGAGAGAATCGTGAGAATCTTACAAAGAACTAGTTGCGCCATTTCTAAACAAAACTGGCTAGTGAAATTGTAAATTACGCGTTAATACAATTGCTTTATATTCTAAGTGTTAAACGACTTATTTAATCACCGGTCCATCCAATTTACATTGGCGAAAAAGCGCGCCACCAACCATTTCTTCCTTATTTTACTGTTACACAATATGCTTTAATTATTAATACAATTTGTTTCTTTTCTAAGTGTTAAATTACTTAACAGCAAGGTGCTTATGCGCAATAACTATAAGAGCTAGTTTATTATAGTTGAGTGATATACTAACTATAAGAGTGAATAACATTTTAAAAAACACAATGCCATACAAAAATAAGAAAACGCTTAAAAATGAAAGGAAGTTTATTGCAATTTTAAAAATAGCATAAAGTTCATTAAGTATGTGAATTACACTTACAACAATTGTTTGTGTGATAGCAAGAAATTGCTATATTTTAAAACATCATAATCATTTTTAAACATAACAGTCATATTAATGCACTTTTTTTGCATGATTAAAATAATAGTTCTTCACAACGATACATTTTTGGACAATCATTACATAAATAGTTTTTTCCTGTATTAACCTTACTATGTAACTTTTTAAAAAAGTAAAGTTCCCTTTCAAACCTGACAGTCTATAGGGCAAGTGAGGTAGAGTTCACTTGTTTCTGTGACCTCGGTATATGAAGGGATAGTGTGGTCAGCACTATGCCCAGCAGCCTTTACTTTCCCTAACATCAATTAGGTTCCCATCAGAGTTGGGTGGACTCAGGGACGGTCTACTGACTTGAACATGGATTCGAAATTGAGACTCAAGGGTTAGCAGTCCAGCTCTCTACCGATAGACCACTTTGTCACCTGTAACTTTTTTATCATCTTTTGAATTACTATAAGAAAAAGTTTTAGGAAATACATCACACTTAGATGGTTGTTCTTCATTGTGAAATTTTAGCAAGTTCTTGCAATACTTTTTCTGACTAACATCACACTCAAATCTTTTTTTCAGAATGTACCTTTTTATGTAAGTTTAATCGGTTTTTAGTAGCAAACATTTCTGGGCACTCATCACATAAATAGAATTTTTCGTCACCGTGTAATTTTTTATGTTCAGTTAAATAAGAATTTGTAGCAAATCTTTTCTGACATACATCACACTCATATTTTTTTCCGGTATGTAAATTTTTATGAATGCTTAGTTGTTTACGTGTAATAAACATTTTTGGGCACTCATTACATGAAAAAGTTTTTTCTTTACTGTGTAAATATCTATGCTCTGTTAAATAATGAAGTGTTGAAAATCTTTTTTGACATACTTCACACTCATGTGGTTTTTCTCCAGTATGGCTATATTGATGAATAGTTAATTGGCTCTTATAAGAAAATTTCTTCTGACATACATTACATTCAAGAGTCTTTTCTCTCAAGTGATTTTTTTTCTGTTCTTCTGAATGAGCACACAGATAATCCTTTCTTTCTCCCTCATCACAACCAATTGATTTTCTTTCTTCGTGTGTCAAAGTACCACAAACAGTGGCCTGTTCATGTGATAATTCACAGTCATGTGTCATCTCTTCTAAGGGTTCTTTTTTAATCTGTTCCAAAGTACAACTTTGATTAATACTTTTATGACATCCATCAAACTCATTTGGCTTTTCTACAGGATTAATTTTCTTATGACTATTTAATTTGTGCTTGTGACAAAACCCTTTGTGACATTCATCACACTCATATTTATTATGCACCTTTTTATGCATGATTAATAATTCTTCACTACAATACATTTTTGGACAATCTTTACATAAATAAGTTTCTTCTGTATTAACTTTACTATGTAATTTTTCATCTTGTTTTAAAGTACTCCGAGAAAAAGTTTTAGGAAATACATCACACTTAGATGGTTTTTCTCTAGTATGAAATTTTTTATGAAATTTATACAAGTTCTTGCGATTAAACTTTTTCTGACAAACATCACACTCAAATTCGCTTTCAGAATGTACCTTTTTATGTAAGTTGAATCGGTTTTTAGTAGCAAACATTTCTGGGCACTCATCACATAAATAGAATTTTTCGTCACCGTGTAATTTTTTATGTTCAGTTAAATAAGAATTTGTAGCAAATCTTTTCTGACATACATCACACTCATATTTTTTTCCTGTATGTACTATTTTATGAATTTTCAGTTGTTTTTGTGTCATAAACATTTTAGGGCACTCATTGCATAAAAAAGTTTTTTCTTTACTGTGTAAATATCTATGCTCTGTTAAATAATAAAGTGTTGAAAATCTTTTTTGACATACTTCACACTCATGTGGTTTTTCTCCAGTATGGCTATATTGATGAATAGTTAATTGGCTCTTATAAGAAAATTTCTTCTGGCATACATCACACTCTAATTTTTCTTTGGGCTCTACCTTTTTATGCAAGGTTAATTGTTTTTGAGAAATATCCTTTTTTGGGCACTTATCAGACAACTCTGTTTTTTTCACACAGGAAAACTTTTTATGCAGTTCTAAATTAACCTTTAGAGTAAATTTCTTATGACACACATCACGCTCTTGATCTTTTCCACTTGAGTGATTTTTCTTACGTTTTTCACATACTTTGCAACCATGCATATTCCGATCCAGCTCAACATTTTTAGGTCTATGTACTTTTTTTTCATTTAACATAAACTTCAAGCTACACATTTCCCATACTTCTCCAGGTTTGATTGTTTTTTTCTGCGTATTACTATTATAATAATTATGTAAATTATTTATGTTCATATTCACATTATTTTTGTCTACTGGCTGATGTCTTTCAAATTTCTCAAGAAAACTTTCAGTAACAACTTTTACATTTTTATCTTGAATTGATTGACCAGAGGCAATAGATAAATTATCATTCAATTCAGCATGCATCAGCTTCAGGTCAGTTAAATCATCACAAATCTCAGTTTTTACTTGATGAAAATTGTCAATTGAAGCATTCACACCGGTGTCACATGCTGGTTTAAAATGTGGTTGGGTATATTCAGTTGATGAATGAAGAGAGGTAGAGTCTGCACTATTTAAAACTTCAAGTAAATTATGAGGACTGAAGTCAGCAACTGCAGAAAGTTGGATGTCATCTGAAGTTTCTTGTTTGACTACCATTTCACACGTGGATGCTGTTTTTTCATCCATCTTGTATAGCTTATATTATTTCAATTAGGAAGGAAAAGTAAAACAACATTTTTAAAAACAATTTCAAAAACATTCATTTTAATAGAATAGGCCTCTATACTCTATTTGGTAATCTCACTATGTAGCGTCGGTTATTATTGACAAATGGTTTAGCAGTAAAAAAAATGTGAAAACAGTAGAACAATAAAATTTAATGTAGTCTGTCGCACCATTCAGCAATCCATCTAAAGTACTCTAAACCATATTTTATTTTGCGCCATCTAGTTTAAATAGAAAGAGTTTTATTTAATAAAATTACTTCGTAAGCCCTTGATTAATTTATAGTATATATTATTTTTTCAACAGTGAAATAATAAAAGATTTACAATTACTAATGTTTACAAAACTCAAACAAACATTAAACAGATAATATCCAACGCTACATAGATCTAGATTCTAGATCTAGCCTCAGTGAGATTACACTCCATACTAAATATACTAGCCTACTCTAGTCATACTGTGACTAGTAGTTACTTAATAACTAGATGTAGTCTATACTCTATTATTAATTATACTATTACTATTACACTCAACTGTAAGTATAATTATAATATTTAGGCCAGAGGCGTATCCAGGTTTTGTTGTAGGGGGAGCGGAAATAGCAAAAAAAGGCGCCGAATTTGTAATATTTTCTATATAAGTATATATATATATATATATATATATATATATATATATATATATATATATATATATATATATTTATATATATATATATATATTAGCTGTATGTTATTGCTTCGATGTGATGTAAAATAAATTTGAATTAGCACTCTGAAGAAATAAAAAAAAAACACACAATGTAGGTCGACGAATCAAAAAATATGTTATCACTCTAAAAAAAAAAAAAAAAAAAAAATTTATATATATATATATATATATATATATATATATATATATATATATATATATATATATATATATATATAAACACACTACAACCAAAAACAACGAACGCGGCATAATCTGTTTCGTAATTCTTGTAACGAAAATTACATAATAATTCTGTGTCATCTATTAAGACTAGCGAAAAGGGGAAATAATCAATATCTTAAAATAAATATGTATATGTCTACACATTTTATTATAAATATCAAAACAAATCAATAATTACTTTTGAATCTAATGAAGTAGCTTAACACTATTCGTTTTTACAAAAATGTTTTTTCTACAGTCAGGATCAAATATATTGTCATTATAAATGCTAAACTATTACAGCATAATGAAAGTTTTTAAAATCAGAGTTGGTATAAAAGCCAGCTTTTAAATATAGAAGTAAAGCTTTCGGAATGATAGCTTACATATAACTAAAATATCGGTCTTACATTTCAGATTATGCACTTTTTAATTAGCTACGGACTTTTTGTGTTCTTTAAAGATAACTTTTTAACATAATGAGAAGGTATGGTTTAGATCACTGTACTGCTCACACACCTTTTACTGGTAATTGAAAAAACAATATTCACAGAGATTTACGTTTCAAATGTGCCGACCAAAGATAATTTTTTAACAAATATCAATGTTTAAAACTTTGAGTTAAAAAGTTTCTAAAAAGGCGCCACTTTGCAAACAATGGCCAGAGGGGGAGCGGCCGCTCCCCCTGCTCCCCCCTGCGTACGCTACTGATTTAGGCCTATAATACTTTGATGCTATCTATAATCTATACTAATCTAATCTATAGTATTAGTAAAGTAACTTAGTAATAAGTATTTTAATAAGTAAATATTCAAGTAAGTGATAACAACTAGATCTACTTAAAGAAAGTAGGCCTAAACTACCTAAATAAATAACTTTAGCTCCATCAATAATTCTGTTAATTCAATTACATACTGATGATACTTAGGCCTATACAAAATCAGTAGATCTAGATCTAGTACTAGCTCTAGATTTCTACTCTTAGCTCTAGTCTAAGAAAGATCTAAGAGTATTAAATTAGTAGGCCTATAAATTTAAAAGGCTAGATAGTATAGGGCATAGGGGCCTAGTTACTAGATTTAAATTTAGGTAGATCTATATCTAGATATCTAGATCTAGTAGGCCCTATTATACTGTATACTATAGTATACTATTGAATATATAAGATCTAGATCTATATCAGTAGCCATTACTAGAGTGACTCTAAGAGTCTAGGGCCTATTATTAACTATTAAGTATTATTAATATTACTAGATCTAGGCCTATAAGTATAGATCTACTACTATTAGTATTACTAGTAGATCTAGATTCGATCTAGATCTAGATTCTAGGGTAATCTATTGTTTTAGGTACGTAAAATTACCCGCGGCTAGTAATGTCAAGGCTTTAGTATAGCCTATTCAATATTGTGATATATTAGATAAATGAATGATAAACCTAAATCAATGGCTAAATATATATTAATATATATAGGCCTAGTAAATTAACTTTAAACGGCAGTGTTTGCAAACAGGATTTGCTATATAAAAAGCGGCCATCTGTAAGTTAGAGTGGCTTCCCCTGAATCTTGCGCTATAAGTTTACAATAAAAAAAAAAGAAACATGTTGGCTGCTATAGTAAATGTCTAAATGAGCATGGTTGAATCTGTTGGAAACATGGCTAGTCGTCATTTATTACTAGATCTAGAATCTAGATCTATAAAGTTTTAACGAAGTGTCTACTCGGAAGAAGATTTTTCTCCCCAACGTCTCCACTTAGTCGGCAAAAGATAGCTCTGCGCATGCGCAGTGACCTATGGCTAGGGTTAGGGCTAGAATGAGGGTTAGGGGTAGGATTAGGGTTAGGGTTAGGGTTAGGATTAGGGCTAGGATTAGGGCTAGGGTTAGGGTTAGGATTAGGGTTAGGATTAGGGATAGGGTTAGGGATAGGATTAGGGTTGGTTTTAGGGTTCTGCGGTTGCAGAGTTTCTTCCAGGCATCTCTTCGGGGAGGCAAAGCCCCCCCCCCCCCCCCGAAAAAATTTTACCGCCCCCCCGAACGAAATGAAATTTATATAATTTATATAGTCTATTATAGAAAATATATATTTTTAACAGTGTCCGCCCCCCCGAAGAAAGTTTACCGCCCCCCCCCCCCCCCCCCCGAAGATTTCAAGTGCCCCCCCGGAGAAAAAAGTCTGGAAGAAACACTGTGCGGTTGTAAACACACGCATGCGCAGTACCATCGAAAACATCGCCGCGAAGGCAAGTCGTAGTTTCTCTCCATTGCGCATGCGTATCGCATGCGTATCTTATTCCGACTAGAATCGGCCAAGTTTTAATTCAATTGTTTTAAAACAGGTAGATCTAGATCTACATAGATCTACATCTAAATGAAACAAGGAAACTGTATTTTCAAAACATAAATCCTCCTCAAAATGTGAAATAATTATTAAAATTTAAGGAGTCACCTGTTTTTCACATTACTAGTCGCGGGCGATTTTACGTACCTAAAACGACAGATTACCAGATCTAGATGTTGACCTAGAGATCTAGAATCTATTAGATTAGTAAGTTAGTACTAGATTCTAGATCTAGATTCTAGGTCTACTACTAGAATCTAGATCTAGATCTATGTCCTAGATTAAACTAGATCTAGATCTAGATCTAGATCTAGACTGCTTGCCTCGACTACGTGCCTCGACCTGAACAACTCCGTAACTTTTATAGTAACTATACTTAACTATACTTAGTATACTAACTTTCACTTTGAATAGTAATTGAATTGTTATTTGAATGTTTTATACAGAAACATTAGAATTGGTAGCAAATAGATGTCCATTTATAAGTCTATTCATATCAAAATTTGATCCATTAAATTACCCACAGTGGGATATGAGCAATTAAAAGCAACTCGTCTTGTAGGCGGCCATTTTATGTTGCCGGGACAAGCAAAGCCTCTTCCCGTCGTAGCGTCTTTTTAAAAAAATGTTTAGGCCTAGATCTAGTTCTAGATCTAGAAAAAAATTAACTGAAATTGAATGGGATAGGCTTCAGAACATATAGATCTAGATCTAGATCTTGATCTAATGTTTATTAAAAAAATGCTATTTTCTTTACTAAATACTAGATCTAAATACATTGGGGGGGGGGGGGGGGTAGTCGTAAGGAGGATGAAAATTTACGTTTTTTGCATGGACCCCATCTATAATCTAGATTCTAGAGTCTAAATCTAGATTCTCATCTAGATCTAGATCTAGATTCTAGTAAACCATTACGATTGTAGGAAAAAAGTCACAGGAAAAATAAACCGGGAGTGATCTCCCCTAAACTTTCTCGAATATTCTTATATTACTTGGAATATAGACATGATTTTTAATTACTTAAACTTTTAAAAATAGAATAGAATCTCATAGAAAAATATTATTAGTGCTTTATAAATTTACATGCGTTTTTTGAGAAATCGGAAATAGCGTAAATTAGTATTTCCGGTCAACGGAAATTACTCAGAAGGTAGAGAATTAGATCTTTTACTTAAATGTGAAATTTCATTTATCTATCTGAAATAGTACTCAAGTTTATATAGGCTTTTGAAAAATTCAAAGTAGAAAAAGTACCACTTCAGGTTATCGGAAATCGCTCAAAAGTTGATACGGATCTACGATTTTGATAAAATACTTATATATGAAATTTCATCAATCTAGCTGTAACGGTACTCAAGTTATCGATTTGTAAAAAAAATCTCGGTTTTTTTTTTGTTTTTTTTTTTGCACGATTACAAGACTTTCTCTATACTTTGAGGTGTGTGTGTGTGGGGGGAGGGGGGGGGGGGGCGGCAAATAGAGTCGCCTAAAAGCGACTCTAAATGCGACTTTTGTCATGATTGAGATTAGTTGGGGTATTTTTTTTAAATTACTTACTTATTTATTCAATAACGGTAACATTAGTATCAATGTGCAGTAACTACGTGGAGATTAAGAATAAATCTGATTCAAGTACCGATTCTGGATAAAAATCCGTTTTCAATGTCATTTTTCGTTTCCGGTTAAATTGAATTGATTAAGGTGGTGATTTTGGTTTTGGTTTTAGTTTAAAGAAAATAGACAGCTATTAACCTAGCGCCCGTTGTATCCTTCATCAACAGGCCATTTTTTCCCCACGTTTTCTTTAACTTGCTTTCTCTGTTTGTTTGTCTTTCCAATCCAATCTTGCGATCGAAATTTCTGGCACTTCCCAGTTAGCTAGCGCGCTGAAATTTTCAGGGAAGCTTTCTTTTGGATGACCATCGAATATTCAATTGTTATTATTACTAAATTGATCAATGGAAACATTTTATTGAGCATTTTAGACCGCTATATAATCTATATATATAATTCTCCTCTGCGAGCCATTAGAAAAAAAAACCAGCGACGCGTAGCTAGCCTCTCTCTTGCCGCGCGCAGTGAAGCGAACGATCCCAAGTCGCGACAGGCTTAGGGGCAGATAATTTAGTTTTAACCGACTTTAAACTTACAGGAGGTAAATATTACCACTGGTGGCCAGTTTGGGGGAGACGATATGGTCGAGTGGTTGGGCACACGATTGCTATGGGGCTATCCCACTCGTCGCTGGTTCAAATCTATGTGTTCTAGTCAGTAACGTATTCACACAACGTGTTTTTTACGAGTTGTCTTTTTACGAGACTTTAATGCTATACAACTTTTACGAGATTTTAATGCAAACAAACAGACAAAGACTAAAAAGTAGAAAATAATAATCATTAAAAAAGTTTTAAAAAACCCACATTTTCTGATTGAACTAAAAAGTAGAAAATAAATGCTATACATCACAATAATGCCATGCAAGCGATCACTCTACTATAAGCGCTCAAAAACGTGGGGCGCCGTGATTTTCTTACAGTTTCTAATACTGTTGACTCTCTACAAGCTCCCTAATAAAAGTCAATAGTATTATCTAATCAATAGTAATATAACTTTTACTTCGGCGCCCCACGTTTTTGATCGCTTATAGTAGAGTGATCGCTCGCATTATTGTGATGTATAGCATTTATTTTCTACTTTTTACTTCAATCAGAAAGCGTGGGTTTTTTAAAACTTTTTTAATGATTATTATTTCTCGTATAAGAATATTCGAGAAAATTTAGGGGAGATCACTCACGGTTTATTCTTCTTTTGCTGGAGAGTATTTCTATGCTTTGGTTTTCATTCTATGTCAAATAGTAATGAAATTAGGTGTCTCGAACCGGAAAGGAGTCTCCGTTGAGATTTAGATTTAGATCTAGATCTAGAATCTAAATCTAGATTCTACATTCTTCTTCGGCGTTCTTAATTTCAAGTCAAGCATTCGAGATCTAATATAAATATCTAGATCTAGTAAGTAGATTCTACACTATCTAGATTCTAGATCTAGACTAGGTCTAGTAACACTAACACAAGTTAGATAGTATTATTAGATTTAGATACCCAGCAGAGCTGGGTGGACTCAGTGTTATTTATTTTTAATATTTAAATTTAACAGCTCTCTAGTTCCACAGTCCCATGCATTTTCTGAAATGAAAAATTAAACTCCAACCCGCTTCTTCAGCTACTCAGCTTAAATAAATGCATATGTTGAAGCATATTTTGGTTTTATATAGAAAAAAGAATATACTTTTGGCTTTAGTTAAATATGCAAATAACAAAAAAAAATGTATCATTAATTTTTCCAAGAGATGTGTATGTCGTATGAAATTAAAAAGTTACTCATAAATGAAAATAATTATTTTTATCTTTTTATAGCATATAAAAGCATGTTATTAATACATTTATTAAAAATTTTTAAAATTTCTTGCTTAAAACTAAATTGTCTTCTTGCATAAATAAATCATAAGTTCTACTTGAATTAAATATTAGCCTAATAATAAATATTTAAAACTAACTGAGTCAACTTATTTCCCCTCATTAAAACCTGGAATTTAAAAGCTTTTAGTTGCCCGATGCCATGTAATTTCTTAAATAAAAAGTTAATTTTCCACCCTCTTTTCCAGTCCTACTCTTAAACGTCTATGTAGATGCATATGTTGATTTTATATATTTTGGATATTAAAATACATTATTGTTCTTCCTCAGTGTTAAATTTAGCAACAGTAAACAGCTGACAAGAATGGCTGATAAACATAAATCTTTAAGAAATAAGAAAGCCAATGAAGATGATTTTTCATCTTCTTCATCTAGACCTAGCAGTGATAATGAAGATTATGAAGAAGAAAAGTCATTTAAGTGTAAGGTGTGTAGCAGAACATTTGCTAAAAAATGTGCTTATGTACAACATATAAAAGTTCACTCCAGCTCCCAAAGCAAATTTGAGTGTGATGTATGTCATAAAAAGTTTACACAGAAGAAAGATTTATCTATGCACTCAGAAAAAGGTCATTCAGCAGAAAACACAGAAGAAAATGAGGCAGAAAATAAGTCAGTAGACAAACCTCTTGGATTGGATCTAAAAGACAAACCTTACGAGTGTGACTTGTGTCCGAAGAAATTTAAATACAAAGGTGGCCTAACCAAGCATAAAAGAAAAATCCATCCCACTGGTAAACCAGATGATGGTAAACCAAAAGAGAAAGTTTTTGAGTGTAAGGTGTGTCATAAAATATTTGAAAACAGGAATCGCCTGTATAATCATAATAAATCACATCTAAAAGACAAACCTTATGAGTGTGATGTGTGCCACCAAAAGTTTGGACGTAAAGGATTTTTAGAGAAACATATAGTAATTCACACTGGAGAGAAACCTTTTGAATGTGGTTTATGTCAAAGGAAGTTTCTTTTCAGCCAACATTTACAACAACATAAAAAATATTTGCATGGAACAGATCAACCATATCAGTGTGAACAGTGTCCCAAAAAGTTTTTTCACCTGAAGCGATTCCTACTACATAAACAATTCCACTCAGGCGTGAAACCATTTGAGTGTGATGTTTGTCAAAAGAGGTTTCATTTAAAAGGTCATTTAGAACTGCATAAGCAACTCCATACAGGAGATATGGCGCATCAGTGTGAAATATGTCAAAGGAAGTTTAACAGAAGGAGTCTCTTAACAGTACATAAATTATTTCACTTAAAAGAAAAACCACACCAATGTGTTAGATGTAGGAAAAAGTTTTTAAAGAAGGAAGATCTAACTAAACATAATAAATACTGTTCAAACGGAAACAAGGTCTACGAATGCTATATATGTCCAAAAAAATATCTTGATTGGCAGAAGTTTTTAAATCATAAAAAAACACACTCAGAAAATCCTCATTTGGAATGTAGAATCTGTCAGAAAAAGTTTTTTAGTACTGATATTTTTTACAGGCATAAAAAGTTGCATTTTGATGCTCAGTATGAGTGCAGCGTATGTAACAAAAAATTTTATTTTAGAAGAGAATTAATTAGACATAAAGAAATTCACAAGCCTCGCAAACCAGAGATATTACATGAGTGTGATGTCTGTCATGAAAATTTTCATTCTGTACGAATTTTGCATAATCATAAATTAGTAGTTCATTCAGTCAAGAGAACTTATGAATGTGATATTTGTCATGAAAAGTTTCCACTAATACGTATCTTATGGGAACATAAGCGTAGACATATACCAGTGAAAACATTAGAACAATTTCCCTGTGATGTTTGTCACAAGAAATTTAATCTTAAAGAGCATCTAACACGTCATAAGCAAAGGGTACATCCCATCCGTACTGCTACTACATGTTACATTTTGGAAAATCCTGAATCCAATTTAGTTACTTTTCATTTCTATGTGTGAATAGATATATTTGTGAGTAGTTAGACATGTTTAACCATGAGACTTCTGAGCATTCTACTTTAAAGTAAATTTATTAAACCTTTCAGGAGCAAAAATACCAAGATTTTATTTACTTAGGTTTAAATTTTTATAATTTAATTGACTTATTTTAAAAAGAAAAATATTTTTTACCTTTTTTAGTAAAAAGTTGTGTAATGGTGTGGTAGAGCTAACCAAAAGTTTAAGGTTTGGGTCTAGTTCTGGACTTAAGTCTGTAGTTTGTCCCTGAGTCCATCCAGCTCTAATGAGTGCCTGGCTCATGTTAGGGTAAATAAAACTACGCAATTTTTTATTAAATTTATTACCTAGGTCAAGAAATGTATCATTTCTACTTCATCTGCCCTACAGATCATTAGATGTAAAAGATTAAAAATACTGAGTAAAAAATTATTAAGAATTCTGTAGTCTTCAATGCATGTACATAATCTACTGTTTGTTTTTTTATCCCATGATGTACATCTAGCTCACAATGTTTTATTTGTAAATATATTTCTTGTTACGCCTATTAATTTTTTCTTCTGCCAATAGCAGTCCACCAATCAACACACACATTTTTTTCTTGAAGATAAAATCTTAAAAATCTGTACCCTTGTGTATTATGTACCTATTGGATATTTGTAAGATTTAAATATGCTTTTATTTTTAACATAAGTTGTTGAATACATTGTGAACTATATGAATTTTTTTTTCTCGAATTGATATTTTAAAGTTTATCTATTTTGTATTATGTGAAAAAAAAATGTATCCTATAAAATGTTAAATAAAATGTTCAATTTTGTAAAATTTGTCTTTTAAATGGATGGCCTGAAGTTGTTTCAACAATAGGGCTTGTAAGTAGGTCACAACTTCTCATTCTAGTACTTGCCAGCTCGTAAATTTCAAGACCATAGACTTTCAAACCCTATTATAAGTTGACATGTCTGTATCACTTGTCAGCTGGAGTTACTTTCAGACATTTTTTTCCCTCTATGGTAAGGTAAAGGCAGCCTCAGAAAGGCTGCCTCAGATAGGCGCCTGATTAAAACACTGCTTAGCTGGGAATAACTAGATGACTAACACATCAGAGATTAACTTGACTGTAGCACACATCATAGATTAACTTGACTGTAACACATCAGAGATTAACTTGAATGTAGCACACATCAGAGATTAACTTGATTGTAGCACACATAAGAGATTAATTTGACTGTACCATACTTCAAAGTTCGACTATGGTGCATAACAAGTTGACACGTAATACTTCATTGTGTTAAGAGTTAGAGGAACTGTTGAACTCCAACTCAGTGATAATTCAAAGAGTTCGCAAGTAGTTTTTCTATGCCAGGGGAAACAACTGATATAATATATTTCTTAAAATTAATTTAACTTGGTTGTGTACCTTTAAAGAGCGGAAACAGTTCTATATTTAAAAAGAAAAAAAGTCTTAATAATAAGCTGTTATGTAATGTTGACCTTAAACTTAAAGGGAGAAAATAAATTGTTTTTATTCGAATATATAATAAGAACTATCATTGAAATAACGTCTAATATATAGATAAATGTAGGCCAAAAAAAAATTCTAGAATCTAGTTCCCACACTGGTGGTGCCCATCGATGCGTCACACTATTAACATAATTATTTAATTACTAGGACTACAACTGTATCTTATGATTTGATTAATGTCATGTCTGCTAAATTAGTATTTCTTGGATTTTGCCTAAAAACAATCTTTAAAATACAAGAGAAGTAACTCTAAAATATTGTGGTAGATGTTAACTAGCAGTTGTCTCCCCTTTCAAATTTATTTCAATTCATGCCAAAGTGGACGTGAACTCACAATCAGGCTTCAATCCACAGCCTTTGTCCAACCAAGAACAAACTACTAGGCAGCATTTGTTTAATTTTGAAGTTGTCTCTCCTAGAAGAATGGCTGCCCCCCAGGTAACGAGCCTCATCTGCCCGAGGGTTGGAACTCGAGACCAGTGTTTCTTCCAGACATCTTTTAGCCTTCCCCCCCCCCCCCCCCCCCCCCAAAAACAAAAATCTAATTTTAGGTAATCTATCGTTTTAGGTACGTAAAATCGACAGAGACTAGTAATGTGAATAAAGGGTGACTCATTAAATTTTATTAATTATTTAACATTTTTAGGAGGATTTATGTGTTGAAAGTTACAAATATGTATCAAAATTTCATCAATGATTAATGTACATGTTTTTTAAACAATTGTATTAAAACTTTTCAGTAAAAAATAAAGACTAACGATGTTTTCATCAAATGCAGCCAAGCTTATTACTTTTACCAGCCATCTTAAGTTTTTTTTTTTTGGTAAAATTTTCCTTAGATTCAGGGGAAACCAGTCTTACCTACAGATGGCTGATGTTACATAGCAAATTTTGCTAGCAAACGCTGCTGTTTTAAGTTAATTTCTGGCCTATATTGATATATTTAGCTATTGATATTGGTGAATTATTCAGTTACCTCTATATATAATATATTTCTATTAAAGCATTAACAATGTGGCAACTTTTTCGCACATTGCTAACCTCGGCTGATTTTACGCACCTAAAACATTAGATTACCTTGCTCGAGACTTTTTGGCTTAGAAACCATGAGCTTTACATACTCGACCACACAGCCGACCTCTTAGAATAGTAACACTAACATCATATTTTTCACATTTTTATTTGTAAAAATGCATAGTGGTTATTTGCTACAATAATATAACAAAGTGAATAAACATTTACAAAATTTCAGATAAAAATCACCCCTATTTTTAAGGTGTATAGAAATGGGTTATGGGGAGGAAATACTAAAACTAAAAATGACATTGGATTTAAAAACTATTTATAAAATGATTAGTGTAAGAGAAAGCTAATGAATACATTTCAGAAGTAATTTAAAGATATTTTTTTTAAAATTTATAATTTGATTAATTTTGGACAATTTTAAAGTTCAAAATGGTGATTATTTAATTGGGGAGTAAAAGTAAATCTGGGATTTTAAAATGTGCTTGAAGCTTAATGCAAAACAAAAAAAAACTTTAATTAACATATTTTTGTTTGTTCTGGTATAATTTGCTGTATTAACATAATTATATAATTACAGGGTATCAAATTTAAAATTCTCAACAAATACATAAAAAACCTCAACATCTAGTTATTGAAGAATGTAAAATAAATTGAAATACAAGTATTAAAAAATATACACCACTTTAAGTACATCCAACTATGTACACAGCTTTAGTTTTCAATCAAATTATACCCAGCATTCTTTAGCTACTGCATTTATTTCCATTACTCTCTGCAAATACTTCACTATTATCTTTACTTATAATCATATACCCAATGCCTTGAAGTTAAGAGATTTACTTTTAGCCAAGAACTATAACTCTTCTAGAAATCTGTCTAAACTTAGAGAACCATCTTCCTCCCACAGCTGAAGTTCTTGAGGAGAAAAAGTATGATCTGAATCAGCAGCCATGTTTTGTGCATCATCACCGTTATTGGTGTGGTAATCAGGAGTGGTGACAGGTAGAAGAGGGTCATACACACTATTGTCTGAAAAATAGCCTTTGTCGGTTGAAGGGGAGATAACCTCATTGCTGCTGTTTGATCTGTTGGATCTGCATCCAGGTGTCTGGGGAAAAGAGCTCTCTAGAAAAGAGTTTAATAAAGTGTTTATTGTGCTTCCATGGGGAAGGTTGAAATTTGGATCAGAGGGTGTGGATAAGGTGTTTGATGGTGAGTTAACTGCTGATGGTGTATGGATGTCTGAATTAGATGATGGTGAGTTGTTGACTGTGTGTACTGAAAGGTTGTCAGAAGTAGATGGTGTTGAGTGGTTAACTATGGATGATGGTGAGTAGTAAACTGCGGATGGTGAAAGGGCATCAGAAGTAGATGATGGGGAGTTGACTACAGAGGTAACAGGATTACAGTTGCTCAACTCATCTTGAAAGTGAAGGAAATTTGGCAGTGAGATATTCAGATCATCACACTGAGGCATCTGAACAAATGTACTTAAACCTGGAATGTTTGAATTATCAAGAAAAGAGCTGTCTGTTATGTTTGTTGAAGAACTAATGGCAGGGGATAGAATTTGCACAAAACCTGGATTCAAGGAAACAGTTGAATTAATTGGGTTGACAGAATTTTGAGCATTTAAACAATTAAGATCATTTATTTTTATAAAGATAGTTTGTGGCAACAGGTTGGAGGAAGATGAAATTAAATTAGAACTAGCTGGTAAATTAATAACATTTGATGGCTTTGGACAAATCTTTTGAAGAGTTTTCTTCTCTTTGTTGATGTTCACAGGTTTTGAAGCTCTTCTTTTCAGGAGAAGTTTTTGTGCTAAAGATATAATTTCATTGGCTTGGGTATTTGAGTTCTGCTCTAATGGAACTTCTGATTGTGATTGAAATGTTGGAGGCTCTGGCATAGACTCATTTAATGACTGAGATGCTGGTATAATGTTAGATTCTGATTCCCTTTTTCTAGCTTTGACTGGTTTAGAAGTTGAGTTTTCTTTGCCTGAATGAGGATTTTTTCTTTTAGGTGGTTTAGACCCACTAACATTGAAATTTTCAGTTGCTTTAAGCGTAGCTGCAAGGCAGTTTTTTATGTCATTCAGCAGTGTGGGGTTCACTGAAGCTTTCAGCTCATCTACTTTGCTACAAGCATCTATGACAGCACAGTGCAGGCCTGTGACTTTACCCAGCAAGCTAGTCAACGTTGTCATCAGGAATAATTCTTTTATATTCCCAGCATTCCACAGTCTCGCCTCTTCAGCTAGCTCTGCTGGAAATCTATTCTCTTCATTTAAGTGCCTCTCTAAAGCTGTGTACTTCATCAACAACACCTCTTTACTGTCTTTAGGATTTGCTGTGGGGTTTTTCCATGGCAACCCCACTTTCTCATCCCACCAAAGAGGCTTACACCTATTACTCCATACTGTCTCTTGACCTCTGCCCTTACCTACCACCTCCCTAGACAGAAGCCGAACAGCGAAATCAAGCCAGGCTTTCTCGCTGTTTACAGGATCTCTTTTGGAGCCCTGAGTGTCCAGTGGCCAGTTAAACTGACAATGGCATGATATTCCGCAGCTCATTTTGAATACTGCGGAAAGTACTGTCTGTAAACTGACAGTCAGAAAATGTATGCAAAGTGTCAATAAAACCACAATTGTTTTTTATTTTGTATTTCAATATCTCACCAAGACTTAATGTAGCTGCAGCAATAACACAACCAATTAATGATGATACCAGTAGAATTGATAGCTGATCACGGATATATTCTTGAACGCGCAATACATCAGCGGCCGACAATCGCTGGTTCACATATGCTCGCAAGTTTTCCCGATTGTTCCCTTGAACAGGTTGATCACACTCTGCAGAAGGACACTCATCAAGGATTGATAACCCACAAGTAGCAAATGGTTTCCAGTGATTATACACAGAACTTTGACTAAATTCCTGTAGAATCTCTACCCCGTGGTCGCGTAGCTGATTTTGAAATTCCTTTGAACTTGTAACATCTGGCAGACACTGATTTTGTTTTCTTCGGCCTTGCTGAAGCAGATTGTGTTCGCTTTGGTCTTCGAGCACTTGCTGCAGTTGATTCTCTTGTTGTCGGTCTTTGACCTCTTGCTGTGGTTGATGTTGAAGTTGTTGGTCTGGAACCTCTTGCTGTGCCATTTGGCACACATCCACATTTTGGTGCGCCATGTTGGGATTAGTGTACATCCTCACTGTTATTAAAAACCTGAAATAGTCCAACACAACAAAAGGATCAATGTTTGAAAGCACAGGTGCACAGAAATCTCTTCAATAACATACAGACATGCCTACCCCTGTCAGCCAAAAGTAGGAACAGTTATGCCTAAAAAGAGGAATTTGAAGCCAAAAAGAGGAACATACGCGCGGACGCAACTTTACTAAGTCAAAAATAAAAATAAATTAATTAAAAATTGCTCTAATGACATTAGTAGGCTTCTAGTCCTATATAACTAGTCTCTAGGATACATTTAAATACTGCTTAATACTGCTTAATGTCAGCTTACATACATTGGAATCCATGATATTTTTGATGTAATAAACACATACATTTTTAAAAGCACAGGTACACAGATATCTAAAATATCTTTCACCAAACTCTCAGGGTTTGCATTGAAGAGTTCCGGTGGGTGCTGTCTACAATGGATATCAAACAATGTTTCTTTCAGGCATCTCTGGCAGGCAGTGGCGTAGCCAGGATCGTCTCAAGGGGGGGTTCCAATTTTTACCCGGGGACAAACTTTCGATTTGCACCACCCCCCCTCAAACTTTTGGTTTGCACCCCCCCCTTATACTTTTTATATATACCGAGGGGTCTATGGGGGGTGGGGGGGGGGGATTATGACCCCCTAACCCCCCCCCCTGCATACGCCACTGCTGGCAGGCATGTCAACCCCCCCCCTTAACAAAATGGAATATATATACTTTTACCAGTGGCCACCCCTTCCACAAGGAAAAAGTCTGAAAGAAACACTGATGGCAAAAATATAAATATAATAGAAATGTGCTAGTCTGACACAGAATAAAGTTGAAATATTTTCAACATTAGGAAATATTAGGATTAGGCCCTAATCTATAGATCTAGAATCCAGGTCTATCTTAAAAATTAGTCTTTAAATAATGTACAGGTCCTAAAAGAAAAGTAGCGTATACCTTTACCCCACTTAACCCTCAGTAAGCCCCCCCCCCCCTCCCAACTTCTGTCATGTTTGAGATTAGGTGCAAGGCCTAGGGGTATGGCTATGACTATATTTAGTATCAATGTGCAGTAACTAAGTGTAGATCATACTTAAATCCGATTAAAATGCTGGATAAAAATCAGTTTTCAATGTCATTTTTCGTTTCCAGTTCAATTTGAAGTTAAGATGGTGATTTTGGTTTTGAGAAAAGAGACAACACTATTAACCTAGCGCCCGTTGTATCCTTCCCAGTGTTTCTTCCAGACTTTTTTCTCGGGGGGGGGGGGGGCACTTGAAATTTTCGGGGGGCGGTAGCTTTTCTCCGGGGGGGGGGGGGGCGGACACTGTTAAAAGTATATATTTTCTATATATTACTATATAAATTATAATAATTTCATTTCGTTCGGGGGGGGGGTGGGCGGTAGAATTTTTTTTATAGTATAGATTTATATCTAGGCCTAATTATTAATTAATCATTTAAAATTAATGTAATATTTTCTACGATAAAACATTCTTATCTTGATATTTTTATCATTATAAAATCAACATTCATCCAAATAAATAACATTAAGTTCTACTTACAATGAAATGTCCATCTTTGCCGAGTTGGCAACCGGGTTAACTATCCGGCTCTCTGGCTGATGTGTGGTGAAACTTCAGATTATCTCTGTTATAGTTACGCCTTTTGACCAATCGTATGAAACAAGTTAGGTTAGCCTCGTCACGTGACAATTACAAAGTTACTATTAATACACCTAGCAGAAGTTTCTAAAAATAGCAATTCTATATATGTCATGGGAAAACTCCCATTCAGGCGGTGGACGTCATTTATTTATGGACGCAGACCCTGGTGTAGTTTCAGCTGGCATTTTTAACGATGCGCTAAGTGAGGAGGGCTGAGGGCTGAGTTTTAAGCAATGTAATGTAGCAGCACATACAAGCCCATAGTTAACGAAGGATTAATTTTTATAGCTTGCGGTTATCATTTTTTTCAAGCTTATCTCCGGCAAGGCACACCCCCTCCTCTTCAGAGTACCACGACACCCCCCTCCCACCCCACCTCAGAGAGATGTCTGCTAGAGAAACTGCTAGAGGAGTAGGCAATATGTTATTTAAAATAAACTGCCGCAATTTTCATTCATTCGGATCTTAACACTATGGGCGTTTTTAACACGTAACAAACTTTATTTTGAAGTATCGTAACATCGATACCGGAACAGCACAGAAATCGATAGTTACTGCTGTTTTTGTTTGACTCGATCTAGATTCTCTAGAAATCTAGATAGTCTAGAATCTAGATTCTAAGTCTAAGTGTAGAATGCTGCTAGCCTAGACGCAGTCCCAAAATGGATTTGTCCTCAGACTAGATAGATCTAAATCTAGATCTAATTCAAATTACTATACTGAACTGATGCATCATTTTATTGACAATAATGACTAGGGATTTTCAAGCTGGATCACACGATTCTGTGTTCAGTGTGATTTCTCTGTCATCATCTGATGGCGATCTCGACACTTTTGTTGGTACTGTTACTCACTGTTACTGTAAACTCAAACTGTAGTTACTAGATTTCTAGATCTAGATTCTAGTTAAGTAGCTTTACTTGTGTTCTCTAAAATTTTCTGGGGTATTAAATCTTGGGTAATCCATCGCTTTAGCGTAATCAATTCGGCCGTCACTAGTAATGTAGGGATAAGGTAACTAATAAATATGGCTTAATTATGGATATATTTTTGCATATTATACTAAAATACTAAAGATAATTGAATATTAAACCACATTTAAGGTTTAAATCAATAAAAATGTCAGGAAATTAAAGTTTAACAACGATGTTACAGATACTAAATTTGCTATTAAAAACAGCGGCCATCTTAAGAAAATATTATTTTGAGTCATTTCCCTTTAATTTCTATTTGTATGGAAATGTATTGATGTTTGCTATTAAATAGGTTAGTCTTGTGTTTTTTTTTTTAAATTCTGCCCTTTAACCAATTTAATTGACTGACAATAAACATCAGTTCTAGAATTATTATTATGAGATGCAATTTTTATACATTAAGACACTCCATATTTTTATAGAGCTACTACTACATATCTAATGTTTATTTAAATATTATATTATTAGTTTGAGTTCATTCTTATTGTTTGTGTTATTGTTTGTTTCCTATTTTCATTTAATATTTTCATGCTTTTTTCCTTTAATTAGTGATTTAATCATAAATGACGTCCCGTTTTTTGACCTCTCTTCACCTTAACCCCCCCCCCCCACCCCCACCCCACCCCCCATTTTCGCCGTCACGAAATAGTCCTAATGACCCAATGTCGAAAATTACCTTTTTGCCCTGTCTATTAAAAAGTCAAGCCATAATTCTAATGAAAAATATTTTTAGCATTTTTGTATTAGGCGAAATACATAACGTTTCACGTTTCTTACCCCTCCCACTTCCCGCGTAAAACGTCGTCTCAAAACCAGTTACTCCACCCCTTAAGTGTGCGATGTCATTTATGGTAGATGTCAAGTCCTATATACATTTTGAATAACCTTTGTTGTCAAAATGTTGATACCGAATACCCAAAATGAGTTATATGGGGTTGTACATAAACAAACGATGTCACATATGCTATGCTAATGTGACGTCAACTTACGCAGGGTGGTCGGGGGGGGGGGGGGGAATGCGTGACGTCTATTTTGGAATCTTCTATAAAGCTGTGCTCGGTGAAAATGAGGAACATAAAGCGTTCGTTTTCATGCATACTTTTGTTCATAACGAATGATCATAACTATTGCATGCCTGTTGTCCTAAGCGGTGTTAAACAACATCAGCACATCATCCCCGCCAAAAAGGCCTGCCACTAAATGCCATAGTGATTTAGTGCCTGTTTTGATTTTGTTTTTTAATTACGCGGTATCTTTCTTAAACATTAGCCTAATGACAAATGACGTCACGCGCGCCGCGAACTTTGTGACGTTGTGCTTAGTGTGGGATGAAACGGCGTGGTTGAGAAAAATGACGTATTTCTTTTTTTTTTTTAACAGATGAATAAGTGATAGATTCTAATTTTCCTACGAACTATACGTTGATCTAGTTTTTTTTTTAGAGGGAGATATCACTATATTGTGATGGGCGATTTATATATAATCTCAATATATTCTGATCTACTACTATTCATACGGCAACTATTATACTCGTGAGGAGGACGGGAATCACTCTTATGTTCTGCAGACACTAATTAACAATGTCAACAACTTAGTTTACGAAATAACATGAACTTAATTAACACACACTTATAGATCATTTTTACAATATCAAATAATACGTCCGTTTTCTACTATATCTAACCCCCAACTCATTTCACTGCTGCGTCTTACGTCATCGGTACATTGTCGCACCATGCTCACATCACACTCACGCCACACATATTTTATTGAACACGCGCACAATACTCTCGCACCAAATCGTCTACCGTCAAGTTCGTACCGTCCTTAGTAACCTCTACTCGTCTAGTCTAATTCTATATATCTACGCTATGACACATATAGTAGGTGTTTTTTTTTTAATAATGGATGGTGGGGAGGGGTAAACATTGACTACTGAAGAAATCAAAAACTGATGACAGCAGAAGGCAAAGAAAAAAATACAACAAACCATGTGGTATTCAAATGTAACTAATTAAAATTTGAACCTATTTTAAAAAACACAATAATCTTAATTCAGAAAAAGTGTAGGCCTAAGACTAATGTCTACAGACAAAATAAACAACTAGGCTTAATTAAATGGATCGCCCATAAATGACGTCATACTTTTCCCGACAATTTCCCTCTCACCCAATAGTTATTAAAAGCAAGATGATGATTTAATATCATATCGCAGTTCTACTATACCCGAACCCTTAATCACAATTTCTAACGAAAACGAATATATTCTTCATCATTTTTGAAAAAATATTTTACACCGTCCCATATTTTGAGTCCAACGTCATTTATGAGGAATATGGACGACCTAATAATTGACAAGTTAAGGGGTCATCCATAAATGACGTCATGCTTTTTCTGACGATTTTTACCTCCCCCCTCCCCTCCGTCACACGTCGTCACAAAAAGTCAGACCCCCCCCCCTAAAATGACGTCACACATCAGCCTACAACCCCCCCTCAAAATTGCAGTTGATTTTTTTTCTAAAACATCGATATTTTTCCAAAATCTTGTCTGAAATGTGTCAAAATATCAAAATATAGTATTTTAATCAATTCCTATTATAATTTATTAAAACTGTTTTCTAAAAAGCTAAATAATGTCTAAAATTCGTTTTCTAACATTTCTTATCTATAAAGCAAAAGTGTGACGTCGCACCATCTGAACCCCCCCCCCCCCCCCTCATCACACATCGTCACAAAATTACCGACCCCCCTCCCCCCTACGATTGTGACGTCATTTATGGACGACCCCTAATTAGTACAAAAGGGTTTAGTAAATGGTGGACCACCCAAAATTTTTTGAGATCTTGGATGTACATACATACATAGCCTTCATTTCACTTGAAAATGAAATTAAAGATAAGAAGACGGCCCTCTGTCTTACTTATATTAAACAAGACAGGTTTGTATATTAAACAACAAAGTCAACACAATATGCATTCGAATAGACATTTTTATCCGGGGAAACTACTCTAAATTTTATTTGGAAAGATGGCTGCTGTTTTTTTTCTACTAATATTTATCTCAAACACCTAGTTTAAAGTTAGTTTCATGTTATTTAAATTGTTTTGGTCACTGTTTGTTATTTTAAATCAATAATCTGTGATATTTTGTAAAATTTGACTTACATAAACTTATTTAAACAAATATATTCATCAGCTACCTCTCCCGCACATTACTACTGCAGCCGAATTGATTACGCTAAAACGATAGATTACCATCTTGTTATTTCCCATTTTATTTATTGCATATTGTAATTTTAAAAATAAAATTAAATAATCTACCCTATCTAATAGGCCTAATATATATATTCTATACTCTATAGTCTATAGGGTTAAAAAGGTCATATTCAATATTCTTGCAAAGATTTGCTACTAACTTACTAACCTATAAAACAGACTTTTTGAACTAATAAAAAAAAAGCTTGTAAAAACAAAAGCACATTAGGGGTCTAAGGGAGCGTACTATTTATCATCAACTTAACAGTTTTTCATTTTAATTGAAACTCACGAAAAAAAAAACATGTTAGCGAAACTAATTTTGCGTTTGCTGCCAACATTTTTTATTTACTCTCACTTAACAATGGTTATGCAACTAGATGCATATCTTGTATTTTTATTTCGCATTCTCAGTTCTACCAACTTGCCATTTCTTAAATTAATTCAGTCTAATTTTTTCCATTTTACTAAACATCAAAAAAAATACTACTGGTTTTATCTGTGTTTTTTTTTTTTTTTGATAATTAGAAGTGTGTAGAGTTGTTTGCTTAGGATAAGAGAATTTATTGCAGTTTTATGTTCCACAGAAATATGGTATCATGTGTTTCTCTGGGCACTTTTTTCATCTCTATTCGTCCATATTGTGGCAGCTCTAATAGCATTCCTGAGACTACGTAAGCACAGGTTAGGTCGCTGGATTCCTGTAGTCATATTTACAATGGGAATTATTTCGCCTTTAACTGGTGGAGTAGTGAGTAGTAAGTATTGGATCTTAATTGTAAAATGTGCATTTATGTTATAAGTATGACTGATGTAAAGTTAGATGTTTAAGAATTAATTAGTTCTCATAACAGTTACTATACCATACTATTTACTGTAAACACCTGATTCTTAATGGGACAGAGTGGCCAAGCAGTATAGAGTTCCACTGCTAACCCGAACGTCTCAAGTTCAAATATGAGTTCAAGTCAATAGACCGTCCCTGAGTCCACCCAGCTATGATGGGTATCTAACTCACGTTAGGGAACGTAAAGGAGGCTGGGCGTAGTGCTGACCACACTATCCCTTCATATGCAGATGTCACAGAAAAAGGTGAACTCTACTTCACTTGCCCTATAGACCGTGAGGTTTTGAAGGGAATCTTTATTTTACCTGATTCATAGTTACATTGCTCTTTACTTCTAGATATTTGTAATTTCATATTGTTTAGGGGAATATAGTTATACACTAAATTTTGTTCTACTTTATTGTATTCCAAATTTTTAGTTTCTTAATTTATTAAGATCACTTACTTTAAATTTATATTTCTATATAGAGGCAATCCAGCAATATTTGAAAATATTCTTTAACATTTTTGTTTATTTATTCCTTAAACTATTGGTTGTTGTTAGTTTTTTTTAAATTTAAATTAATAATTTGAAAATATTTCACCCAGGTGCAGCTATTGCTGGAGTATTCAGAGCTTCAAACTTTGCACTGAGGCCTTATTATGCACTTGTATGTGGTGCGGGCCAGACATTCATCGTTGTCGTCATTTCATTCATGCGGATACTGGCAACATTATGATCAGAAGATGAAGTCTGTGTCAGAAGACAAAATCTGTGTCAATACCGGCCTTATTACGCACTTGTATTGCGGTGCGGGCCAGGCATTCATTGTTGTCATTTCGTTCATGCAGATACTGGCAACGTGATCGGAAGACAAAATCTGTGTCAATACAATGTGATCAAGTCTCATGAAGTCTGTGATAAAAGAACCACATCAACACTGCCCTTGGATTATCCCCATGCTGTTATAAATTGGCTTGTTTAGTACCATATTGAGCATAATACATACAAAGGTCGTCCACATTCGAACGTGTTCAGTGAAAATTTTCAAATGGTATTAAAACTGAAAACATTTTTATCTTGCATGCGAATCTACCTTGTAAAATATTCCAGTTTGTTTATCGGTGCACTGTTTTCTATCAGTTGTGAAAGGTGGCAAAATGTTTCATTGATATTTATATTCCTCCCCTTTGTTTATATTAGCTTGTGCCTAGCTACTAGAGTAGTACAGCTAACCAGATGCCTTAATGAGATTATTTGTTTCATAGAATGATTACTGTTGATCGCTTTCATGTTTTTAAAATTCATTTTGCTAGTGAGGTGATCAATGTTGAAGATATTTTGTTGTTTACACCCATTGGAGGTCCCAAAACCACTTTATACATGATTGTAAATATTGAGATATAATGTAAAAACTAAAAGCACAGAGACCCATAAATGTTTAACATTTTACTTGCAATTTTTACTTTTTATCAACTTTTAAGTAATGGTATTACGGTCCATAGAACTGAACGCATGTAAAGTTCACCTGTTGTATTCTTTTATGTGACATAGTAATGGATTATGTGGTCACCACTAGGTCTAGCCACCTTTGTGGCTCTAGTAAGTTACGTAATCTGAAATAAGTGAACTATAATGTTTACAAGCTGGTGACAGGAAAAATGGACACATAGTTATACAATGGCCTGTAATTCTCTAGTTTGATTCTGCATAGTTCATCCCTGAGTCCATGCATGTGATTGGGAATGTAAAGGAGAGGTGGGCAAAGTGCAAACCACCTTATACATTCGTATGCAGGGGTCACATGTGATTTCAATTTCATATACCTGGGTATTTTACTTTAAAGTAATTTAAGTGCAGATGGTCACAGTTCCACTCCTGTTTACCCTAATGGGAAATTCAGTTTCTAAGTACAGTACTTTCTAACACTATGTTTAAACTTGCAACATGTATACCATACATGTGTAAAAAAAACAAACTCGAGGTGTTATGTGAAAACATCTCCACACAGAACTTGTATACTTGAGCTTTTTCCTTCTAGATATCAGTTGTATGTGTTGCAAGTGTAAACTTAGTAATAGTACCATACATGTCTTAAAGAGAACAAGATATGCTGTTGGGGTCTCAACAATGATAAGTTGCAATAATACCCATTGTATTGTATCAAATTTTTTTATTGTGTTCAAACAAGTTGTAAAAATCATTTAGACTAAACTTTCTCACAAAAATCATTTAACTTTCATTCCATCAAATAAGGCCTACATTTAAATTTTAAAATAACTTATAAATAAAACATTTAATACAGAAAGTCATAGTCAATATATTTATAGTTTGATTAAGCCTGCATAGTTGATGGTTCAGATAGCAAATCATAATTATATTTATTGTAACTTTTGGAATTTGTATAACTTAACAATAAATTATAATCTTACATTGTATTTGTATTTTCTAATGTAGAAAAATATTTTAAGTGCATAATATAAAAAAAATATTTCTGAACCATCTTTGCAACTGAGTGTCTTGGGCAGTGTTGGTGTAAAACATCAGGTTAACCAGCTTTGCTTCATTTGGCTTGCTGTAACCATGCTCAGAAGCAATTTTTTAAACTGCTAGTTGGGCACGGAAGTTTATTTCCAATGTGCCAGGCTCTGTGTGGGGGTCTTTTTTTTTCTCCAACAACCTTTATTTAATTATACAATAGAAGGTTATTGTGTGGAATTTCACTGATAACGTCATCACCTCCAATAATTTCGTCCTCTTCCTCATTATCGTCATCTTTATCACTTTCATTGTCCCCTTGTGAGGATGTGGAGATGAGCCATGAGAATAAGATTATGATGAGGAAGACTGAGATTGTGTACAGAACTGTCAACTGATAGTTGTGTTGTAGTTTCAGGGAGAATCCAATGTACCTGTGGGGAAATAATTTTTTAAAAAATTGTTTTTATCTGATTACATTATCAGGGTGAGTTGAGCTTTAGACAAACTTAAAAAGAGTGCCCAAGGTTTTACAGAGTAAGTCAATCTCTTGTGGGTATCTAACAGAGTTGAGGAGAGTTACGACAGCTGAGCACAAATCATTTTTCACATGCAGTCATAACAGAGGCCCTTTAAATTACATTGTCAGAATAGCAAAGCAATGATATGTTTTGTTTACGTGTTTTTCCTCTTAGTAGTCAGATGTTTAGAAAATACCCTGTTACAAATTTTATTTCCCGATTTACACAATGTAATAAAATGTAAATATGTATAAAGTTGTATTTTTTTTATCTTTACTGTTTCGCTGTCTGTGTATCTATCTGACAAGAACGCTCTAGAGAAAACACAAGCAAATTAAAAACATGTATAGTAATTCGAAAAACGAAATATGACGTCGTCACATTTAGCATAGAGTAGAAAATAATCTCAAGCCGGAGAGTGCACACAGTAATATGACGTCATTGATTCTCGAGTAAACATTAAATAAAAAGGCAATTTTGTCTAATCTAAGTGGTTTGCGTGAAGAGTTTCTTTCATACAATTCTTCGTCTGAGGCCCCCCCCCCCCCTAACTCAAAAGAAATTTCTTCATCGATACTCTATAATAAAATTACCGCCTAATTAATGTGTCTAATCTAAAAAGTGGTTTTCTTGCAATTTCTTTAATGCAATTCTTCGGGTAGTGGCTAAGCGCGACACCAGTGTTTCTTTCAGACTTTTTCCTCCCAGGAGAGGGGTGGGGGTACTTGAAATTTTCGGGGGTGGGGGTAGAATTTTCGGGGAGGGGGCGGACACTGGAAAGAGTATATAATTATATTTCGTTGAATGGGATGGTAGATATGTTTTTTTTTTGGGGGGGGGGGGGGGGTGGTTTTAGTTTAGAGAAAAGAGACAGCACTATCAGCCTAGCGCCCGTTGTATCCTTCCTCAACGGGCCATTTTTCTCGTTGTTGTAATAATAATCATACATAGGAACAACTTACCCCTTTTTGCATGTGAGTATTATGTCCATCAAGCCATCGTTATCAAAATCCCCATAAACCAGGGGGCCAGTGCTGGGGGCGGGGATGGAATGTTGGGCTAGAAGATTACCTTCAACAAGGTCAACAACTGACAGGGTGTTCCAGCCTGCCACGGCAACTGCCACCTGTTGATAGACACACACACAAAATCAGTTGACAACTTTAAAAATAGCTTGTGATGTAACTAGACTTTTAAAGTTAGTTATTGACCCAAAGCTTGATAGATAATAAAAATATCATGGAGTCTATTATGACTTGGGAAACTAAGTTTAATGTGCTGTGTCATGTCAGCACGTTTATGCCAAGGTTGTTTTTTTTTAATGAACAAGAATGGCAAGAAACAAATGAGCAATGGGTTGATTGAGTTCAGTGTTTCAACATTCTACAAAAACTCTTTTACTACATATGATAAGTAATAATAAATATAATAGTTTGAATTTAAAAAAAAAAGGTTATGGTAACAAACAGGTTAAGGCTAATGTTCTTCTTCTTATAGGATAATTGACAGTTCTCACTATACTTGATTTCTAATTACTGTAATTAGTTTAATCAAACAAGATTCAAGATGATCAGCAACACATTCAATCTACTAATATCTGAAAAGTAATATCAAAGAATAAGATGACCAGCAAAACATTCTCAATCTTCCTCTGTCTGAACAAGAGTAGCCTAACCTTATCTCCTGCTTCTTGCAGGGGCATGATAACTCTGCCAGGTTGGAATGACAAGAGGAATTCTTCTTTTAGGCTATCGGGCATCTGGCGCCCTCCTGTTTTACGCAGGTTCATTGAAATATCCCCCCACTTTGATTCTGTTAAAGTCTGTAACAGAAACATTGAGATGGAGAATAATAAATAAGTAAAAAGAAAACAAGTACTTAAAACCTGTATAAAAATAGACATCTTAAAGACCTGGCAGCAAACACAGATAATAAGTAAACCAAGTTTACATTTAGCCTGCATCGCAGTATCCCCTTACTAATATCTTTAGAAGGAACTCTGTGGTATAATAGGAATTTTTTAATCTTTTTTTTTAGGTTATTATATAAATACTAAATCATTCCTTTGCCTAGATTTGGTGGGTGTGTATTTGCACAGAAAATGTATTTGTTTTCTAATTAATGCTGATATTGTAAAACCAACAACTATTATTTTATATCTAGTGTTCCAAGCAAAAAGCTCAAAATATTTTTCGACTTAATTTTATCACAGTAATGACAACTAAAAGAACACACACCTGCCAGTGGATTGTCCCATCCAGACCTATAGAGCTGACCCTTCCTAGACCGCCAAATGTAATGATATCAAAGGAGTTGTCTTCAAATAAATTATGACCAAGAAAATGGCGCAGAACTCCTGTCTTACGAGCTATGCTACAGTACATAATTGAAAATATATTAATAACTATGCAAGAAAGCAAAATAATTTTATCTTAAAGATAGTGAAATTAGTCAATTAAGATATTAAATGAATACATGATTAATTAGTAGTATGTTATTATATAAAGAAATGAACCTTTTAATAATTTTGGGTGGAATTTTTTTGTAAATGTCTTCCTCCAGGCTCCAGGAACGCGTCCAGAATAACCTTTTGCTGGAACACAGAGTGATTTGTTCCAGCTTTTCTTGCACTGGGGTGATGCGCCAGATGTCCAGGTAGCAAGGGGTAAAGTGCTGGGTAAAAATATCAAAGATGATAATACCAATAAAATCATAGTTCTACAGCAGGGGTCGGCAACCTTTTGAAGCGGAAGAGCCAAAAGTTACAATTTTCAAAATTTCCCTGGTTTTAAAGAGCCACTAACATTTTTTTATTTCAACTATTTTATTTTTTTATTAAGATTATTAGTATTTGTTCAAGGAGCTGGAGAGCCGCATCTTGATATCAAAAGAGCCACATGCGGACCCCTGTTCTATAGAACAATATATTTTTGTGGCAATCTCCTCAAAATGTAACAACTAGTCTACAATAGTCAGTCAGCATTTCTGGGCAAAGATGGCACAGGTTAAAGACATTTTGTCAACAATTACAAATTGGCAAGAAAACTAAAAAAATATCTCAGTTTTAATTATTTTTTAGTGGAACTAAAGAGTATTCATCTTAGGAATAAACACCAAGACCTATACTTCTGTGAAAGGTCTTATACTTTTTTATGTTTAATTTCAGTACTCATGTTTTATGGACATTTTGTGCAGCAGGGAATGAGGAAATACATTTTTTAAATGGGATTATATGTAACTGTACATGGCGGGAGAGAATTGGAAAATGGAAATGTAAGTGACTGGGGTTCTACAGGTTAACTATCAAAAACTGAGATTTAACCATTAAAAAAGTGAGATTTAACCATTTAAAAACTGAGATTTAACCATTAATAAAACCGGGAGTGATCTCCCCTAAACTTTCTCGAATATTCTTATATAAAATAACAGGGGATGGTAACTCGGGCTATAGAAATGATTTTTAATCCATTTTAAATACTTAAAGTTTTAAAAATAGAATAAAATCTCGTAGACAAATTAATTGCACACCAAGTGAACGCTAAATAAAAAACGCATAATAGTGCGCAATATTATTAGTACTTTAAAAATTTACATTAGTTTTTTGAGAAATCGGAAGTAGCGTAATTTACTACTTCCGGTCAACGGAAATTACTCAAATTTAACACAAGGTAGAGAATTAGATCTTTTACTTACATGTGAAATTTCATTTATCTATCTGAAATAGTACTCAAGTTATAGGCTTTTGAAAAATTCAAAGTAGAAAAAGTACCACTTCCGGTTGACGGAAATCGCTCAAAAGTTGATACGGATCTACGATTTTGATATAATACTTATATATGAAATTTCATCAACCTAGCTGTAACGGTACTCAAGTTATCGTGTTTACACACAGACACACACACACACAGACATACGGACAAGATTGCAAAATTATGTTTTTCCGTATCAGTGAGGTGTAAAACGTCGAGATTTGTAAAAATCTCGATTTTTTTTTTTGCACGATTACAATACTTTCTCTATACTACGTATATACGAGAAAGTAAAAAACTGAGATTTAACCATTAAAAAATAGATTTTTTATCAGTACCTGGCCCAAGTCCCAAACCATTTTCTCCATGTGGCCATCTTTATCCATATCCAGGTAAAGTGACCGGTCAGCGGGGAAGAAAAGTGTGGTCTTTGGCTGACCAGTGACTAGAGACAAAACCTGAAGACCTTCTGGGGACCTCACCACAATGCTGAACAAGTGGAAAATAAATTTTACATTAATTATTTTCTATGGATTTTTAACTAAATATTCTATTATTACATCTAAGTTCTAAGCTTCAATTAAATAAATCTTACATTTAAAATGTATGATGCATTTAATAACTTTTTTACAGCAGAAAAAAATTACATCACCATTTTAAGTTAACTACATATTGGATGCAACTAATTTAATGGATTAACTTTAACTAGTGGTTACACTAGACCAAATAAGTAACAAAACTAAAGGTTTAAAATTTTGCTGTAAATATTTTCTGATCAGTGATAAAAATAAAATTATCTGCTAAATAAACCAAGTATTCAAAATGCACATTCATCATCATCACCTTTCCCTGTTCGTACCTAAGACACATAGGACAGAGGGATAGTGTAGTCAGCACTATGCCCAGCTGCCCTTTCTTTCCCTATTGTGACTCAGGTACATATTAGAGCTGAGTGGACTCAAGGACATCCTACATTCTCAAGCTGGGATTTGACAGAATCAAGAGTCTAGTGAGAGTTGTAAGCTCTACTATTTGACAACACCATCCCATAAAATACACATTGCTTGAATATTTTTAAAAATCTGCCTGACCTGTTAGGATTTTTAATGTGTTCATGAACACTGTGTGGTCTGTTGCCCCCATAGGCCAAGCCAATGAAGTGGTCAGGCAAGAGAGCTGAGGTTGGCTGGGAGGGTGTGACTTTCTCAGGGGATTCTTGCTGCTCTTTGCTTGTTTTGTTGAACTGTTTGTTAACTCTTGCCATCATTATCTCTGTGTCTGAGTTGTCTGCCCATAAGTGAGGCTGTAAAGAATACAAATTATTATAAAATGAGGAAGATTTTAAAAACAGTGCTGTTTAATTATTTTTCAAAGTTGGCAATCATAAAACCATTTTTTAAATTTCATTTTTACTATACTTTTCTTAGATAAAAAAAATATAGAGCCTCAAAATAAAAAAAATTTCAATGTGAGTTTTTGTGCAATTTATGTAAAAAATAAATGCATCATATAGACCTACTTTAAAAGCAAAGATTAATCATGGCATAAGGTTACTTGATTTTTAGAAATTAATTGAATGTTAATTAATTGTTAAATAAATTAATGAAGAGTACCAAAAATGAGTCTAACTGGTGTCCATAATCTGACCAAGGTGATTCCCCTTTGTGAGATCTTTTGTGTCGCAAGCTTAGTTTCCAGTGGATGTCACTAATACTACCTTGCTATTAAAGAAAAAAATTGAAATCAATGTAAGTGAAAAATTAAAAATCTTACATGAATGATGTGGTTGGAATAATGTATTTGTTATTTTTCTAGTTAATGCCATTTGGGTTTTACATTCGTTGTATTTATGTTTTAAGCTGAATATAAAATTTACACAATAAAAAATCACTACCAGTATATATAGAAACACAATAAGCATATCAATTTTAACCATTTACTTTTAAAGCAACAACACAGATAGTTTAGTGCATTATTTTTAAAGCTCAATATAACATGTAGCCATTAAAAACTTACTACCAGCATTTATAGAAACACAATAAGCATATTAATTTTAACCATCTACTTTAAAGCAACAACACAGATAGTTTAGTGCATTAATATTTTACCAAACCTTTTTTTCTTGTTTCGATTCCTCAAAATCCCCTGAAGCGTGCTTCCACAGCAACGTTCCATCTTCGGCACTGAGGGCAAAAGTGGAGAAATGTGTCAGGGTTTCATTCTCATACTCCACAGATTCATCAAATGTGCGATTCCTAAACTGGTTCAGCTCTCTTTCCTTGATCCTGTAAAAAAAAGATTTGTATTATTTACATTTTTGAAAATGTTATGCATTATTATTCAGTTGCAATTCAAATTTTTTAAACTTTTAATTTTTTAACTTGTTTAAATGAATGAGGAACAGAATGCTTGAACAAACTACCAATGAGGCATTTTACAATCAAACTCTTAAGCCTACTCAGATTTGATATTTACATAACTTTAAAACAACCAAGGTATGGTAAGAATAGCTAGGCATTGTGGTCAACAAACTAATCACTATATCCCATAGTACATATTGATCAAGTGTTCAACTTCAGATGAAATAAAAGCTTTTGGGTGAAAAATAGCATTTTACTTAAAATTACTCTATGGTTTTCTTAAATATTTATAGTGTACTTTTTAAAGTGTAACTATACTCTTTAACCAGAAGCACCTTTTTTATAGGTGAAGCAGAGTTTACCTGTTTCCCATCTGGTACATAACTCTATTGCATAATTGTTCATGGAAATGGTGAACCTTACACTTACTCTGTGAATATGTTTGGCTTGTGAGACTTGTGTCTGAAGCTTCCAGCAACCACCACCAGACCCTTGTGTTTCTTCTCAATGGAGAAAGGGGACACCTGCACTGCCAGGGACTTGACCTCGACCTCTTGGAAGTTGAACACAGGCAGGGGGAGCTGGTGCTGCCATAGAGGTCGAAGGTCATGGCTGTAGCAGAGAACCTGCCAGTCATCAGTCACTACCACAATTATCTGGAGTAAAAAGTAATAGAAGTCTTCTCATCTAAGTTTTAGTTTATCATTATCGCACAATGAAGTTTGTCGTGAGAAAAATTTAGACTGTTAATTTTTTATATTTTATATGATTCTTAACCCTATTCTAGTCTGCCTAACTAATGAGCATTATGTAAGCCAGTAATGGCTGTATACCAGAGAATAACAGGTAAATAAGCTCATCTATATATCTCACCTGTTTCCTAACCTGCATCATTGAAAGATAAGGCTCAACAAAACCAACACCCATAGTAAAAGGTCTTGACGCATGTCCCTTCACACGTTCCACCATTGTCAACTCAACTTTGTTTTTCACAACAACATGAGCCAATGTAATATCATCTTCATCACTGGGTACAGGCATAGCTAACACATTCAAATGTTGGAGATCATTAGATATTAGTACAATCTCATTGACCCCATCACCCTCAAGATCTGTCACAATGGGCATGGGGCATCGATCTGCATCAGTCATAAACTTCCCATTGGCGAATTTCGAGACTTCGCTACGTTTACGCCAGACTGGATTGAGAGAATAAGAGTCTCGTACTCTGAGTAGATATCCCAGCACAACACAGAGACTTGCATAAAATAGTTCTCTTAGTCCGAAACGTAGCTTCATATTAGAGATAGCTTGTAGAACTGACATCATTCTTTGTAGTTAGCCATGAGTAAATACACTGTTTGCACACAAAACAAAATTTATAATAATGATTGAGTGGTATTCTAGCTAGGCATATGTATATTTATATAATAATTTTTTTTTTAATTAGGTTTTTAAATTTATTTATATTTCTTAATTCAACAAGGCAAGCCCATCAGTTGGCTGGGGATTCTGTTCTGCTAGGGATACAAAGAGTCGGCCAGAAAGATCTATTGATAATTACAATTGTACTCAAACTGTAGGCCTCTTGTCAGTATCACTAGGTTTTAACTAAGTTAAGCACAGCAAAAATTGATAAAATCATAAAATAGAATAAAAAATTTTGAAAGTGAAAATAGCTTGGCTAAATCATGTAGTGATAGATCTAGTTAGTTACTAATAATAATAGGCAATAATCTAGTGAAATCTACTCAAGTCTAGTAAAAAGTGAAGAAGACTCGGCAGAGAGGAGTGAGTAACTGGAACTGAGTGAAATTGAGTGAATTGTCTGACCCAATGAGATGAGACTCGAGAGTGAGAGTACGACTGATGGGTAATCTATCGTTTTGGGTACGTAAAATCGCCCGCGACTAGTAATGTGAAAAACAGGTGACTCCTTAAATTTTAATAATTATTTCACATTTTGATGAGGATTTATATTTAGGAGAATACAAAAATGTTTCCTTGTTTCAAATGCACCTGTTTTTAAACAATTGAATTAAAACTTTTCACTAATAAATGAAGACTATCGATGTTTCCAACAGATGCAACCATGCTCATGTACTATAGCAGCCATCTTGTCTAAGTTTTTTTTCTATACTTAAAGCGCGAGATTCAGGGGGAAGCCACTCTATATTACAAATGGCTGCTGTTTATATAGTAATATTAAATATATAGCAAATCTTACTCGCAAACACTGCTGTTTAAAGTTTAAAGTACTTTAAAGTTAATTTCTGACCCATTTATTTGATTTAATATTTAACCATTGGTTTAGGTTTATTATTCATTTAGATCTATCTACAATATTTGACACAAATATATCACAATATGAATATACTTCTATTAAAGCCTTGACAATGAGGTAACGTTTTCGTACATTAGAAGCCGCGGGCGATTTTACGCGCCCAAAACGATAGATTACCATCATTACCGAATACCGACTCAGACTGATGAGTACAGTACAGGGTAAAATCTTAGTTTAGCGTCGTAAATTCGGCCAAAACTAGTAATGTAGGAGAGAGTGCAATAATGAATATGTCATTAAATATGAGTATATTTTCGTATATTTTGATAAAATATTATAAATAATTGAATAATAGATCACCATTTATGGTTAAATCAATTTAAATATCCTGAAATTAATTTTTATCAACCCTGTTCGAGTTAGTAAATTTGCTATTAAAAACAGCAGCCATCTTAAGAAAATGTTATTTAGAGTAGCTTCCCTTTCATTTCTATTCGTATGAAAATGTATTTAAATATGATTGTCTTGTTGTATAGTCCGTATAACAAAGCATTTTTTTTTAAAATTCTGCTCTTTAAAAACTGAATGTCCTAAGAAACAACTTTATTAATTCTAGAAGCATTGTGAGATGCAACTTGTATCCATGTTTTAAATCACATTTTTTTCTTCTAATGTTTATTTGATCTTACTATTACTATATAGTTTGAGTTTTTTCTTATTGTTTGAATGTTCACTATTTTCATTTCAGGTTTTTCTTTTCATCAGTTAGATCTAGTGATTCTATCGTAACTTATGACATTTTTTTTACTTCTCTTTACCTTAATTAAACCCTAACCTCCGTCATATTTTTGTTGTCAATGTCACAACAAGTCATAAGGGGGCACCCATAAATGACGTCACACTCGTAGGGGGGAGGGGGGGGGGGGTCCGTAATTTTGTGACGATGTGTGATGAGGGGGAGGGGGGTTCAGATGTTGCGACGTCACATTTTTGCATTATAAAAAAGCAATGTTACAAAACGAATTTTAGACGTTATTTCGCGTTTTAGATAACTGTTTTAATAAATTGTAATAGTTTAGACAAGATTTTGGAAAAATATCGATGTTTTTAAAAAATTCAACTGCAATTTTGAGGGGGGGGGGGTTGTAGGTTGAGGTGTGACGTCATTTTAGGGGGGGTCTGGCTTTTTGTGACGACGTGTGACGGAGGGGAGGGGGGGGGAGGTAAAAATCGTCAAAAAAGCTTGATGTCATTTATGGATGACCCCTAATGTAAAAAATTACGCTTTGCTCTGCCTTATCTAAGATCTCTAGCCATAATTTTGACAACAATAAATGTTCGTCATCATTTATATATACAGAGAGACAAAATGTATTATCCACCAGCTTCCCTCGTAAAACATCATCTAAAATAATCAGCCACTCCACCCCTTAAGTGCGTGTTGTTACTATGGTCGATCGCAAGTCTCCACCTGCCAGACACATTTTGGTTATCCTTTGTCGTCAAAATGTCAATATCAAGTACCCAAGTGAGTGATATGGGGTTGTCCATAAATGATGTCACATATGATTTGCTACGGGAGTGAGTGAAGATTTGTGACGTCAACTCAGGCGGCTTTGCAATTTATGACGTGTCGGTCTCATGAAAGGAGGTGAACGGGGAAAAATACCTATGTGGTTGATGGAGAACCTCTATAATGCTTTGTTCAATCAAAATAACGATAAATAAGCATTAGTATACGTATACCTTGCTTAAAACGAATTATCATAAATGTTGCAAGTCTGCTAGTTTAAGACATTTGGCAAAACGGCCTTAACTTAACACATTATCCCCGTCAAAAAGGCTTGCCACCAAATGCCTGCCGACGAATAAGCCGCGTCTAATGCTGGGCGTTAAGAATACGGCCATTAGCATGGGCCGCGTTAGAGCACCAGTAGGCTATCGCGCTTTGTAAGATGACGTATATACTTAAATTCAATTTCGCTAAACTGCGCAAAAATTTAGCAATGTTCCATCGTTTGAGGAAATTTATTTTCTTGGACTTAAATTGAAATATCATGTTGACTGTCTGGCTCATAATTTCCGAATATCACTTTTAATGTATCAAGATTCAGAACTATAATTTACTTTAATATAAGTGTCATCTTATCGTTTATTGTGGTTTTTAAAAAGCGCAGAGCAGCTACAAAATCGGACGGCCATCCTGTTTTCACCAAGCTTCTTTTGGAGCTCAATATGGTTAGTCTAGTTCTATACGGTGTGAGCTTAATACATTTTTAAAGGGCCGAAAGTCTCAAGACAGCAAGCTTGCAGAAATAACTACGTACGTTTAAATGGACGAGTGATAGATGTGTTAGGGGCTGTTTAATGAACACCAACTTATGTAATCAAACTAAACGTCGCAAAAGCGTCAAAAAGGCAGTGCTTGTTGTTTTTTTTTCTATAAAATTAGCCTAACGGTCGGCGGTACCGCTACATGACGTCACGTGCGAGCGTTAACTCGGTGACGATGAGCTAAGTGGGGGAATGAAAAAGGTAGGGTTCAAGAAATGCGACTCGGCAAGCTTTTTACATTTCTTGACCCTTCTTAATAGTTCTTTCGTCCCAACTGAGAAAATGGATCACCAATGAATGACGCGTCATACTTCTACAGCTGGTCTTTCTCCCACAACCATCCCGTTTTCACGAAAAAAACCCTGACCCGTCTCCAAAATCACATCGCTGAGTTCTGCTCAACCTCTCCCCACCACAAATCACAATTTCTATATGAAACAATATGTTCATATGTTTGCTCTGTAATAATGCACGCTGTCATTACTATCTTAAGAGCGACGTCATTTATGAGCGATCTAATATTGATTTGCTTACTGCAAATAAAGTGTTCAAAAGTTCGATCTCCCAACAATTGTTGTGGTCTTGGATGCACACTATTAAGTCTGATAAGGTCTATTAGTCATTCATGTCAACTATATTAAAAAAAAGAAAAATTACTATACAGGGGGTCATCCATAAATGATGTCACGCTTTTTTGACGATTTTTACCCCCCCCCCTCCATCACACGTAGTCACAAAAAGCCAGACCCCCCCCCTAAAATGACGTCACAACCTCAGCCTACAACCCCCCCCCCCCCTCAAAATTGCAGTTGAATTGTTTTTAAACAGCTATATTTTTCCAAAATCTTGTCTGAACTCTGTCAAAATAGAGTATTTTAATCAATTGTTATTACAATGTATTAAAACAGTTTTTTAAAACGCAAAATAACGTCTAAAATTCGTTTTGTAACATTGCTTTTTTAAAATGCAAAAGTGTGACGTCGCACCATCTGAACCCCTCCCCCTCATCACACAACGTCACAAAATTACGGACCCCCCTTCCCCCTACGAGTGTGACGTCATTTATGGACGATCCCCCGGCATATATTAAAACAATACAAAACAATCATATTAAACCACAAAATCAATCAACACAAAAGACATGCGAATAGACAATTTCTTTTTTTTAAAACATGGCCGCTGCTTGTATTTACTCATTGTTGTCTCGAACGGGGTAGTTTAAAGTTTATTCCAGGATATTTATGACTGGTTTGGTCTTGGATTGTGATTTGTTATTCAATTATCTGTTATATTATGTAAAATATGACATAAATATGGCCAAATGAAAGAAATATTCATTAGTTACCTTCATCGCACATTACTAGCTACGTTGGAATTTACGACGCTAAACTAAGATTTTACCCAGTACAGGTACAACCAGTAGTCAGTAGCACTAGAAATCTAATATTTTTTATTAAAAATTAAAACCAAACTAACAATTTTCTTTTAATTCAAATAGTCAAATAGATCTAGGCCTGATTGTAGCTGGGCTATTAAAGTTAAGTGTTGGCCTAATATTTAAAAACTACAAACTTATAAATTAATAATGATTATTACTTGCAGCTGAAGGTAGACATTAGGACCGGAAACAGTCTTGCTACTTTCATTTCTAGAATATATTGTAAATTGTTTCATTATCGCCCGTTCCAACTTTTATAGGACGAAAACTTGAGTTATCACACTCCCCCCCCCCCCCCCCCTCAGAGTTGAACCGAAAGTGTATTCCTTTGATTAAAAACAAGTTAATTAAAAAGTCTAGTGACATTTAAGCGCAATTTCCTCATGTTATCTCTGTAGTAGCGTAAATCAAGAGCAGGGTTAGTAAAACCATTGGTTAGTTATTAAAACGTTTTTTATTAATTATTTTTCAGTATTTTACATGTTTTATTTACAATAGAGTTACATGACTAAAAACCATTGCGCGCCTAGCTACTGAACGTGATGACGCAGCCATTGAACGTGATGGCGCAGCTATTGAACGTGATGACGCATGTGGTGTGGTTGGATAAATATGCCTACTAATTCGGTCCAAATTTTAATTAATTCAAAAAAAAATTTGTGACCGAACGGAAGGATATTTTTGAAAACTTTCTTCGGCAATATTGTTCTAAATTATGACAGGAATCGATTGGTACATGTTTCAAGTCGCTAAGTGGTCTGGTTGCCGAGATATGGGTCAAAAACTGCCTTTTTTTCGAGGTTTTTTTGGCTTTTCCGGGAAATCCATGAAAGAAACCCGGAATTTTTATGGCCTATGTTCATCCTCGTAACTTGCTTAACATAATTGCTTTTGGAACTAGTCATCGATATTGCTTCGTTGAGGAGGAGATACGACTTAAAGCTGCGGACACACATCCATCCATCCATTCATACATCCAGAAATGACGGGTTAATAAACGCAATTCTCCAAAATGGAAATTGCGTTAAAAATATAATATGAATAGTTCTGCATAATACTTTATGTTGATTCCTTACCCCTCCCACAACGTAGTTTAATGACAATCCTTATGAAAAGTTTTTATGAATAACCCATGTATAGGTCACAAAGAATACAATTTATAAAAGGCTACGGTAGTAGACCTACTATACTTTTTGTCCTGAAAAGAAATATGGTATAGAGGTCACACATTTCTTGACGATTTTTACCCCCCCCCCCCCGGTTCTTCCAGGCATCTCTTCTACTCCTCTCCCTCCAACGAAATTGAATTTATATAGAAATAAATACTTCCTTTTACTAGTTCCGCCCCCCCCCCCCCCCAATTTTTTTTCTCTAAAATATTGACCAAGCTTTACAACTGCCATATAATTACTAGTCCACTAGCCTAGATTCACATTGACACTACTTCAGCACCCAAACTCAATATGATATTAATTTTATATGTTTTATATTTATAGAACACAAGGTACTGCTATTGATACAATACCATGTTATCATCTTATTCTAATTAATCTTTTTAAAATTATATTCTAGTATGATCAACACTTAGGTGCTTTTTCACAACATTTATAAGGTAGTAGGCAGTGAAAATACAAGTTGATCATATACAGATATATTACTAATAAAAAATTACATATGCATTTTAAATTCAATGTGGGACAATTCAACTCCAATGTAAAATCAGTGCTACTGAGACTTGGATGATGACATAGACCACCATTAAACAATTGTCTCAACAAAAATACAACTAAGGAACCACTTGCCTGACACAATCAGCCGATGCAAAGCTCTGGGAAGGAACCAGGCAACTTTCTGGAAAATGGATAGTGTACAATCTACATAAACTGGCAACCAGCCACTATGACTAACACTTATGGTTAAAGTTAAACCCCCAAAGATCTTTGGGTGGCAGCCCATTTCCCAGCAGGGTATGAATGAATTCTACTGTAGTTACAACAGCAAATATTTAATGAATACTCAACACACTTTCACTAGTTTCACGAAGACAAAACAAGACCAGATTTTTTTTCTCACTTTTAGCATACCAGACACAAACCAGAATTGAAAAACCTTAAAAACTGATGGTTGAATTTATATTTATTGATACAAGTTTTAAAAATTATGTTTTTAGTATGATGTTGGTATTTCACCAATCTTTGCCTTGCATTCCTCAAACAGATCTTTAAAGCCGTCATGATGTTTAATTAGCACCACACATGCTTGTCGTTTTGTGCCGTAAGATTCACCAAGTTCAGATTTTGAAGGTGTGTAGCAATATGGAATTTCCCCTTCCTCACAGACTATGGGAATATGTGAAATGATGTCATATGGACTCACATCCCCAGCTAAAATGACAATCCCCTTATCTCCCTTTCGTAAACGCTTTTGGACATCTTTGATTCCTTTGTGTAGGGCATTGTTTGCCTTGGCTTTACTAATCATTTTGTAAAGTCTTTTTGTTAATTTCTTGGAGGCCAATGGGCTGGCGATTGGACTTAAATGTTTGACTTTCTCCTCCCAGCTGATTTTGGGTTGCTTAGAGATGCTCACATCATTTTCACTTTCGTCAATTGATTGGTCCACATCTGATCTCTTGCGTTTGCCCATGACTTGTCTGAAAAGTTAAAGCAAAATAGTTCAAAACCTTTTTTTTCAAAATTTAATATCATTGAGCTTGTTACACTTATTGATAAATATATTAATTTTAAGAAAAACCAAAGCAAGATAAAGCAGAACATGGCACCAGGTATTAATAATAATAAACTGAAAATGCTGCAGCGCTGGTGGATGAGTCGGGGCAGGGATACTAGGCTTCTACGTCTAGCAAAAATAAAAATGCCCTGCAACCATTTTAATTAACCATTAATGTCCCGTAACGCCCGCTGCCGCCCGACACCGTTAATGTCCCGTAACGCCCGCTGCAAATACGCATAGAAAAATTAAATTTGTTTCATTAAAATTTGGCCTACAAATCCTAATTTTTAACTAAACAGGAAGTCGGATAGTTTCACCATCCTTTTCCGGTCTTATAATTTCAATGGCGCTTTTGAAAGATAAAAAATAATAGCTTCTTTCGATCTCGAAATTTTAGACTCATCTGTCCTTTTTTTTAGTAGATTTAATGTTAAAAATAAAATAAAATAATGCCTTTAAACGTATCTAGGCATGTATTTTATGAATTATTTATCTTAAACATAACCAAATTGATATTTAACTGTTAAATTCGATGCTTAGTTGTTTAGACAAAAATAAATAAAGTTGACTACCGAAAATGACCTGTTTTGAATTTTCTCCGACATTTTTTATTTTTTTACTGTACTTTTACCGAATATAATATATTCTATTTAATACTGTTGGAAAGCCAGGTTTATTCCCAACATTAAGCAGTAGTTTTTATCTTAATTTTCAATTTCATTTAGAAAAAAACAAATATTTTGTGAAACTATTCACTTGATCATACAGAGTTATGCTCCTTACATTGGGCCGTCATGGGTGGAGTTTTGGTAGAATGAATGGGACATTAATGGTTAATACAAGTGAAGTAAAAAAATTTAAAAAGGTAAAGTTCCCTTTTTGCTTTTGGAACCTGAAGGTCCATGGGCAAGTGAAGTAGAGTTCACCTGTTTCTGTGACTTCAGCATATGAAGGAAGGGATAGCGTTGCCAGCACTATACCCAGTAGCACAAGTGAATTACTTTAGTTATATTAGTAGTAGTAGCTTAAACACTAGTACTAGATCTAGCTTAGTACTTATATAGTAATATATATATAGTAGCCTTACAAGGTTAATGTGAAAACTGGCAAAAAGAAAATGGATAGGACAAAAATTATTTTTGTAGGCCCTGCACTAGAAATAGATCAACACCCTACACGCCCTACAGTCTACAGCCCTACACTCACTACACTGAAATAGACCTGACGGTCTATGGGGCAAGTGAAGTAGAGTTCACTTGTTTCTGTGACCTCGGCATATGAAGAGATAGTGTGGTCAGCACTATGCCCAGCCGCCTTTACTTTCCCTAACGTGAGTTAGGTACCCATCAGAGTTGGGTGGACTCAGAGACGGTTTACTGACTTGAACCCGGATTCGAACTCGAGGCTTACGGGTTAGCAGTCCAGCTCTCTACCGCTAGACCACTCCATCCCATGAAATAGAATCTTAAGTTGTTTTTATTTTTTTATTTTTATTAGGGCATTTAGGGGCTAGATTCTAGATCTAGAATCTTCTATGCAAATTAAATAAATATATATAATTAAATAGATCTAGAAATCTACTACTAGTGACTAGTCTAGAATTCTAGATCTAGTCTAGTCAGCTGAGGAAGATTAAGTAGGCCTAATAATAGATCTAGTAATAAGTATTAAGAAGTTAAGAGGCCAGATCTAGACTTCTAGATCTAGTTAAGTTAAGTATTAGATCGTGGTCGACTGAGAATAGGCCTGCTTATTCAATTTAATTTTAGTCGACTGGGAATGTTCAGTATTCTATTCATTCAGACTTCAGTACTCGCTACTCCTGTTCCCGGCCGGCCGAGGTGACTGATTCACTGAGAAATTCAGAAATCTTCGGTCGGCCAATTTCGTATTCTTTTTCATAGAACAATTGTGGGGGAAAAACGATCTCGCGGCTAAAGTGAAACGCAGTTTCGATAAATCTATTTTTAAAATATCAAAATAAAAATATTCATATCAGTAAACACAAAAAAAATGTAAATAAATGCATAAAAATACTTTGCGACTCTTGTTCGATAGACTACAACACTAGGAAATAGAGAGCGTGGTGTTCCACCACAACAAACAGTGTTGTTTTTAATACTACCGGTTAGGCCTACTGAGAAATGTTTCGCTTTATTCAACCTAATTAATTTATTTTGATATATAGGGAATCTGAACTTGTGCACCTAATGATTTGTAAATCAAGTAAATGTATATAATTAATTTTTATTATAGTAGATCTAGATGTTAAACCACCATATTTTAGAAATGGGAGTGCTGTTTTATTTGCCTATTAGATCTAGTAAGCCTAAATGTATTTATTATTATATATGTATGTGGGAGGGTGGTGGCGGAATAAAAATAGTAGAATGATGCAACGCACATGAAAGGAATGTGTGACGTATTTTACATTGCTATATTATAGTAATTAGGCCTATATTTCAGATAACCTGAGTAGTGAGTATCTGAGATGTTTCCCATTGACACAGAAAGACTTAATTTCGACTTATGATGGGTCGTCCATACAAATCACTCTCTCAAAGTGGGAGTTCGGATTTTTTTGTGACGACGTGTAAGCAGAGGCGTAGCGACCCTTCCCGGCGCCCGGGGACATACTTTCAATTTGGCGCCCCCTTGGGAGCAAATTTTCGATTTGCACCCCCCCCCCTCGAACTTTTCATTTGCACCCCCCCCCCCTCAAACTTTCGATTTGCACCCCCCCCTCGAACTTTTCATTTGCACCCCCCCCTCAACCTTTCAATTTGGCGCCCCCCTAAGGTCGGCGCCCGGGGACATATGTCCCCCCCCGCCCCCCCCCCTCGCTACGCTACTGCGTGTAAGGGGTCATCCATAAATGTGTTAAATGATGTCACGCTTTTTTTGACGATTTTTACCTCCCCCCTCCCCTCCATCACACGTCATCGCAAAAAGCCAGACCCCCCCCCACTAAAATGACATCACACCTCAACCTACAACCCCCTCAAAATTGCTGTTGAATTTTTCTTAAAACATCGATATTATTCCAAAATCTTGCCAGAACTATGTCAACATGGAGTATTTTCATCAATTATTATTACCATTTTTTAAAACCGTTTTCTAAAACGCGAAATAACGGCTAAAACTCTTTTTCTAACATTGCCTTTTTATAATGCAAAAGTGTGACGTCACACCAACTGAACCCCCCCCCTCCCCCTTGCCCCTCATCACACACCGTCACAAAATTTTGAACCCCCCCTCCCCCCTACGATTGTGACGTCATTTATGGACGACCCCTAACAATGGTGATGGAAGGGGGGGGGGGGTTTCAGAAAGTGTGACGGCACGCTTTTACATTTTAAAAAAGTTTTGTCGTTATTTCGCGGTTTCAAAGACTGTTTTTGTAATATAATACACTAAACTGTTGACACTAAACTGAAAGCGGCGTTTAAAAAAAGAATTCTCATTTTGAGTTGTGGGGGTGGCTGGCTGAGATGTGATATCATATTTAAGGCGTTGTAAGGGGCAGAGTTTCTTCCAGGCATCTCTTCGGGGGGGCTTTGCCCCCCCGAAAAATTTTTACCGCCCCCCCGAACGAAATGAAATTTATATAATTTATATAGAAAATATATACTTTTAACAGTGTCCCCCCCCCCCCCCCCCCCAAAGAAAGTTTACCGACCCCCCGAAGATTTCAAGTGCCCCCCCGGAGAAAAAAGTCTGGAAGAAACACTGGTAAGGGGCGTTTGGAGGGGGGGGGGGGGGTGTCTTATTTTCGACACTGTGCAGCAATGTGGAGGGAGAGATAAAAATATTTGTTTTCAACCCCACCCCTCCTCTACTCACACAAAAGTCCTAGGAATGTATAGCATAATAAAGACTTAAAAATTAATGATTGGACAACCAAAAGTACATAACAGTACATCACTTCACTAATTAAATGGTTACTGACTTGAAAGTTTTAAGTTCTGATCCCATACCCTGAATCTGTAGGACCTCCCTGAGACGAACCAGCTCTGATGGGTACCTGACTCAAGTTAGGGAAAATAAAGGCTGCTGGGCATAGCGCTGACCAGATAATATCGAGGCAGCTAGCTGACCATAAAATATTCTTTTGTCTGCCATGGTAACAGAAGCATGTAATTCTACTTCACATGCCCGATGGGCCATCAGGTTTGAAAGGGTAGCATAACATATTAACTTCACTAAAGGGTTTTTCAAACACAAACGAAAGACGAAATGTATTATTAAATCATCTTTTTATTATCTGATTCATGGTAACAATGAACAACAACATAGTCACACAACATCAAACAAAGTTGTAACTACAGCTGGCACAAGCCAGTGAAGAAGAAACATCATGAAGACACAGTAATTATTCAATACCACAAGTAATTAGATAATTTGTTTGTTCTACATGGAGTGATTGAATGAAAATTGTATTAAATTTAAATGAACTATTTGCAAAAAAATATTTTTTTATGTATAACATAAATAGTCTAGAGTGTATTTAAAAAAAGAGTTAATTTTTATAATTATTGATTTGATTTCAGTGTTAGCTGAAGGATTGCTCTTGTCCATTAATTTTGTAAGATTAAGGCAAGGCAACTGTTTTATTTCTTAATAAAATAAAATAATGTAAAATAATCTGGTGTTGTATTAATTTGATTCATTTAAGAAAAAGATAATTTTTCATAATCTAAAGAATATAAAATTGTAATTTGCATCCCAAGAGTTGCTTTCAAAATATTGAAAACATTTTTAAAAATGCAATTCAACTGAATAATAATTGAATAAAAATATGGGCCTGCTTCTGTCAAATAGAAGCAAAAAGTAAAAAAAAAATTAAGCCCCAGTTAAACAATGTGTTGCGTACATTCATTTGAAGAAAAAAAAACGACTTTTTTAAAAAGTAAAATTGATGAATAGATTGTGAAGTGTGAGATTCGAAACACGGTGTGGTATAGAATTATCAAAAATAAAGGAGAAAAAGGTAAAACATAATTTTGTTAGCTCAGAGAAAAAAAGTCGTGTTTGTTTTTTGTTGAACGGCAGAATATAAAAACTTGTCTCATAAGCAATTCTACTTATAAATGTTTTAAATTGACATATACACTAACTGGTAGTAGAGAACACATCAGGAAATCACTTCATTTGTATATACAGGTGTTGAAAATAATTTCATACTGTTTCATGTGAAGAAGATGTTTTTTTTAAAAAATAAGAAACAAAAGAAAGACTGGAAGTTTAAATCTAACAACATAAACAACATTTGAAAACAATCTAACACACTTTTTCATTTTTAACAAAAGCAAACGTAATCAGTTTTCTAAGTTGCATATATGAGTCCATTTTATATGAACACATCATACAGTATCAATAGCAACTATTTCATTTGCAGCTGAATTTTAGAAATGGTATAGAAGATGTTTTAATAAAACCACTTTTTAATGTAAAGCAGTCAAGATTTTACGATAAAAATATTTAATCTAAACCAGTCATAAATGCTTCAGTTACCAGTGTGCACAGGAGCTTGCAAATCATGTGACTAATATCTATTTATAGACTAGAGGTTTCAGAAACCTTCCAAATGTTAACACTGCAGAAACTTTCTTAGGACAGAAGAGGTAGAACATTTAAAATTAAGTGTCTGATTAGGCATGTATCAGGCTAAACATTATGTGGGAGCCCCTTAAAGTAATAACATATAATACGGGGATGATTGATGTTATGAGAAATATGGATGGGGTTCTTAAATTTCTAGGCCCCTGGAAGCAATCTCCTGCACAATTAAAAAACTATTTCTGTTCATATTACTTTGATAAAATCTGAATTTTACAACAGAACAAGCACTGGTTTGGTTATAAATACAACAAGCCCAAAAACATTCTGTGAATCAACCCAGGCACTAAATAACAGATCTGATCATGTTGTTTTTGTGCAAACTTATTACTTAAAACTTCCACCATCTATTTTAGTACTTTCAAAATCGCCAACTATAAAATGACGCAACAAATAAAGAATAAATGAAATATGTGGCGAAAAATTGTGTCAAAAATTAATTCAACAACAAAGGGGACGAAAAAAAATTAAAGCTATTATTTTTTTTTTAACAAAAAATTTACTTTAACAGTGCAGTCAGTTCTGATGCAAATTCAAGCCTTCTTTTAACTGGGTACACCGGGTGGGCAAAATTGGATAAACAGTGGCACTCCACAATAAAAAAATTATGATCTTCTGCAGGCAGAAGTTAACTTTATATCATCTACTGCTAGATAAGAGCATAGTTTTATTAGCTTATATAATGACTACTTGTTAATTATTTTGTTGCTGTTTCATTTTTTATTTATAGTAGTTCATCAGTACACATGTTGGAGATTGAAATATTTTTAAAACAAAAAAATCATTACGTTAATTTTTTTTCAACTATTAAAAAAAAAATTTTTTTTGTCAATTACATAAAACAGTGTCATATTTTTTGTCAAATACATAAAATAATGTGAAAACAATTTTCTAAAAAAGTTCTGTCCTTAGTAAAAGATTATTTAGCTCGGACCTTGTTCAGATAAGCCCCACCATCAGCACACAAAAAAGATTATTAAAAAAAAAATTGTACTTTTAGTTTTTAATCCATCCTCAACCTTAAAGGAGTTATTTTTATGGCGTTCGTTTAATGTCAATGTTGCTTGCCTGCATTTAATTGGAGCTGGTAAAAACTGGCGGGCTTAATTTTTTGCCATTACACTTTTCGCATTAGTGGCGGGGCTTATCTGGACAAGATCCTTTAGCTCTAATAACCATTTGAACAGAGCCCCACTGTATTCAACACCTTATAGTTTATCCTACATCACACAGACACTGACTAGACTCACACTTCTAACACTAGATGACTACAAGTACTAAAAAAAGAGACTTGAAATGCTAAAAAGCAAATTAGAAAAAGAAGTTGAAAATGCTTTCAAAAATGTTTTAGATGTAGCTAGTGATTTAACCATTAAATAACCACAGTTTTTGTGTCAACACATTGTCTAGATGTGCTGTGTCCCATTTAGTCTTAGATTGTATCACAATTAGTCTAGATTGTATCCCACTTGGTCTAGACTGTATCCCACTTAGTTAAGATGTGCTGTATCCCACTTAGTTAAGATGTGCTGTATCCCACTTAGTTAAGATGTGCTGTATCCCACTTAGTTAAGATGTGCTGTATCCCACTTAGTTTAGATGTGCTGTATCCCACTTAGTTTAGATGTGCTGTATCCCACTTAGTCTTAGATTGTATCCCACTTAGTTTAGATGTGCTGTATCCCACTTAGTTAAGATGTGCTGTATCCCACTTAGTTAAGATGTGCTGTATCCCACTTAGTTTAGATGTGCTGTATCCCACTTAGTCTTAGATTGTATCCCACTGAAGTCTAGATTATATCCCACTTAGTCTAGACTGTATGATGGAAATCATAATATAATGTTCATTTTAGACATTGTATGGTCATTTAAGGGTTAAAATATTTTAAAAAATGAAATTTAGGATTGATTTTTTTTTTTTAAATTAATTTTAGAATAAAAATAAAAAGTGAGGCACTTTACACTTGACAATTTCTAAGGCTTTTGATTTGCTCTCAGAGAAAGTAGTACACACATTTACATACATTTTACAAACTTTATATTTAAACATTTTACTTCTAATTACAAATTTTATATACCAAGAAATCAACAGAGATGAAAAAAAAAGTCTGAAGAGTGTTTAGAGAATCAACAAAAGTGTAACAACCACAACTAACCTTTATACAATTTTAAAGCACCCTTTGTGTGGCAAAATATTTATGACAATGATAAAAAGAGAAATCGCCCCTAAAAAAAAATAAATCAAGAAAGCATGGACCCAACACAGTAAACAACAAGGCATGAAAATATGTAGACCCAAGTATTTCAAAACAGTTTCTCCATCTCATTAGAAATATACCCAGTGCTTTATTTGTATAATTAAAATGTGTTTGGATGATGCTTTATGCAGTGGAATGACATATTGCATAGTACAAGCACTATTATTTAAAAAAACATTTATGTGATTGATGAATGGGTTTTAGTAGAAGTTAAAAATAGCACAGTAGTTATGCTATTTCGGCAGCGACTTATCAGAAAATTGGAAAAAAAAAAAAATTTTCAAGTTCATTGACGAGAGCCTATATAATTGATTTTATATTCAAAGGAGAAAATAAATAAATATCTTAAGAATTTATTTGTAAAGTACTGAAGTATTTTTGTACATGCATGGGTCAGACCGAAGCCTATATATTAATAGACGGATATTAGATAGCTAATCTAATTTAACGGTTTCGGTAACAGTCAAATTAAACCAATTAAAGTTTAGGTATTCTAAAAAGTAAATCATCACACTGCATTTATTAATAAAAACAGCACTGGGTATAGTTACTGTGAGAAAACATTACAAAAGGAGGATGGGAAAAATATAGGAAAAAACATAAAGAAAATAACAAATGTATTCAGCTGAACAAATATAAAACAAAAACATACACACTCAATTACAAACTTATGCATAGTTTTCTACAAATGAAATTTTCCTGAAATAAGACTTGAAAAAGTGAAATCGAACATATAATACAGTAAGATTTTACATAATACACAAAAAGAAGGTAGATTTTTAAAAAATGCAACTAATTAAATAAATCAATTAGTTTAAAGTATTTAAAAAGTGATTGTAATCAATTATGTATAAAATTATGAATTATAATATAAACAAAAACTCTAAATAATAAGATACAACACAGGGATATTATTTGAAGTGTGGCTGCTATTATTACAAAGCTCCATTAATATCCATAGTTTGTATTAATAATTGCAGCAATCTTTGTATTAATATCTCTTTTAATATGCTCCATACAGATCTAAATAGGCTAGGTATGGATGGTGAAAATTAATTGGACACAAAATTATATCCTTAATCAGTGAAATATAAATTTGACCTTTATTATGATTGTCTCTGGTAACAATCTTCTAAAAACAAAAAACAAGTGAAAAAAAAGGAAAAGAATAACGTCTTTATCAGTGTTTTTAAAAAAAGGTTATCTGTTTTTAAAACAATTTAATGAAAAAAAAATATTTTAAAGAACTAGTAGGAAGTTTGAAAAAGAACATGATCAAAGTAGGCAAAAATTCTCAAAACCTAAAGAAGATTTACATTTTTATATATGGTCCATTACACAAATCTTTATTTACAAAATACTCTCCAACCATGTTGAGATACTGGCAAAGTTTAAAATAAAAACCATTTCAAAACAATATTTAACAAAGAAAATGTTTGAAAACAATGTTTGGGCAATGTACATTAGAAGGTAGATGAACAAAGAAAATGAGATCCTACAGAAATTCTCTAGCTCTACAAATATAATCTTTATTTTTTATTAACATGAAATCATATGGAACAAGAAAAGAAAATCTTACAAAAAACAACCAAGTTTTCAAAGTGAAATAAAGTATCTTTTTTGCAAACAAAACAAGTATTATTTGTGAAGTATGTGGTCATTGATCAACAGTAGTGATCAAATTCAGAAGTGATCATTTATAAGAATTATTGACAATTAATTAACAGAAAAGGTAGTTAGACATCAAGTCTATTTGAAATACCAATTGTAATTCCACATTAAACAAAATATTTTCATTTTCTAAATAGATATAAAGATAGTATTAGAATAAATTGAGCTGAACAAAATAAAAACTAGAAGTCATGTAAAGAGAATTATTTTAAAAAACCTTTGAATTTTTATAAACAGAAAGAAAAGAGCAAAATCCAGATAAATTGACCGATATACTGAATTATTTTATAAAAAAAATAGTGTAGAATTAGAATTTTTATATGAAACAAAAGATTTAGAGCAAAATTAAAACAAATGACTGACATACGAATAAAAAAAATGTAGCATGAAGTTTCTGACAAAATCAGTTAAACCTGATGAGTTTAAAGAAACAATTCGGTAACAATAAAAATAATTAAAAAAATAAAGTTAGAAAAACACTTACTTAAACCCACCTATTTTAATGACCACTTTTGGCTGAAAAATGAAATCTAAAAAAAACAAAACTCACAAAACTAATTTTAAAAACTAATAGAGAAAAAAAACAACTAAAATACGTAAATTTAGGGAAAAAAATTTGAGAAACACATCAACAAATATAAATAAACATCACCCTAGTGTGAGTGTATATATGTAAAGCAGTAACCATTAGCAAAACACTTGCAACTTTTGAATACTATTTGAAAAATAACACAAAATCAATTTGTTTGTAAATAATGTTGTAAGATCACGATATAAATAATACCTCCAAAAAATAATTGCAAAAGATAAACTAAAATGGGATAATGTTAAGCCTTGCTTTTGTTTATCTAAAAAAAATTTCTACACAGCAATAGGAGAATGGTTTTTTCTATAATTCAAAGCTAGCAATTTACAAGTTAGTAAAAAAAATTAATTTTTTTTTTACTGAAACTACAAATAACATTGTTGAATAAACTAATGGTTCACATGGAAATATTGCCATTTATTAAACCATTAATACTTTTTGGTAAATACACCTTAATAAAGTATTCTCTGTAATAGTGAACCAAGCTATATTTAATTAGCTAACTCCTTTTTTACAAGATTCAATATAAACTGATAACAGTACTCTAAATTACATTACTACTATCTTATACCTTAATTATATATAACAAAAAAGCAACAAAAGAATCCATTTAGGGGTCAGTATAACAGCAACATACATAACATTCCATAACTTTCCATTCATAACTATTTAACATTTTTTATAAAGTTTCTAGACAATCAACATGAAACAGTTATGGCCTGTGTTCTAAGAATTGTAGTGTTCTAGTTGGGGATTATGTGTTGGACTGTCTGATGTACTTGACTTGATGCCTTGAGCAGGCCCTGAAAAGTTAGCCAAAATTTGGTTTTTGTAACATTCGTAAATTATTGGGATTAATTTTTTTTAAGTTGCAAAAATTACAAAAAACCCAATGTTTATTCAAAATTAATGAATAATTTATACTTAATTAATTGACTTCATTTTTGAGTGGGTTCCCTGGTCTTTCAACAAAATAGGAACAATAACCCATAAATACAACAGTGAAATAGAAAACCATCACTTCTAGCTTAACTTGGTGGTTTGCACTACCTAATCCATATTTCACCTTATCTCAAGATTACTTCTTAAGTTACCTATACAAAAAAACTTCCCAAGTTGTCTATACAAAAAAACTTACTTCTTAGTGTTGTCTATATAAAAAAACTAACTTCTTAAATTGTCTATACAAAAAAACTTACTCCCTTAGTTGTATCTACAAAAAACTAACTTCTTCAGTTGTCTATACAAAAAACTTACTTCCTCAGTTGTCCCTACAAAAAAACTTACTTTCTCAGTTGTCTCTACAAAAAAACTTACTTCCTCAGTTGTCTATATAAAAAAACTGAGTTGTCTATCCAAAGAAACTTACTTCCTCAGTTGTCTCTACAAAAAACTTACTTCCTCAGTTGTCCCTACAAAAAACTTACTTCCTCAGTTGTCCCTACAAAAAACTTACTTCCTCAGTTGTCTCTACAAAAAACTTACTTCCTCAGTTGTCTCTACAAAAAAACATACTTCCTCAGTTGTCCCTACAAAAAACTTACTTCCTCAGTTGTCCCTACAAAAAACTTACTTCCTCAGTTGTCCCTACAAAAAACTTACTTCCTCAGTTGTCCCTACAAAAACTTACTTCCTCAGTTGTCTACAAAAACTTACTTCCTCAGTTGTCTATATAAAAAACTTACTTCCTCAGTTGTCTCTACAAAAAACTTACTTCCTCAGTTGTCTCTACAAAAAACTTACTTCCTCAGTTGTCCCTACAAAAAACTTACTTCCTCAGTTGTCCCTACAAAAAAACTTACTTCCTCAGTTGTCCCTACAAAAAACTTACTACTCAGTTGTCTCTACAAAAAACTTACTTCCTCAGTTGTCCCTACAAAAAACTTACTTCCTCAGTTGTCCCTACAAAAAACTTACTTCCTCAGTTGTCTCTACAAAAAACTTACTTCCTCAGTTGTCTCAACAAAAAACTTACTTCCTCAGTTTTCCCTACAAAAAACTTCATCAGTTGTCTCAACAAAAAACTTACTTCCTCAGTTGTCTCAACAAAAAACATACTTCCTCAGTTGTCCCAACAAAAAACTTACTTCCTCAGTTGTCTCAACAAAAAACATACTTCCTCAGTTGTCCCAACAAAAAACTTACTTCCTCAGTTGTCCCTACAAAAAAACTTACTTCCTCAGTTGTCCCTACAAAAAAACTTACTTTCTCAGTTGTCTCAACAAAAAACATACTTCCTCAGTTGTCCCAACAAAAAACTTACTTCCTCAGTTGTCTCAACAAAAAACATACTTCCTCAGTTGTCTCAACAAAAAACTTACTTCCTCAGTTGTCCCTACAAAAAACTTACTTCCTCAGTTGTCTCAACAAAAAACTTACTTCCTCAGTTGTCCCTACAAAAAACTTACTTCCTCAGTTGTCTCAACAAAAAACTTACTTCCTCAGTTGTCCCTACAAAAAACTTACTTCCTCAGTTGTCTCAACAAAAAACTTACTTCCTCAGTTGTCTCAACAAAAAACTTACTTCCTCAGTTGTCTCAACAAAAAACTTACTTCCTCAGTTGTCTCTCTTGGCGCTTGGCCAGCAGCCTCTCCTGCGTCTGCTGCAGCTCACGTTTCAGCACAATGGCGTGCTCCCTGTCACCCCTGATCTCCAGACTCTCCAGCTCCGCCGTCAGCTTGTCCGACTCCTCCCTCAGCTCCTGAATGCTGGCATAGATGTCACTCTCTTCCCCTTCCTGGGTCAACAGAAGACACAAGTCAGTTACTTGATGAACTATCTGTTAGTATGTTACCCTGGGCATCTATAGGGCAGATGAAGTAGAGTTCACCTGTTTCTGCAGACCTTTGCATATAAAGTCTATGGGGCAGATGAAGTAGAGTTCCCCTGTTTCTGCTGACCTTTGCGTAAAAAGTCTATAGGGCAGATGAAGTTCACCCATTTATGTGGACCTCTGCATATAAAAGGGATAGTGTGGTCAGCACTACACCCAGTTGCCTTTACTTTCCCTAATGTGAGTCAGGCACCTATCAGAGTTTGGTGGACTCAAGGACATCACATGGAATCAAATCTAGGATCTGAACTCAAGAATTTCCAGCCAGCAGTCATGTGCACTACTAACTGACCACGCTACCCCATCATAGTGAAGAGTAACATTTTACGCATGGGTTGAGCAATGTAAATAATATATTGATGGTGATAAGCAGTTAGCGTATTTGTGGGGAAAAAAATATAATAAATAGAAGCTGCATCTATGTTTTTGTTATTATTATTACTTTAGCAATGACATTTTCCTAACACCAGCCCTGATACAGAAGAAAATGTACTCAATGTGATTGTGTTTTGTTTAACAAAGCCACTGCTTGCCAGGTGTTACAGTATAGAACTGGGTTGGCCTTCATATTTAGCATAATGGCTAAGTAGACACTAAACCATATCATTCATACCCAGAAATCAAATAACTACTCAGGTTTTTATTTAATACACCCTTAGAAAACAAAACATCACTGCACAGAGTTTTTGGAGTGGAACCCACAAGGGAAGACAAAGAAAATTTCTTAGAGTTTGTATCAGTGTCAAAATAGCACTCCGTTTACAAAGCAATGCAGCTTCTTATGAGCAGGAAGGAGGTGGGGGAGGGGAGAAGGAGATAGTATCTACAAAGAATGAATATTTTAAAAAAATTCACTGTGACATTGAAAAAATGGTCAAAATAACCAGAAAAATTGGAAAAAGAACAATTTTAAAAAAAAGTTGTTAACTATCTCAGCTAATGTCAAAAAAAAAATCCCGCACCCCCTCTGCATTATTAATCAAAGTTACTGGTAACATCAAGAATTTAGATCCACCATTGAGCCCTCTCCTCTATAAGCCAAGCTTACCTTAGGATTTCTCATGTCCACGTGCACCAACAATGAAGCCAGCTCCAACTTCTCTGTGTAGCCATTACACAGTTGTATAGACCTGTAGCCTGTACGAGAAACACAAACCCACTTTAACACACAATTATTGTTTGTTTTAGGGTGAAAATAATCAGAATAATTATTTACACAAAATTTTGTTCTACAAGTTGGAAATCAGATAACAATTTTATAATAAACAAAAGGTAAAGAAAGTAAGGCAGGTTTGCATTCTTTAGTTAGGTAAAATTTCTTCATTTGTAATGTTGGAAGGGATTTCCGTAACAAATGAAGTACTATATGTTAAATTGTGTGTTATATAGGTCATTCACTATGATTTCAGCCTGCTTTTCTTTCTGGATTTGCTTCCATAGCCTTTGTACAACCAAGAATAAACTACAAGGCAGCAGTTGTTTGATTTTGGAGTTGTATCTCCTAGATGGGTTGCTGATCAAGCTGTCAAGCCTTATTGGCCCAAGGGTTTGAACTCAGGACTTTTCTTTTTAGCAGCCATGAGCTTTACTTACCCAACCATGCACAAGATTATAATATACTTAATTCATATTTTTTTTACAAAATGTAAATGTAAAGCCCAACCTTGTTTGATGCACTGGACAGGGTATGTGGCCTGACCAAGAAAATTTGGGTCACCAAACATGTCCTCGTCCATGACAGCAAACCTGATGAGAGCCAGCTCTGGGCACATGATGTCAAACACACACGAGTCCGTCCAGACTGGGTTTAGACCATTGTCCACTGCAACAAGAGGTCAAAGGTTGGGCAGGGAAATACATGAAATAACTAAAAGAAGATAGTGCATTAAACAAACACAACACAATACACATATAATAGAGTCCTGATTATAAAGAAATTATTTCTGTATTGAGCGCTGGAAATGCGCTTAAGTTCTACTAATGAAGGTGGATCCTTAAGCATCTCAAACCATTCTTCTTCTTCTTTCTTAATTCTAGTGTTAGAAGTGATTCCCTCCAAAACAATTAAGTATTACATGTCAACTTGTTATATGCATTCTAGGCCATTGTCTTCAATTTCAGCCTACTTTTCTGTTTGGATTTACTTCCATAGACTTTGTCCAACCAAGAACAAACTACAAGGCAGCAGTTGTTTGAGTTGTCTCTCCTAGAAGAGTTACTGTCACCAGCCCAGGGGGTTGGAACTCTGGACTTTTCGGTTCAGCAAACATGAGCTTACCAACCCGACCACACAAACCTCCATCTTAACCTATAAATATCAAAGTTATCAAGTAGATATAAATTTCCTGGTTTTGTTTATCTGAAGGTTAAAAACTGTAACAAGACACTTTGACCTGAAGTAACCAGTGAGTAACCAAGTGCTGAAGTAACCAAGCAGTGCTAAGTAACAGACAGGTTCTTCTTCTTCTTCGTTCTTAATTTTTAGTGTTGGAAGGGATCGAGCCTTATCTACAGGAGGGTTTGAACTCGAGACTTTTTTTTAGACAAGTTCTGAAATAACCCAGGTTGGCTGAAGTAAGCTACAAGTGCTGAAGTAACTAGCCACTCACCATGAGGGGTAGTTTTGTACTTTTGATTGTCGCATTCAATGCCAGCTATCTCAATCTCCACATAAGGACTAGCAATACCCCGGCCTTGTTTCACTAGATGCCGAGCTCCTATAATCTGTGGGGGGAAAGTACACAACAGTATAAAGTTGAATATAATTAGATATAAGGTCTTTGTATTTATAAAAATAAGGTAATGTCTTATTAAATACTATACTGTTGTATAGTAAAATATGTATGTAAAATACACTATTTGTATAGCAAAACAATACATTCTGTAAATAAAAATTAAAAACTATCTTTGGAGGGTTTTTTTTCAACAAGGCCATTAGTTATTATCATGGTGCTGCTTTTTAAAAATTACAATAAAATTATTGGAAGATTATCATGTAAAATTACTTTCTAATTAGCTTTACAAAGCTGAGAGCTTATTTAATCAAAGTGGCTGGGAAAGTAGGCCTTATACAAATCTATCAAGTCCAACAAAGATTTCTTTCAATTTATTGCTTGCATATTAATTTTTTGAAAATAACAAACACTTGACATTATGTTATTTAGTAGACTCAGAAGAAATAAAATATTGAAACAGAAAACTTACACTGATGGAAAGAATAAAAAAAAAGTAGGCATTATATGATACAGTAGAGTCAGGAGAAATAAAATACAGAAACAGAAAACTTACACTGATGGAAAGAATAAAAAAAAAGTAGGCATTATATGATACAGTAGAGTCAGGAGAAATAAAATATTGAAACAGAAAACTTACACTGATGGAAAGAATAAAAAAAAAAGTAGGCATTATATGATACAGTAGAGTCAGGAGAAATAAAATACTGAAACAGAAAACTTACACTGATGGAAAGAATAAAAAAAAAAGTAGGCATTATATGATACAGTAGAGTCAGGAGAAATAAAATACAGAAACAGAAAACTTACACTGATGGAAAGAATAAAAAAAAAGTAGGCATTATATGATACAGTAGAGTCAGGAGAAATAAAATATTGAAACAGAAAACTTACACTGATGGAAAGAATAAAAAAAAAAGTAGGCATTATATGATACAGTAGAGTCAGGAGAAATAAAATATTGAAACAGAAAACTTACACTGATGGAAAGAATAAAAAAAAAAGTAGGCATTATATGATACAGTAGAGTCAGGAGAAATAAAATATTGAAACAGAAAACTTACACTGATGGAAAGTATATAAAAAAATTAGACATTATATGATACAGTAGAGTCAGGAGAAATAAAATATTGAAACAGAAAACTTACACAGATGGAAAGTATAAAAAAAAATAGACATTATATGATACAGTAGAGTTAGGAGAAATAAAATATTGAAACAGAAAACGTACACAGATGGAAAGTATAAAAAAAAATAGACATTATATGATACAGTAGAGTTAGGAGAAATAAAATATTGAAACAGAAAACGTACACTGATGGAAAGTATAAAAAAAAAGTAGGCATTATATGATACAGTAGAGTCAGGAGAAATAAAATATTGAAACAGAAAACGTACACTGATGGAAAGTGTCAGAGGTTCAACATTGAGGGCGGTCAAAAATTTCTTCTCAAAAGGACTGTACAGGTCACTTCTCATTACATCAGGCTGGAGGACATAGCCACATCTGGTGGTGGAAATCAAAAGATTTTAAACATTGCAGAAACATTATACATGGAAAGAATTTTTTAAAATTGTGGGTATTTAAACATGTGGGATATTAAATGCAACATTTTTTTTTACATTGGGGGCAATTAAACATGAAAAGAATATTTAAAAACTGAGGGCATCTTAACATAGGGAATATTAAATGCAACATTGGGAAATATTAAACATACAATTTTTTTAACTGTGGGTGTTTAAACTAGTGAGATATTAAATGCAACATTCTTTACAATGCAAGATTTTAAACATAGAGGAATATTAAACAATACTTTTAACATCGATTATAACCATAGGTGATATTAATTAAACACAGGATTTTAAAGACAAGATGATATTAGACACATGATTTTAAACACCAGGGGGACGGGGGGGGGGGGGGGGGATTAAAAATATTTTTAACTTGGAGGATATCAAATACAGGAATTTTAAACACTGAATTCTGAACACTGTTAGTTAGACTTATTGAGAAAATTTAACACACAAGGTTTGAAACACATACATGTGTTTAATCAATTGATTAATTATGGTTAATGATTAACCTGAAAGCAGGCTACGATGAAAAGAAATATTTTATCACATGCTTTTTTTTCTTAGTAAAATAGTATCTTGCAAGACAAATGTTAATTCAACTAACTATTTAATAAATAACTGGTACTTAGTGATCAATAAGAATAATAAAACATTTTGTTTTTTGCTATATGTACATTGATAGTTATTTAGGTGATACAGAAAACCATTTTTGTATAACCCTCTCCCCTCACTTTTAAGTGTCATCTTCCAAGTCATGTAATGTTCCCTAATCTTAAGAAAGTTTTTTTTTTTACCTGCCATTCATGAGGAAGCGCCCTTGGTTGAGCTGCATGGCCCTATCAGGTGTCTGGTAGTTCAAGGCCAGCAGCTGTGACCCGCAGTTCCAGATGGGAACAGGGTCATAGTTCGAAGAGTCTACCCTTTGACCTTTGGGATACACTCGACTCAGCTGCTTCCTGTGATAGCTGTGTAAACCTAATTAAGGAATCTAAACATTGTGAAAAAATTTTCTTTCTGGTACTCTTTTTGGTTACAGAAATTTATAGTAATCAGGAATTGTAACACTACCAAAACTTATCTCCCTTTACCATAGATTATCTCCCTTTAAGAGTATAACCATGGAAGGATACGCAATAAATTGTTTGGCTCTCTGTTTGTTAACCCATTTCTCAACCTTGGTTTCTGGGAATGAAGACATTTCATAGTACGGGCCAGGAATTTCTGAAAATAAGACAACAAACATGTTTAAAAATTTGATTTCACTTTCATAAATTTCAGATGTTTCAAAAAAACTTTCAGCGTAATATCTAAAAATTTGCCAAACCAACCACACAGACATTACCTTCAGGGTTAAAGGGCACAGCTCTACAGTAAACAATCAGATCAGAAAACTCTCTAAACCACACAGACATTACCTTCAGGGTTAAAGGGCACGGCTCTACAGTAAACAATCAGATCAGAAAACTCTCTAAACCACACAGACATTACCTTCAGGGTTAAAGGGCACAGCTCTACAATACACAATCAGATCAGAAAACTCTCTAAACCACACAGACATTACCTTCAGGGTTAAAGGGTACAGCTCTACAATACACAATCAGATCAGAAAACTCTCTAAACCACACAGACATTACCTTCAGGGTTAAAGGGTACAGCTCTACAATACACAATCAGATCAGAAAACTCTCTAAACCACACAGACATTACCTTCAGGGTTAAAGGGTACAGCTCTACAATACACAATCAGATCAGAAAACTCTCTAAACCACACAGACATTACCTTCAGGGTTAAAGGGTACAGCTCTACAATACACAATCAGATCAGAAAACTCTCTAAACCACACAGACATTACCTTCAGGGTTAAAGGGTACAGCTCTACAATACACAATCAGATCAGAAAACTCTCTAAACCACACAGACATTACCTTCAGGGTTAAAGGGCACGGCTCTACAGTAAACAATCAGATCAGAAAACTCTCTAAACCACACAGACATTACCTTCAGGGTTAAAGGGCACAGCTCTACAGTAAACAATCAGATCAGAAAACTCTCTAAACCACACAGACATTACCTTCAGGGTTAAAGGGCACGGCTCTACAGTAAACAATCAGATCAGAAAACTCTCTAAACCACACAGACATTACCTTCAGGGTTAAAGGGCACGGCTCTACAGTAAACAATCAGATCAGAAAACTCTCTAAACCACACAGACATTACCTTCAGGGTTAAAGGGCACAGCTCTACAGTAAACAATCAGATCAGAAAACTCTCTAAACCACACAGACATTACCTTCAGGGTTAAAGGGCACAGCTCTACAGTAAACAATCAGATCAGAAAACTCTCTAAACCACACAGACATTACCTTCAGGGTTAAAGGGCACAGCTCTACAGTAAACAATCAGATCAGAAAACTCTCTAAACCACACAGACATTACCTTCAGGGTTAAAGGGCACGGCTCTACAGTAAACAATCAGATCAGAAAACTCTCTAAACCACACAGACATTACCTTCAGGGTTAAAGGGCACAGCTCTACAGTAAACAATCAGATCAGAAAACTCTCTAAACCACACAGACATTACCTTCAGGGTTAAAGGGTACAGCTCTACAATACACAATCAGATCAGAAAACTCTCTAAACCACACAGACATTACCTTCAGGGTTAAAGGGCACAGCTCTACAATACACAATCAGATCAGAAAACTCTCTAAACCACACAGACATTACCTTCAGGGTTAAAGGGTACAGCTCTACAGTAAACAATCAGAAAACTCTCTAAACCACACAGACATTACCTTCAGGGTTAAATGGTACAGCTCTACAATACACAATCAGATCAGAAAACTCTCTAAACCAACCACACAGACATTACCTTCAGGGTTAAAGGGCACGGCTCTACAGTAAACAATCAGATCAGAAAACTCTCTAAACCACACAGACATTACCTTCAGGGTTAAAGGGCACGGCTCTACAGTAAACAATCAGAAAACTCTCTAAACCACACAGACATTACCTTCAGGGTTAAAGGGCACAGCTCTACAGTAAACTATCAGATCAGAAAACTCTCTAAACCACACAGACATTACCTTCAGGGTTAAAGGGCACAGCTCTACAGTAAACTATCAGATCAGAAAACTCTCTAAACCACACAGACATTACCTTCAGGGTTAAAGGGCACGGCTCTACAGTAAACAATCAGATCAGAAAACTCTCTAAACCACACAGACATTACCTTCAGGGTTAAAGGGCACGGCTCTACAGTAAACAATCAGATCAGAAAACTCTCTAAACCACACAGACATTACCTTCAGGGTTAAAGGGTACAGCTCTACAGTAAACAATCAGATCAGAAAACTCTCTGGCTATTCTCATCGTCCTCTCCAACAACTTTTGTTCCGAGGTCTGGAAAAGCAGAGACAACATTAAATTTCTATAAACTAGATATATCTTTCTTCATGTCAAACTTGATCTAATGGTCCCCTAAGGTTAGTTGAAACAATAGCTGGTTTAGGTAGCCACATGACTTTTTTTTTTACTGCCAGTATCAAACAATGAATTATAATTCCGACATTTTTAAAGAAACTAACCAAAAATTATTACCCTTAAATCTATACCTCGTATAATGGTGCGGTACTTATAAGTCAATAGAAACTACAAATCTAAACTTAGCTGAAGATGAGGTAACAATAAAGTGTGATGTTTTATTATTAACAGTAGGTAATATTAGGTGTAAATATTTATACTTTGCTAAACATAAAAAATATATTTTTATTTTATTTTTGTTTAAAAAAAAAAAAAAAATTTAAAATCTTAATACATCTTGTATTTTTAAAAATTTACTTATTAAATCAGGGGTGAATGAATTAGAAACAGAACCACCAGCAAGACATTCTACAAAGAGACTCACCCTCATAATGGCTGTTGATGAGGACACAGATATTTTCTCTATCCAGTCTTTCATTTCTTCTTCAGAGTCAACAGCTATTTCAATGGGTGGACTAGTGTTGTGGGGGGCTATACGAAACATGAACCTTCCAGCTCTTGCGGGCAGCATATCTGAGATTAGACAGAAATGTATGAGTGAAAAACATATGTATGATTACAGACAGAAATGTATAAGTGAAAAACATATGTATGGTTACAGACAGAAATGTATAAGTGAAAAACATATGTATGATTACAGACAGAAATGTATAAGTGAAAAACATATGTATGGTTACAGACAGAAATGTATAAGTGAAAAACATATGTATGGTTACAGACAGAAATGTATAAGTGAAAAACATATTTGGAGAAAGAGACAAAAATTTACAAGAAACAATATATCTGAGGAGACAGAAATCCATAAGTGAACAACATCAGGGGTAACAGACAGAACATATCTGAGGTAACACTGACACTAATTAACACATACATATCTGGGGACATTTTTACACATGTGCAGTTTTTTTTTGTTTATATTGGAAATATTTACACTTAAAATAACAGTTTAAAGATGAAACAAGATCACATCAGTAAAACAAGGTATTTTTTAACAATATAACAAGACCCAAAGACCTATGAGACAGCAAAGACAAAAACTACCAGATATAAGGGACAGAAAAGACACCATGGGACCACCAGACCAACAAGAGAAAAACCACCAGACCTATGAGACAGAAACCACCAGACCAACAAGAGAAAAACCACCAGACCTATAAGACAGAAACCACCAGACCAACAAGAGAAAAACCACCAGACCTATGACACAGAAACCACAAGAGACAGAAACCACCAGACCTACAAGACAGAAACCACCAGACCTATGAGACAGAAACCAACAGACCTACAAGACAGAAACCACCAGACCTACAAGACAGAAACCACCAGACCATACAAACCATCAGACCTACAAGACAGAAACCACCAGACCTATGAGACAGAAACCACCAGACCTATGAGACAGAAACCACCAGACCATACAAACCATCAGACCTACAAGACAGAAACCACCAGACCTATGAGACAGAAACCACCAGACCTATGAGACAGAAACCACCAAACCTATGAGACAGAAACCACCAGAGACAGAAACCACCAGACCTATGAGACAGAAACCACCAGAGACAGAAACCACCAGACCTATGAGACAGAAACCACCAGACCTATGAGACAGAAACCACCAGACCTACAAGACAGAAACCACCAGACCTATGAGACAGAAACCACCAGACCTATGAGACAGAAACCACCAGACCTACAAGACAGAAACCACCAGACCTATGAGACAGAAACCACCAGACCTACAAGACAGAAACCACCAGACCTATGAGACAGAAACCACCAGACCTACAAGACAGAAACCACCAGACCTATGAGACAGAAACCACCAGACCTATAAGACAGAAACCACCAGAGACAGAAACCACCAAACCTATGAGACAGAAACCACCAGACCTATGAGACAGAAACCACCAGACCTATAAGACAGAAACCACCAGAGACAGAAACCACCAGACCTATGAGACAGAAACCACCAGACCTATGAGACAGAAACCACCAGACCAATGAGACAGAAACCACCAAACTTATGAGACAGAAACCACCAAACCTATGAGACAGAAACCACCAGACCTATGAGACAGAAACCACAGACCTACAAGACAGAAACCATCAGACCTACAAGACAGAAACCACCAGACCTATAAGACAGAAACCACCAAACCTATGAGACAGAAACCACCAGACCTACAAGACAGAAACCACCAGACCTATGAGACAGAAACAACCAGACCTACGAGACAGAAACCACCAGACCTATGAGACATCCCTGCACGTCTATTGACCCCTGCTGCAGGACACCCAGGGGTGTAGACTCTGACGAGTTCTCTGACAGGGTGTTCATTTCCTCCACATAGTTAGATGGAAACCAAAGCTGTTTCTTTGACCCGTAATCCCCACGCCACCTGCAAAAAAAATATTATAAAATTTTCTAACCGGTCACACATCAATTAAAAATAGCTACTGCAATTGTCATAGAAAACTTAGGTTTAGAGTATGGGCAACAATGTAGCCTATATGTTTCAATAAGTACAGAAAACACATACCATCCTCCATCTTGTTTGGTGACATTTGTTATTATAGCATCTTTACAAAAGGAGAGTTCATCACTGCGGTTAGCACTATAGTCATGAAGGGCCTTAACTCTGAGCTGTGAGGCAAAATTTAGAACAGAGTTAGACACAACATAACTTGACATGAATAACACTTTAAAAATCAAAATAATAAACTAAATAGTTCTTTAGTAAACAAAACAATATTAGTATTAGATTGTTTTTATAAATATTTTTAAAAAAATATTACAATATTAAAAATAATTGTGCTTTATGCCAAAAAAATGTTAAAGTTGCCATAGCTGTAAACATTTTTTTTAAATTAATAAAACGGCTAATTGATATGTATGCATTCAAAAAACAAACAAGTGTAAGGAAGTAAATGGAAAGTCAATTATAAAATATCTGGTAATGCAAAGCTTGAAAATGATAACAAGACTCTATACTTACAAGAAATATATTACCTTCAGTGCTTATGTTACAACTGAAGTCATTTATATATTATCAAGAAGGAGATGAAAAATTATTTCAATCTACAAAACTAAAAAAAAAACTGTGATATCTAGATTTTTTTGCAGGCAATACTTGTGCAATTACATGCAGAAATAGTACTTTAAAGGATCATCTCAAAAGTTGAATATCTCACAAAATATTGAGTACAAAATATTTGGATGCTTCGAGGAATAAAAATGTTATAATTAAAAAAAAAATTGTCCATACAAACAAAATTTGTAAACTGAAATGTGTAAGGGTAAAAAGCTGAAAGCATTACATTATAACAGAAATGATTATGTAACGCTCAAGCCAAGTCACATGACTTCCAAGTGAATAAAAGCAAAGAGGAGTACGCAGCGTTTAGACAAGTCAGTCATCATCAGATTGATGCTTTAAACAAATTTCTGTTACACTTTTGCGACGGGTACTTAAAATAAGTTTCTTTTTGAAAGAGCCACTGAGGCTGGGAGGGTTCTGTAAGAGAAATGAAGTTCAAGTTCAAGATAGAGCAAAAAAGCTAATCTAGAAGAGGAATAAAGCAACAACAAAAATTGTTTAGTTCAATTTCAAGAAAGGAAAATCTAATCTAAAATGAAAATAGTAAATAATACAAAATAAATTACCACAAAACCTTCAAATAGTTATTATTAAAATATTTTTAAATATAAAAAGCATGCAGAAGAGTGTGAGAAAAGAGTTTCTTAACATTTTGATACTAACTACTAACAGTTATTTTTTTTTTACCAAAAAAGAAAAACACATTGTATAAAACAGTTAAAAAGGCTTCCTTGAAAATATATTTTATACCATTAATAATATTGTTAAAACATCTAGTTAGATTTAATTAAAAACATTATTTTAAAAAAAGCATGATATTTTAGTTCTGATATTAATTTTGCTCTAACTCAAAGGTAACGAATAAAATAAAATTCAAAGCTCTACATTTTAGTTTATATGACATAAGGAATCTAAAGCACTAATATAGTAAATTAGCAATTGTAATTAAAATAATCAAAAGTAGGTATGATAAGGGGTCATCCATAAATGACGTCACGCTTTTTTTGACGATTTTTACCTCCCCCCCTCCCTCCGTCACACGTCGTCACAAAAAGCCAGACCTCCCCCCCCCCCCCCAAAATGACGTCACACCTCAACCTACAACCCCCCTCGAAATTGCATTTGAATTTTTTTTAAACATCGATATTTTTCTAAAATCTTGTCTAAACTATTACAATTTATTAAAACAGTATCTAAAACGCGAAATAACGTCTAAAATTCATTTTCTAACATTGCTTTTTTATAACATCTGAACCCCCCTCCCTCCCCCTCATCATCACAAAATTACGGACCCCCCCCTCCCCCCTACGAGTGTGACGTCATTTATGGATGACCCCTAACATAGTTTATACTAGCAAAATATTGTGTAGAATAGGTGGTGGGGGAGGGGGCGGAAAAGAGAAAGGAGCCCACCAGATCTATCAGTTTTTTATGAACTACATTTTTCATTACTGTAATTTATCAATGGTGACAGCGCATTATAGCTTGGGATTTTAACATAAGTTTCTATATAAAATATTCAACAAAAAAAAAAACGTTTTAAATCAAAACTTTAGATTTAAAGCTTACATTTCAGTTACAAAACAGACTGGTCTTTAAAAACACTGAAAAATTAAAATATCTATTTCTCTACGAGTTAAGTTGATTTTTTTTTACTTCAAATAATAAAAGATGAGTCAGGATATGTTAAATAAAGTGCCTTAACCAACTATCATGTTACAAATTTAAGTTAGGCTAAATGGAGAAATTCATCACACAAATTTGCAAGCCCAACGAGCAGTTTAAAAAATGAGAAGGATTTTTTTTTAAATTACAAAATTAAAATTGACCGGTTAAAACTACCAATGTTAATTTACTCAACAATTATTTTTTCCAAAGTATTTCAAAAATTTCAAAGATAAAAAATACCTCATTGTTTACTTAAATTAGTTTCTAAAACCGTCTCTAAAAAAAGAATGAAGTAAAAAGTAATTGTTTTTTTTTTTTACCTTTGTGACAAAATCATTGGGCACATGGTACACACCCGAGTCGTAAATGCCAGCACCACTTTCATCAGGTGGCTAAACACATCAAGTAAGTATGGAGGGGGTAGAATAATTAGTATAGACATGAGAACAATTCAACATTCATGGGTAGCAACACTCAACAAACATCAAGCAAGTATGGAGGGGGTAGAATCATTAATACAGACATGTGAACAATTCAACATTCAGACATAGCAACACTTAAAGGTAACAACATTCAGGGGTATCAACACTCAGGGGTAGGGGAGAGTAGCATGGAAGGGGTAGATAATTGGTAAACACATGTAAATAATTCAACATTCTTGGGGAGAATGGAAAAAAACAAAAGACTGTAGAGCAAATGAATTTTTTAAAGTAAAAAAAATTAACATTGAGTTATAAGACATTTTAAAGAAATGTAATGGTCATTAAGTCTGATTTAAAACACCAAATATTTTATTTAATCCAAAGTGTTTTTATACATTTATATTTTCAATAATTATCAAATTTATATAATTCGATGAATTTCTCATGTACCAAAAACATCTTTAAATATGATTTTAGCTTTTTAAAGCTCTAGAAAAATATAAAAATTGGAATGTTTTCATTTGATTTTTTTTTTTTAAATAACTTGAGCATTTACTAATGAAAGTGCAGATTACATAGTCTAGATATATTTCATTCTTATAAACATGTTGTACTTTTGGTGCAAATAGCCATTTACATTTGTGTGGTATTTCTGAGGCTTTTTATGACAGTATTAGAAAAGCCTGTTTGACCACCAGTGCAGTTGGACAGAGAGTATTTGTAAAATGGGGTAGAAATGGATTGAGGGGAAAGAGGTAGAAAGCAAATAGGTGCAGACAGTTTGTCAGATATATCCAAAAGTTGCAACAACAACAAAAATCAGGGTTCAGTTCCTTTAGAAAATCAGCTTCAAAAAGTGTTTTAAATTGTATTTTTTAAAAATCTGTGCAAAACCAAATGCAACACGATGCAAAATTTTCTTTTTTTTTTAGAAAAAAAGGTAAAAAGCATAATTTGTGGCAGGAAATGGAGATTATACATGTTTGAATTTCCCCACTAAACCACAATGTAAAATCGATAATAAAATTTTAAAATGGAGTCATTTATGGCCAAAATATTAGAATAATTTTTTTTATTTGCTGTAGGATTAAGAAATAATACCTATCTAGATATTAGAAACAACTGTTAACATAGTTGTAAGTTTAAACCTAACCAAGAAAAAAATCTAAAGACTACTCTAGATTGCTGTATGCGAGCAAGGTTACACTATTTACCGTAAACTATGAATAGTACCAAGAAGCACCAAAGCAAAAATGTATTTTTTTTTAAATTTACAAAATCAAACAACTACAGCTTTGTCAATGTTTTCCATGCAGCATGCAGGTTAGATGGGTTATCAGTCAACACTACAACAACAAGAAGGGGGGGTAACCACTTGGTAAATAGTGCCAGTGGGGTGAGGGTTACGGTACCTTGGTGGTGAAATCATTAGGGTTAATATAAAGATCTGGAGTTCCATAGATTCCAGTATCATCCGGAGCCTGTTGAGGTTATGGCAGATCAGACAAAATTTAACAACAAGCCTACAGCAGACTAAAATGTGTTGCACGTTTCTCCAAAAAAAATTTTTCATTACAAGAATTGAGACCAACAAAATACTAGGGACGTTAGCTGATGGACATAATTTACTGATGGAAATTATAAACCTTTTAATGGAAATTTGAAACAGATCTTTTCCAGTACAATATCCATTATCCATAAATCAAATGGAAACAAAGCGTAACTATATCAAATGTGAATGTAGTACTGCAAAAAAAGGTTTCATTAGAATTTGTATGCTGAAAATGTGAAGTTTAATTAGCATAAATAAAAATTGTAAATTATAAACTCATTATGTCTTATATATCTTATATATTTTTGTTGGAGGTCTTAATACAACTTTTTAAAAACTGGGAGCTAAGTATAAATAAAACCCGGTAAATTTAGATCTACTAGATATGTGTATAAAGCATAATGTATATGAACATGTATAAGACTTGTGTACACATTCAAGACACATGGATAAAACTTGATTGGTGTGTATGCGAACTCCACCTAAGTCAGTCCTAAACCCGGATGAAAAAGGAGAAGGGTTGAGCGCTGAGCTATCAACCCTGCCTCGTAAAAAAACCCAAGCTACAGAAACTGCAACCCAACGTTAACTTGATCAAGGAGGTGGGTGTGAATTGAACCTGGTTTATGTATACAACTTAACACATGTACATGTGTTCAAAACGGCTACAGGACATTACCCCAGAAATTACCCCCCCCCCCCCCCCCCCTCAAGTTAGAATCCTAACTCTAACTAGAATTCTATACCTATATACTACATTAATTCAAACCTTAAGATAAAGACCAAAACCTAAGCATTCACCTTAGCCTAAAACTTCACACAAAACCAAAACCAACACTAGACGCAACCCTAACCCTAGCCCTAAACCTAGCCCTAAAATTGACAGGGGGGAAATGCCCTGTTCCCGTTCAAAACATGTAATGTGTGTTAGAGTAATTGCCACCTTTCTCACTCTTATACAGACATGACTGGCTGGAATCATACTCGTAAGCCAGATAGATTTGAACAAGATGAAAAATCAAGCGTTTCTTACACCTATCTTACCAACTTCTACACACTGCTCCTCCTAGTTTAAAACAAGGGGTAGTCTTTCAAGGGATGAACTACGGCTTCAAGTATCGAACTCAAAACTTCAAGATTACATGCATACTTTCTACCACTACACCACACTGTACGTGCCGCCTACCTGGTTAAGCCTGGCCACAACCTGTTGGTTCACTGGGTGTTTGAGCTTCATCTTCTTGTACAGAGGTGTTTGCTCGTAGTACTGAACCAGCTCCACCAGAGACTCAAACTGTGCGTTGCCTATTAGAAACAGTCGGCCTTCCAGCTTGATGCGGCAGTGTTTGATTTTGCCCTCAGCCCTGAAGTTTTCAAACAATCATTCTCACAATCATTGCTATTTAAATATTTTATTTCAGAACCATTGTCATTAAAAATTACTATTTTTTTTAAAAATAGTAATACACTGAAACTCTGTTCTTTATAAAAAAAAAGTTTTTAATAAAAATGTGTAAGTTACACTATAACGTTACAATAACAAAAAGGTTTTAAAAAGTAACTTAAAAAGGCTAACTAAAAAAAAAACGATTAATTAAAAATGGTTGATAGATTCTTTGAAATAGTTTTAAACAGTTTTCCTGACATATTTACCTATAGCTATAAAAATACCTTAAGGTACTGGACCTTTACTCACCTGAAGGAGATGGCATAAAGGTACTGGACCTTTACTCACCTGAGGGAGATGGCATAAAGGTATTGACTCACCTGAAGGAAATGGCATAAAGGTATTGGTCCTTTACTCACCTGGAGGAAATGGCATAAAGGTATTGGTCCTTTACTCACCTGAAGGAGATGGCAAAAAGGTATTGGTCCTTTACTCACCTGAAGGAAATGGCATAAAGGTACTGGTCCTCTCCTCCATGCCTCACAAGAAAAGCCCCATCATGAGGAATCCTTTTCAGCAAGTCCTCAGCTGCTGAACGTGTCATCCCTTCATGATACCACCTGATCATTGAAACAATATCAACTGAATGAACTAAATTTATAAATTATCACAAAATTATTTCATAACAATATCAACTGAATGAATTAAATTTATAAATTATCACAAAATTATTTCATAATCCTCACTAAAATAAACATGCAATCAATTTGTGCAATAAATAATAAAGGCAGATTTACCCATTCTTACCTTTAGCCATCAACACACTGCTGTCTCTTAAATACCGATTGCCCTCTATTTACAAGTTCTTACCAGTATCCCTGCCCTTACTGTTAGCCATCTATTGAATGTTATCCCTTTCTTTAATTTTGTCCTTTATTTATTGTTAGTCCTCTACTTAATGTTTGTTCCAACTTACTGTTAACCCCTTTTAATATCACTTCCTACTTAGAGTTAACCTTCCAACAACTGTTACTCTCTTTTTACATTTATTTTTAGCCCCTACTTACTGTTTACAGCCCACCCCCCCAACTGTTAACCCACATTTTACTGAAGTCGGAGCTGTGCTAGCCCTCTATTTATAGTCACCCCCCCCCCCCACACTCACTGTTTGCCATCATGGCTCTGTGGCTGTGGGACAGGCTCCCTCAGCACCTGTGTGAAGTCGGAGCTGTGCTAGTCCTCTATTTATAGTCACCCCCCCCCCCCCACACACTTACTGTTTGCCCTCATGGCTCTGTGGCTGTGGGACAGGCTCCCTCAGCACCTGTGTGAAGTCGGAGCTGTGCTAGTCCTCTATTTATAGTCACCCCCCCCCACACACTTACTGTTTGCCCTCATGGCTCTGTGGCTGTGGGACAGGCTCCCTCAGCATCTGTGTGAAGTCGGAGCTGTGCTAGCCCTCTATTTATAGTCACCCCCCCCCCCCACTTACTGTTTGCCTTCATGGCTCTGTGGCTGTGGAACAGGCTCCCTCAGCACCTGTGTTAAGTTGGAGCTGTGCTAGCCCTCTAGTCACCCCCCCCCCCCCCCACACTTACTGTTTGCCCTCATGGCTCTGTGGCTGTGGGACAGGCTCTCTCAGCACCTGTGTGAAGTCGGAGCTGTGCTAGCCCTCTATTTATAGTCACCCCCCCCCCCACACTTACTGTTTGCCCTCATGGCTCTGTGGCTGTGGGACAGGCTCCCTCAGCACCTGTGTGAAGTCGGAGCTGCGCAGGGGGAACTGCCTGTAGTGCATGATCAGGTGGTAGAGGCTGTCAAACGTGACGGCGTCAATCAGGTAGTACTTGACCTGCCCCCTCTCCTGGCGCGACTTGATGCGACAGTGGTTCACCCTCCCCTGTCTCCTGTAATGAAAACTGTAATGGTCAGCAATGCAGAGAGACACTTCAAAATTAACATCTAGAAATAGAATGGAAATCTAACTTAATACTGCAGAAATGACTTAAATAATTAACCATCTTTTTCATAAGTTAATAGATCATCAAGAAATGCAGTAACATAACAGTATTTATTGTATTTCATAATTTAAACTTAAGTCTCAAATAATTTAGTAAATGCAAGAATTCGATTACAATAAATAATCTTCAAATTTTTTGTTAAGTGCTTGTAATCATAGAAGAGCTATTAAAATTTTAGAAAATAATTATCCATAAAATATCAGCTATATTCTAAAATTATATCACACAAAGATGGTAAACCAATATTCACTGACCAAAACGACAAAGAGAAATCCCCCACAAACGTGTCACTCTCCCTGACCAGAAACGTCCCGTCGCCAAGGTAACTGTACTGGCGCAATAAATCCTCGGCTCTTTTCCTGCCCCCCTCCAAGCGGCCATGAAACCACTTCTCACTGAAGTGAAGCTCATCCACTGGCCGGCCCTGTCAGACATTAACGACAAACTCTGGTAACAAAAACCTGCGATAAAACGTAGCTAGTGGGTACTAAAAAGTTCCCAGAAACATATTATATCAATAGATTCAGGGGAAGATTGTCTCTTTTTTTTCTTGTTTCACAGCTCAGTAAGGCATCAACTTCCCACAAAATTTAAACAGATTGAACGATCTTGTTTAGTGACAAATTGGATTGTTTAATTTTGGACAAAAATTGATAGGCATTGCAGATGAACATAAATAATGGCCAGAAATGGGTGAGAAAAATGGATGGGTTCATCAGTTGGTACATCATGGTAGTAGGTCATTATAAAGTTCCCTTTCAAACCTGCTGGTCGATGGGGCAGATGAAGTAGAGTTCACTTCTTTCTGTGACCTCAGCCTATAAAATGATAGCGTGTTCGGCACTATGCCCAGCAGCCTTTACTTTCCCGAACACTCGTCAGGAAGCCATAATAGCCTGGCAAACTCAGGGACATTCTACTGACTTGAACCCAGATTTGAACTCGAAAACTTTTGGGTTAGCAGTAGTATGCTCTACCATTTGACCATACCAACCCATGGTCCTGTTTACCAATTTTATCATTTTTTATGCCTTGCAGTGCTTTTAAACACTAACCACAACAAAAAGGCTAGATTTAAAACTTATTTCCAAAACTACCCCATCATTATACTGCTTAAAATGGATGAGTAGGCTTATACACAATTTAAAAAAAAACAACCAAGCAATAATAGTAACAATAACAAAATTCCCTTATCTATAGAATTAGTGTCTTAATTTAAAATTGACAGCTTTCAAAAAGGTTTTAAAAAAGTAATAACAATAACAATAACAAGAGTATTATCACCTCTATAGAAGCTGTGTCTAAATTTAAAATGGACAGTTTTCAAAAAGGTTTAAAAAAATAACAATATCAAGAGAACTATCACCTCTATAGAGGCTGTGTCTTCATCATCCATTTCCTCATCCTGGTCTTGTGTGGGGGTCTCCTCAGCGTAGTACAGCTTGCTGCCAGTCAACACAAAGAAATGTGGGTGCCAAGTCTGAAGAGATAAAACATATAGATTTTAGCATGAAAGTACAATAGGTTTCATTATATAGGAGTTACAGTTATAGATAACATAAAAGTAAAAAATGACATGGTAATAAGGACATGATTTAGCTAGAATACTTGTAGTATAGAAAAATGTTACAACCTATCCATTTGTATAGAAAAAATGTTAAGTACTCTTTCGAGCCTTATTGGTCCATGGAGCAGGGGAAGTAGAGTTCACCTGTTTCAGTGACCTTGGCATATGAAGTGATAGTGTGGTCAGCACTTTGCCCAGCCGCCTTTACTTTCCCTAATGTGAGTCAGGTACCCATCAGAGCTGGGTGGACTCAGGGACGTCCTACTGACTCAAACACAGAATTTGAAGTAGAGACTATAGGGATAACAGTTGAACACTGTACCATTTGCCATTCAATTATTTGTAAACAGGACAGAAGAAAAAATGTCTGAAAGTTAAACTCACATTTTCCACCTGATCTTCTAAGTACAGGATGCCATTTTTTACAGAAGAACTCAGGTCAACTTCCATAGTTCCTGCAACAGACATTAAGCCCATCAAGTTTTTAAACAATGGTTTTACTAAACACTGACACTAATCATCTAATGACTACAAAAGAATCATTAATATTTTTCTGTTTAACTTGTTTATGTAGTTAAGCTTTGGTACAAGAAAATTGTAGTAAAGTTAAAGCTGGCAGATTAAAAAGTCTTACCACTATCTTCTGAGGACACAGCATAGCGCCACTCATTGCCGTCTACCCATTCTGGAAGTTTCTTATGCTATAAAAATAAGAAACATACCAATAAGAATTTTTTTAAAAATTAAGAATCTTTCATTCAAGTACAAATGTATTATGAATTAAATAATTTGTGAATAAGGTAACAATTTAAATATTCGTTGTATAAAATACATTGCATCTAATGATTTAACATTTTTTTTTATTTCTATCAAATATTAAAAAATATGTACAATTCATATTTTTAAAGTAGGAAAATGTAATCAGGAAAGGAATACATACTAACTAAGGGGAGAGCATAAGCAAAGAGAAATAATGCTGAAACATGAAAACTATTTTTTCTTTATTTAAAAAAATTAAAATACTAGTGGATAAAATAAAGCTATCAACTAAATACATCTATCACTTCTACTTTAACCATCATGATAGCTTTAATGCACCCAGACAACAGAGGGGGTAGGTTTGTAAAAAAAAAAATGAAAAACTTTTTGTGCTGAACCAAGAAAAATATAATCCCTGCCAGTTGATGCAGTTAAAAAAAAAAAACCAACATCCCATCACCAGTTAGTCAATATCTGAACAAAGTTTCAAGAATTTATTTGTGAGAAATCTACGATAAACGCATTGGCATTTATCTGTGAGAAAGCTGTGATTAACACATTGGCAATATATTAAAAAATAATGTTCATCAATGCTAATTTTGTGCGTATATCTTCTAAATAAATAACATTGCCAAATTTGTTTTTTAAACCGAAACTATTTGTCCAATTCAAATGTGCTGTTTTATTGTGCAAGATATTTATGTGACCAGACCAAAATATGTGAAGACATACAACAGAAAAAATTAGAACACAGTGAATGTACTTTTATGAATTTTCATGAATTCACTACTTATACACATAGAAAATACACTTTTAAAAGGATCATTTGAATCCTATGTCTGATCAGTCGTCTATGGTTAAACTATAAATACAGTAGATAAATGTCGACTGCATGAATTTAGTCAAACAATAGCCACTGCTCTTCATGTCCTGCAGCCATTTATAAAGAAAGAAAAGGAAAAATAAAATGCCACACCACAAAAACTGAAAGACAACGCAAGGCTCCAAGCTGACAAACAAAACGACTATTCACAAACAGCTTTTTTTTTTAAAAAAAGGTCAACTTTTGAGAAAATGAGTGTAAATAAAAAAACACAACCAAAAACAATGAAACAACATCTGATAAGTCTAAAAGACCTGCTGGCTGCAGGGTGATTTAGAGCGGAATGGCAGCCAAAGTTTCGCTCGAGAATGGAACAGCACCTGAAGATAAGCAGTGTCAAACTAAAAAACAATGTTCCAATATATTCAAATATTGGGCGCGGATTTTCCAAAGTTTATAGGCAACAAAGTCTGATATAAAAAAAATGTTTCATTAAATGAATTTTTTTGTTTACTTTTCCAAAAGAAAGGATGTTTAATTGATGTTTATAAGCAGTAGTCATATTTTTTTTCAGTATACAGATTTCCTCATTTTTAAAAACCTCACAAATGAAAACTAAATATTTAAGGACTGACTACAAGTTGTAATAGGAAAGTTTAACATTCTACACACAGAAGATAAAAAGATTGAAAAAAATTGGTAGTGAAAAAATAAAGGAAACAAACTATAATAAATGGAAAAGCTATAAATACGACAAGGAGAAGGATAAATAAAATTAAGCAGAATAATTATTAGATGTAGATGTAGAGGTAAGTAAAATGCTGAGATCGGAGGTTTTATTACCTTGAGGATGATTTTGTATTTTAGTTCATTCGGTGAAGGCATCATCGCAGCATCTTTTTGAAGTGGTTCTACTAGAAGTTTATCTAGAACAAAATAAGAATTTTTTTAAACGCTAAGTTTATACTGTGGAAACACCTAATGCAACTTAAATTTCAAACAAAATTTAACAACTTTTAAATATATATCGCTTCTATCTTTAATGTTATATAAACAATAAATACAGAAATAAATAAAAGTTTAACAAGTAAGCTATAGGCCCACTTGTTTATAGAAATATACTTTTAATAAACAAAGAAAAACCACTCACCACCAAATGTTTCTCTAAATGCAATTGCCATATTTCTCTGTTGACTCAAGTTACAGTGGTTCTCAATAGAAAGTATAAGAGGGTACCTACAGTAAAAAAATTGTAAACATTTACTTAGTTATTAAGATTAACAAAAAATTCTTTCACGTATTTGTATTAAATGAACATCCATGCATTGTACTAGATTATAATTTTAAAACTTCATATACATGTCACAGAAATCAGAACTTTAAAAATTAATCAAAAGTATGTAAAACAAAAACTCACTCTGAAGTTACCCATGCATGTTCATTGATGGTTTTGAGCACATCTAAGAACTTAATCTTTGATGTAAGTGTGTGACCATGGTAGATGTTAGGGTAGCCATCTGGGCCATCCCAACAATCCACTGCGAAAAAAATAGTTTTAGAAATAGACAAGCCATTTTACATACAATTATAAGTACACCATATCTTGAGGGGAAGGGGGGGGGGGGGAGTTTAAACTTTCATAACAATTAGATATTTTACTAAAATATTCTACATATAACATACCATTTTTTAAACAATTTTGATGTTTTATAAGGTATTTTCTACTTCAAAAAAAAACATCCACATAAAATTTTAAGAACACTTATAGGTTGAAAATTATAAATTTTGAAAATTTAGTGAATAAAAAATTTTATTTCAGAAGCAAAAAGGTCACATTTTTTAATTTAATTAAATTACTACACAACAGATGCAACTAAGTAGACCTACACTCTAGGCATCTGCATCCCATTCTCAGAGCTCTGGCATACGCCTCAGGTGAGGAGCTGCTGTACAGTTGGTCACCTGTGAGGTAGCTACGGACAACAAAATTACCTGTGTTACTAGTGTTGGACTTACAGGTTAGGCTCAAAACAGAGATACTAGTAACATGTTAGGGTGAAAAAAGAAGTAACTAACTTTGTTGGATATTTGGAATCAACATAACTTATAAAATACCCAATATAAAACTAACACTAGTCTTACTATTGTGATAAATTAACTTTAGAGAGAGAGAGTGGTTTCTGCTTCTAGATTAACAGCAAATTTACCTTTAAAAATTAATTCTACACAAGATTTTTAAAGTATAATGTATCATGTCTCAACTACCTTTTCCCACATAAAAGTGGAAACAAGTTTTTTTTACCCATCACTGTGTTAGGGTTATTTTTCACCTCATTGCAAATTTTCCTTTTTCATCAGACATTAACAACTAGTTTATCAGATTTTATGGGCTAAGGTTAAGAACATTCAAGAGATTGATAGTCTCTGAAGATATCTGAAGTCTGTTTTTATTTAAGACTGTCTAAAATAAGTTCAGAGCTAGGCACTGATTTTTAAGAATATTCTTATTGAATAATTTTGATTAATGATAATGCTTTAAGAACACACCACAATAGATGTGTACATAAATTAATAAACAATTAAAAATAACCAAAAGATAAAATCGCATATATAATACACCATTCCACTTGGTTTCGTTTTTACCTCAAAATAGCCAAATTATAAACAATTCAAGACAGCAGTGGTGGTTGACATTTATGAGATGCTACACTTCTCACCTATTTATGAGATGATATACTTCTCACCTATTTATGAGATGCTATATTTCTCACTATACTATTTGATATATTTATACTTACGTATTATGTGAAGAGGCTATCCAATACGAGGTCAAAGGTTGATTCATGTCCTGAGTGATGGCCTCATACTTTGAATCAAACAAGGGATTATGCTGGGAGAACAGGAACTCTTCAAACTAGAGAAACAGAAATATGAAATATTATTAGTACAAATAATAATAGGTAAGAAAAGCTTTTGAATCTTGGAACATTAATTGAAAAAGATTTTTAAGAAATTTAGAACTCTAACAATAAAGTAAAAAAATATAAATCTATGTATATAACTTTCATTTATGTTGAGTATTCAAATTTTAAGTGATCACAAATTTGCAGTAAGTATGCGTATTTGAGTAAACAATAAATTTTTTAAAAGTCTTATTACTTTTAGAACAGTATTGTTGAATAAACTTAAAAATGGAAAATTGAATTTTATTGTCTAGCTGTATCTACATTCATGTAATGGGAACAATCAATAACAATACTTTTGCCCTATGTTCTAGCTTTTTCAATAGATGGGTAAGGCTTATTAATGAATACTGGATAATATAATTTATAAATTTATAATAAAATTTAATTTTGTCAAAATCACTATCACAGACAAAGATTAAAATTGATAACCAAATTATTGAGGACAATAAATGATACACATCTAAAAAAAATTATAAATTTTAGAAAAATTATAAAGTTCCACAAAGCTACAATGATAGATTGCTTAAATTAGACAAAGCTAAAATGATAGAATATATAAATTACACAAAGCTAAAATGATAGATTGTTCAAATTAGACAAAGCTAAAATGATAGAACATAAGTGAAACTACTGAGGACAACAAATGTTGCACACCTCCTGCTGAGTGAAGAACAACCCTCCTGCTGCTCTCACTTGGTCATCCAGGAACTCTAGCATCAGTCGCCTGACGTAGCCTAACTCTGAGGCCCTCACTTCCTACAAAAGTACGGCATTACGGCATTAAACTGTTTACTGGTAATATTAAGTGTCATGGTGAATTGTTTGCAAGTAAAAAAACATCAAAATAAAAATAATTAATTAACTTATTATCATTTTTCATCTTAATTCAAGTATTTACTTCATATGCCATAGAGAACAGATGATGTTGGCTATTTTGCCAAATTTTTTGATAATTGAAAAAAAGTAAATTAAAAAGAATTAATTAATGATGACTGAGAGTGAAAAAAATTTTTTTTTAATTAAACTTTTATTTCTATATTAAATTTATTTTAATATATTTGCATTAATAAAACAATATGTTGAAAAATAAATTTTTAGCAGTATTGAAAAAAAAACTTAGAAAACTAACCTTTTGATCTTCTAATAAAAATTGTTGAAAACTATCAATTTTCATCCTCCTGTAAAGAATAAAAACAAACGTTAATAGCAAAATTAAGGAAACAAAATACCCATTCTTAGAGAATGTTCAGTGATAATAATTCTCAAAAGTGATACACAAATAACCCCTTCACAAGAAACTATATATTCTTAAGAGTTATTTTTTCTTTACTTACTTTTCATCTCCAACTACTTCAAAATACTTGCTGAGGTTATCATCTATCATCTGAGGATAGCACGAACAAGAGATCAATTTTTATCTTTCTAAGTTGATAACTGAGTTAAATAAATGTTTCACAATGATAAATAAGTATGTTTTACATTTTTCTATTCAAGAAACTTTTGTTTATATAGTCAATATTGATAATTAAAAAAGATGATAAAAGACCATAAAAGTTAGTCCTATAAGAAACATGCCATATCATATATATAAAGCTTTTAAGTACAGTTTATTTATAATGTGATAATTAATAAATTGTAAATAAAATTGACTATATAAACAAAAGTTTCTTGAATAGAAAAATGTGATAATTAATAAATAAGATAAATTTGGCCCAAGCTAAGACTTACTGATGATACATGAATCAATTTATGATATAGTGCAGCAAACTGCTCATAGTTTATCTCCCCTCTGCCATCAGTGTCAAACTCCTGAAATAAATAAATATAAGAAATACAAATTAAATTTATTGAACAGCTGGACAGAAAAAAAAACGCTTTGTGAAGCTACCAGCTGTAAGAAATAGCTTAGTAACGCTATTAGATCAACTACATTTAACCATTTTAAGAATCCTACCAGCTCTATCTTTCTATTACTTCTTTCTTTGTTCATAATGTTAAAAGGGATTTCCTCCAATATAATTAATTAAATCTACTACATTTAACCATTTTAAGCATCCTATGTTTCTATTACTTCTTCGTTCACTATGTTAGAAGGGATTTCCTCCAATATAATTAAGTATTATGTGTCAACTTGTTATGTGTCTTACAGGCAGTTGACGAATTTCAGCTTGCTTTTGTTTCTGGATTTGCTTCCGTAGCCTTTGTCCAACCAAAAACAAGGCAGCAGTTCATTCTAACAACATTTAAGTGAAATGAGTTAGATGAAAGACTTACCTGAAAGCGTTCTCTGAGTTTATTAGTGGACATCTTGAAGTTAATTCGAGGCAACCAAGCTTTTAAATTTTTTAGTGTCACTCTACACAAAAAGACGAAAGTAAAATCTTTAGCATTTCATTTCTGCACTATTTTAGTATCTAAACAGTACATACGTTTATTAACAAAACTCAAGCTTTAAATTTTTTTTAACTTACACATAGGATCCAATTTTTTCCATGAGGTAGAATTCTTTACGCAACCATCTAGAAAACAAAACACATACATTCAATGTGTTGTACATACAATGTAACAAGTAGACAAAGATAAAATAATAGAAATAATAGATGATCTTTAAAACTTTAATTCCATATTTTAAACTTTACTAAAAAAAAAATGCTAAAAACTTAAAATTGAACAGGCTTTTTAAAACTTAATAAATTAATGTTCTCAATTAAGTGCTAAAATTACTATGTATGTTTGTATTCTTCTAGATTATCTCCTATTAGAAATAATAAGTAGAAGAGGGTCAACTGTTTAATATTCTACTCAGCGTGTCTGTTCTTTCAATTAATCATCTCTAATTAATTTGAAGCATGGTACCCCAAAGTAAGGTATATTTACTTGTACTATAGACCACAAGCTTAGGATACTTCTAGAATACAACTATTTTGTTCCTTTAAATTTTGAAAACATTTGTTTTTAAGTATGCTGATAATAGATTAAAATTTGCATCTGAATTCTTTTTGTAAAATAATAATGGTATTATTTTGAAGTATATTTAAAGCTAAGTTTATGTATCTTGTAAAATAACAAACTAAAGGCTTTAAAACACTTAGAAAAAGCAATGTCACAAAAACAATAAAATATACAGTTACCTCTCCAGCTGTAACTGGTGGCAAGCTTCCTTTGTTTCTCGTACAAGATATTCCAGTCCTTTTCTCCAGTAGTTGAATTCATCATAATCATTGGCTAGATTAATTTATCATAAGATTTTTAACACACTTGTTTTGTTGTTTTTTAATTACATTTAGTTGTCCAATAATTATTACAAAAATTTTCAGCAATAGTAAAAACAATTAAGGTTTAATTTAAGTTTACTAAACATGATATTCTCAAACCATAACATAAAGTTTCTTGTTAAATATTAAGAAAAAGACCAAAACAATACTAACCCACAACAGATAGAGATTTAAGTTTGAAGTCATTGCCATAAAACACAATAAAACTAATACGCGAGTCAGCTTTCTTTGCTTCATCTGGCCATTTTTCAAAGTCCTTGGAGTTTTTACCACATCGTATCTCTTTAACATCACGAAGGTTGGCTGAAAAAATCATTCATAAATAGAAAATTGAGTAAACTTCAAATCTTTCTTGAATAAATTAACAGCACATATATAAAATATATAATTTTTTTAATATAAATATATAAAAAATATATAAACATTTTTTAACTATTTAAAAAGGAAATGAAACAAACTTTACCTATCCCTTCTGGGCGACTAGTTTGGCCTTTAACCCACATCAGCTGCCTGCTTTCCAGTTTTATTTTTAAAGTTCTCCTCTCTGGCCGCTTTCGATAGAAGAAAATTGACGTAACGAGTCCCATTTCCAACAGCCTCATCACCTCCACTATGTCTGGGGTTAGAGGTCCCCCATTCACTAGTGGAGAAGCCATCTTGTTTAGTGTCTTTTTTTATACCTTGCCTGGAGACTCTATAATGACATAATTTATAATTATTGGGTGGATAGAATTTACAATTATATTCTATGAAAAAAAGGCCTTAATTAATGGATAAATTAGGCCTACTAATTTATATATAAATTATGCATGATGAGATGACTCTGGCCACAGACAAAGAATAGGAGAAAGTAAAGATGCACAGCAATAAGTGACATAATTCATGCAAATGTTAATCTATTTAGTACTGAAAAGATTTAATTTCCTGAATATATCTTCTACAAATATTTTAACTTAGTTCAACACAATACAATGTACAGTAGAAAGAACTGAACGATAAATAAATAAATAAAACCAAAGTAAGGCAATTTTAAAATTAATTTCACTTATAATTAACTTAGATTGAACTCCAAACTATGTTTGTTTTTTAATTTACCTTTCCAGCAAACTATGATACAAAACAGTCTCCTATAGGCTTAAACATCCATCCAGTATGTCTTCAAATGATACATAGAAGCCAGACTTAATCTGTTTATAAAAGAAACATAGGCCTAGACAAAAGATACAAAGATTCCTCCAACCACACAAATGTGCAGTAATAAATAAATAATTAGAAATAGCTAAAAATCCAACACCAGCATCAATAGTTATGCAACTACAACTGGTTTGAAAATAAATTTACTAAATTTGTTTGGTCTATATTCAGTATTTGATGTTTAAAACGATAATGTTAGTCAGAAAAAAAAAAACTAGACCTATTTTTATTTAGGTTCTCGAAGTGAAGCATTTCAAAAAAAAAATGTTGACACTTTTAATTTTTTCGTCCAAACTCATTTTAATTTATCTAAAGTAACCTAGGGCCTGGCCTGATTACTAATTAGTAAATAAGGCTGAGCACTACAGTAGGCCCCAAGACTAATAGGCCTAAAAATAATAATAATAATAGGCCTAATAATAATAATAATAGGAGCCTAAAATAGGGAGTTAGGTAGGGCATATAGTATTTTATATGGTAAAAATAAGCCCTATAGAAGGCCTCTTTATAATAAATAAATAGGCCTAGGCCTAGTATGTAGCCTACTAATACTATATATAGATCTAAAATAAATTGACGACATGATTATTTAAAAATGAAATAATAAATAGTAATTTAATTAGTATTAATAAATAATAAATAGTAGGGCCTATAGGCAGGACAGTGTAGTGTATGAGTATGACAATGTAAATTACAATGTACAAGAGCAGTGGCGTAGCGAAGTCGGGTGTCACCCGGTGCGGCACTTAATGGTGTCACACCCCCCCCCCCCAGAGGCGTTGCGACCCTTCCCGGGGACAAACTTTCAAGTTTTTGATTTGCACCCCCCTCCTCAAACTTTCAATTTGCACCCCCCCTCAAGTTTTTGATTTGCACCCCCCTCAAGTTTTTCTCTATATATTTTGCTATTTTTTGCCTTGGTGTCACCCCCCCCCCCCAAATGGTATCACCCGGTGCGGTCCGCACCCCCCCCCCCCCGCACCCCCCTGTACAAGAGTACTCTACTCCAGTTGAGTGATTTACATAGTACTAACTAATGTCTAAATCAAGAATTTATTTAATGTACTAAAACTAGACTCTACATCTAGATCTAATCTACTTGTCAACTTGAAGGCAAGACAACAACCAAATTTGTCTTACCTGTCCTTTGCCATGAGAGTAGTCACTGAGTGAGTAGTCAGGAATAATCATCTATTTCTTATTCTATTTATATGTTCAACATAAACATACATAACTGACTGTATTGTAAGATTGTATGCTAATTTGGCTAATAAACCTACAAAAACAAAGATTGAAAACAAATTAAAATTTACATTCATTTACGACAAGTATACAAATCACACAAAAAAACTATCACTCCACCACAATCCAATCCAGTCAGTCACAAATCCAAACTATGAAACTAAAATTTTAATGTATTGTAATGTTTTATACAGTAAGTTATGGTTTAATAAATTCTCATCAGGTAAAATGTTTTGTAACCCGCTAACTGAAAGATAATAATTTATCGATTAGACCTATTGTATAAAAATAAATGAAAGAGTTAATCTAAAATATATTAACATGCAATTAAGTCAGCGATAAAATCCCCAACACTTGTCAACATGAAAATATTCTCTTCCGGGTAGCATCAAAGGGAAACAACCGAAACTAAAAATAACCCAAAATATCCACACTAGGTAGATCTAGGCCCAGGCCTAAAAGATATTAACATTTTTGGTTAAAATATTTATAATACAATATTACCCTCGTACGACACACATTTTAAATTGTCTTAACATTTAATTTTTAAAACTTAATAGATTCGAATATTATTCATTCATTAAGTTGCTCTAGTGAGTTCTACTAGAGCCGACTACGATACCACCATAGGCCTAACTACATTCTAAATCTAAGGGTTAGCATGCAGTTGTTTGTTGGGGTGGGATGGAGGGGGCGGGGGGTGGGGGGGGGGGGGGGATAATGAGTTCATTATGAACATTACTAAGTAATCTATTGCGTTATTTTAATATTTATTCGTGCATGCGGTGTTGTTTTTTTTTTTAAAGATATTAGGCCCCTAACTACTAGATCTAGTAATAGGATTATCACGCAGATTGATCTATATTAAAAGTTTTTTTGGGGGAAAAAATTGGCTATTATGCTGTAAATATCATTTTTATCAATCAGCTACATTATGGGGGATCGAGCAGCGCTACATGTCATAGACCTTACGTTGAAGGGGTGTGGGTTGGTAAGTGGTTTATCGTTTTGCTTTAGGATTTGTTACAATAGGGTAGGCATATGGAGTGTGTGGTATCGATTTCTCACACTTATTTTTTAAATCTTTGTTTTGCTAAATTTCTACTGTTGAGCGTGGTTGATTGAATAGTCTGACCCTACTGGCTTATTCGTGGCTCTAGGTCTATACTTTCTTTTTAACACAATAAAAGTTGTTTTTAATGTAGATTTAACAAGATATTTAGTTTATAATTATTTCATTTTCATGATTGATAAATACGAATTCGAGATCAAACCCTTTTTGTAAACATACATATTACATAATACAGTATGTCGTGGTTTATCATAGTTTATGTGGCGGGTTGCTAGAAAGAAGTGTTACCTCTGTGGCAGTCAGAGTTTCTTCCAGGCATCTCTTCGTGGGGGGGGGGGGGGGGGGGGGCTGAGCCCTCCTATCCCCCCTCGGAAGTGAGTCCACCGCCCCCCCCCCCCCCTCCGAACGAAATGGGATTTATATAGAGAATATATACTTTTAAGAGTGTCCGCCCCCTCCCCCGAAAATTTCAAGTACCCCCCCCCCCCCCTGGAAGAAACACTGGTGGCAGTCTATGGGTAGAATCTATATAGAATCGATATGCGGGGTAGTGGAAGGCCCATGAGTATGTGGAAATAATATAGAGATCTATATTAATATAGGCTAACTGTTCTACGGACATGTTTAAAATATGCCCAACTATTCGTCCTGTACTACAATACTATATCTTATTTTTATTTTTATCTAAGATATCTTTTTTTTCTTATGCACTTACATGGTAAAATATGCAACTGTAATATTTTTCACTCACTGGACCGAAATATTTATCAAAATTTTATTTGCTCTGTGATAGACGCAAAGCTGATACTGTATACTACATTTAAAACAGCGTTTAAAATAATAATTATTATTAATTAAAAGACACTAGATAAAAATAATTTTCCTAATAAAAGCTAAAGGGAGACAAGAAGTGAATCTTAAATCAATATTTTTTATTTGAGTAGCAGTTCTTGATAACATTATGACGTCATTGTTTTAGAATCTAGTATTTTCAAGACATAAACACAAAACAGTGGGAGTGGGTGAAACGCTTTTACTTGGAGATCTAAATACTTTACTCATTACTCAGTTTACTGATTACTCACTGTAAGCCCAAACATTTTCTTTTGTGTTATAGATCTATATCTTTTAACTAGATCAATAGACGTATAGAAATAGATATTTCAGATAGATCTAGATCTAAATCTAGAACAAGATCCTAGTCAGCCAGTCAGGTCCTAGAAATTCTAGAATCTAGTTAGTGCCTAGTGCAGGAAAACATTCATTCTCTGTGGTGACTGTCAGTGTCTCCTCTACTCTACTCTTTTGACTCTTACTAGATCTAGATCTAGAAACTAGATATATCTTTATCTTTAATTACTTTAATTAGCTAGGCCAATGCCGCTGCCGAGAAAATCGGACAAATCGGCTTTTCCCTACCCCCTGCATGTTTAACTCTGTTTTTTGCATGCTTTTATTGTGTTTATATTAACATGTTATACATCATTCTGTTCGTAATTGAATAACCTTTTTAACTGTATTAGTTTGATTTCTGTATTATTTCAGACGTTGAAGAAATCGCCGATTAAATCACATTTTTTACCCTCCGCGGCGACGTGCCGATTAGGGGGGAGGCTTTTTCACCTTTTTAAAAGGGGGGTGTTACTTGGAGTCTATAGACTCTTTGAGTTTTCGTACTACAACAGTGAAACTTTGTAGAAGAATAGATTAAATGTACACATGTAACGCTCAGGGTTCTTGGTTAAAATATGTTAAATACTTTCTGAGATATCAGACTGCAAAGTTAAACTAAGTTATTTGAGCTATTTATGGACCGATTTTTTAAATTTGAACCTTGAGCTGTATTCCTGAAATCTCGACGTTTATTAATATGTATCATATGTCCTATAAGGCCCTATAATAAGGACGTCTATAGACTTTGAAGTGGACCGAAAATATAAACATGACGCGCCAACCGCTGTCCGACTGAACCGCTCGGCCGTGCTTCGAATCGCCGTCTTTAAACTGATAATGCGTTACAAAATTTGTATACACATATCGAGTTTACGTACTACAACAGTTAAATTTGGCAGACGAATACATTAAATGTAGACGTATAACGCTCAGGGTTCGTGGTCAAAATAAGTTAAATACTTTTGGAGATATCGGACCGCAAAGTTGAACCAAGTTTCCCGGTCTATTATTGGACATATTTTACAATTGAACCCTGAGCTGTATTCCCGAAATCTCGACGTTTATTTAAATGTATAACATGTATTATAGCACCTCGTAATAAAGCCGTCCATACATTTTAAAACCGAATGAAAATAAAAATTAATGTGTCGGCCGCCGTCCGACTGAATGAGCAGATAGATTCTAGTATGTGATTGATTGCATGGCAACTGACACTATGAAATATGCTGGGGATTTTTCTAAATGTAGATCTATACCAATGTCTTTTATTATGGGCAACATGTTTACCAATGCTGGCTCAAAAGTTAAGTTTCCCTTTCAAACCTGACGGCCTATAGGGCAATTGAAGTAGAGTTCACTTGTTTCTGTGACCTCGACATATGAAGAGATAGTGTGGTCAGCACTATGCCCAGCCGCCTTTACTTTCCCTAACATGAGTTAGGTACCCATCAGAGTTGGGTGGACTCAGGGAGGATCTACCGACTTGAACCCGGATTTGAACTCGAGACTTAAGCCGCATTAGCAGTCCAGCTCTCTACTGCTAGACCACTCTGTCCCCATGCTGGCTCAAGCTCAATTTAAAAAGTATTAGTCTGTCTCTCACCTTTACTTGGTCTCATTTGTTTTACTGCTTTTCTATCATCATTAGTTCTAGTGTACATATAAAGTGTTTGTGTACATTGTGGTTTAATATTTAGTTTTGTTTGCCTTATTGTTTTTTTTAGATGGGTGACATAGTAAAGAGTGGCTATATTAAAAGATACAGCAGTAAGTATTTCAGCATATTTAGATTATAGGCTACATATCACAACATACAAATGCAATTAAATAGAAGTGAGTGTCATTTCAAAACTGGACCACCTTTTATTTATTTATAGTTATTTTTTCAAAATTTGTGCTGTCTAAGAAATGATTGTATCATAGTATAACTTCCAATAAAGAAAAAGTGTTTATAGGATGATTTACTTGACTAGACTTTATCCCTATATCCCCTGAGGAGCAAAGTGCTCCAAAGGGCTACAGTTGCACCTCTTCACTGGACTCTGTTTTGGGTAGCTTACTTGTAAGCCCTGTAGCCCTTGCTTCTCCTTGACAGTCTCCATGATTGTTTAGGCTGGTCTGCTATTCTTTTCCTCTGGGCTTTCCAGTCCAACACACGTCTCGCAATGTTGACATCTTCTCTTCTCAGGGCACATTTATGGGAGATACTTTTAACACTCCCTTAGTATAGTTTGGGCTACATTTTTGTCTCTAAAAGCAGTATAAACCTTATATATACAAAGATTATATATAGTTAGTGTATCTACTTTGTAGTTAAGGAACCATTTTTCAATGTTTTCAGAGAGTTTTTTAAGTGGTGGCTGGAACAATTCCTTTCTTCAGTTACATAGAGACTCGACATTAAATGTTTACAAGAAACAGGGTGAATCTAAATGTCAAGGCTCTATATATATGAAGGTTTGTTTAGTCAATTTTCTAAAACTTTTAAAGAAATAGTACAGAGATAAGACTCAAACTGCGTAATCAATTTTAATTTTAGATGATAAATTTTGATTAGAGGAGAAATTATATTTTTAATTTGAAAAAAGTTCTTTCAATTTTTGTGTGTCTTTTCCAGTTAAATAAGTGTTTTAAAATATTAAATTTCAACATTTTGGAGTATTGTATTTATTTTCTAAATATGTTTTGCTAGGATGTTTGCAAATACTTTGCATATGGGGAGTTCACATCTGGTATGCCTGATAGGCCTGACCTTCCACCTGGCGGCTCCTATGATTGCATTATGGGTATCCCACAGAAACCCAGCAGCAAAGCTAAAATACACTGGTTTCTTTTTTCTACCACAAAAGAGTTACAGTGAGTTTCTTGTTTTATAACACACAGCTTGTAAATTGTATTTTCATAATAAATTTGTAATAAATTTTATTCCATTGTGTTTTCATTTTAAATAATATGAAAATTATCTGTAAAAGAAAAGTTTCAAATAAAATTTAAGAATTATAAATATTTGTATCTCTCAAAATACATGTTCTTATTTATACTAACAAAATGTTAATAATGTTAAATGTTTTTTTTTTTTAGATTAATTTTTTTCAAATTATGAATACCTTGCTTAATATGTTTATTTTACTTCCAGTGATTGGATGAATGCCATTTGCAGTGTTGTAAGTAGAAATTTACTTCTTAATGATCTGAAAAATTCTTGACATGAGAATCTAGTCTATAATAATAGTTTCGCTGTCTGTCAAGAACGCTCTGTCTGACAAGAACGCTCTAGAGAAAACACAAGCAAAATAAAAACATGCACAGTAATTCGAAAAACGAAATATGACGTCGACACATTTAGCGTAGAGTAGAACATAATCTCAAACCAGAGAGTGCACACAGTAATATGACGTCATTGATTATCGCGTAAACATTGAAAAAAAGGAAATGTTGTCTAATCTAAATGGTTTGCGTGAAGAGTTTCTTGCATACAATTCTTCGGGTAGGGGCGAAGCCCCACCCCCCGCGTAAGAACGTCTGAGCCCCCCCCCCCCCTCCCCAACTCAAAAGAAATTTCCTCATCGATACTCTATAATAAAATTACAGCCTAATTAATGTGTCTAATCTAAAAAGTGGTTTTCTTGCAATGGGAAGGTAGACATGTTTTTTTTTTTGGGGGGGTTGGGGGGTGGAGGGGTGGGGGGGGGGGTGGTGTGTAGGGGTGGGGGGTGGTGTGTGGGGGGGTGGGTTGGTTTCAGTGTTTCTTTCAGACTTTTTCCTCCCCGGAGAGGGGTGGGGGTACTTGAAATTTTCGGGGGCGGGGGTAGAATATTCTGGGAGGGGGCGGACACTGGAAAAAGTATATAATTATATTTCGTTGAATGGGACGGTAGACATGTTTTTTTTGGGGGGGGGGGGGGTGGGGGGTGGGGGGGGGGCGGTGTGTGGAGGGGGTGGTGTGTGGGGGTGAGGGGTGGGGGTGGTGTGTGGGGGTGGGGGGGTGGGGTGGGGGTGGTGTGTGGGGGGTGGGTTGGTTTTAGTTTAGAGAAAAGAGACAGCACTATCAGCCTAGCGCCCGTTGTACCCTTCCTCAACGGGCCATTTATCTAGTATTATATATTGTTGTAAACTTTTTAACTCACAGTTGATTTTTTTTCAACATTATTTTTATCTTATCTAACAGCTACCTCCACCGCCCCAAAAGGACCCCAGTGCACATGCACAACACCCCCCTCAACAGTCCCCACAACATCATGTGAGTCCCAGCCATGCCCCCAGCTATACCTCAGCTAGCCACCCTCCCAGCTACACTTCAGCTAGCCACCCTCCCAGCTACACTTCAGCTAGCCACCCACCAGCCGGTTACGCCCCACCTCCTCAGGGCCCCATGCTAGGCTTTGAGAATCTCACAGGTATGTTGATTTGTTTCACAATGTCTGTCATATATGTCACAACAATCGGTACAGTTGCCTGAAAGGCTTCTGTTAGCAGTTTATGTCTATGGGATGATTGTCCAACTCCAATCTTATACTCATATTGCCAGCCTCTAGACATTGTTATTTCCACCTTTTGCGCCCCCCCCCCCCCCCCCACCCTACCAGGCATTGCAACACCTGGTTTAGGTGTCAAGGGATGACCTAATGACCTACAATCATGAGACCAGATACCACTTGTTCACTGCTAAGTCTCATCATCCCTCGTACTACAATTTTCAATTTAAAACAAACGAGCCGACCCGCTGCGTATCATACGCCGTTATTTAGTTGTGTTTTTTTTTCTACTTTTCAGTAATTTATAATTTGTGAATTTGACAGTACCAACGCTGCCACTGAAAATATTTGCTTAAAAACACTAAACCCCCCTCCACCCCCCACGTGAAAGCAGCCTCCTTTTAATTACCTCCTCTAAGTTTAAAATCGTTTCAAACTAAATTATCTGCCCCTAATAGCCGTCACCAAACCCGTCTCTATGATTGTAAAATGTAAACAGCGTGACCACAGTGTCATAGCGTAGATATAAAGAATTAGACGACTAGTAGAGGTTACAAAGGACGGTGCGAACTTGACTGTAGACGATTTGGTGCGAGAGTATTGTGCGCATGTTGAATACAATATTTGTGGCGCGAATGTGACGTGAGTATGACACGAAAATGTACCAATGACGTAGACCGTGGCAGTAACGGGAGTTGGGGGTTAGTAATGGTAGGAGACGGAGGTATTCTTTGATATTGTGCAAATAAGTGTGTATTAATAAAGTTAGTGTTCTTTTCATAAACGAAGTGGTTGACGTTTGTTAATTAGTGTCTGCGGAACATAAGAGTGATTCCCATCCTACTCACAAGTATAATAGTTGTCGTATGAATAGTAGCAGATCAGAATATAGAGAAGATATAATTATATAATATATATGAAACCCCCCATCACATATTGGTGGAGCACAAGTGGTCCTTAATTCCGCAAGTGGTGTTTTAAAAAAGGATTCGAGTGAAAAGTTGTGAAGTTTGAAGCGGATTCGTGTTGAGCAGAGGGCTACTTGATCATCGCAGGGAAGCAAGATAAGTACCTTCCTCTGATTTTTTTTTAAGTAACCGGGATTGTTTGGATCCTGTGCTGGTTATTCAGCAGTTTTTCTTCTTCGTGTTTGTTTTATGTCTTTATAGATCTAGTCTTGTTATTCTTAAATTGGCTGAGGCTTCCTAATTATAGGACACACTGAGTGTAGGCCTGCTATTTAAGAGGTACACATTTATAGTTAGCTGTATCACGTAATGTTCGCATTATCGTGTTTATCGTGCTGCTCCCAGCATTTTTTTTTCTCTTTATAACCTGTCACGTGTTCCGTACTGTGGTAGGATTAGAGTAAGCTACATCTATCTTACTCTCGCCCATTTATGTGTTTCGTCCTTTTCAGTTAATGTTATTTTGTTACTCTTTTTTTTTCCCCACACATCACCTTTATTACACCACACTAAGACATGCCTCCATTTAACGAACTTCTAACTATAACTAAGCCCGAGTTAGGCTTAGAGTATACCATTGGAGACTCGTCGCTGAAGAAAAGCAAATATGGAAAGCAAGACAAAGTTGTCGATGAAGATAAATTATTTGAGTTAGTCCAGTTAAGACTTTTAGAGGATGCAGAACAGGAAAGACAATGTCAAGTGGCGTTAGCTCACTATAGAGTTCAGCTAGAGGCCAAACGAGAAGAAGAATCCGTTGAAGCTAAAGCTAAATTAGATGAGAAATCAGAAGACTACAAAAAACGTGAAGCAGAAGTTGAATTTATGTTTGCCAAGGCTCGGCAAGAAAGAGAAAGAGAATCCGAACTTCGTAGAGCCAAGATGGAAAAACAATTTGAACTTTATAAAGCCGAGATTGAAAAACAAACTGAACTTGAACTAAGCGAAATGAGACTACAAGTAGAAATAAGGCGAAAAGAAGTAGAAGAAGAACTACGTCAATATAAATTAAAGTTAGAGAATCGATCACAGCAACCTAAACATGAGTCAACGCTACAACAAAAAGCAGAGCTACCTAGATCTACTTATGAATATTACTACGATTCAGATGACTCATACAGTGAAACAGAGAGCAAGCCTACTACAAAAATTAATACGCCACACTCAGTTCAAGAAGATACCACAACAGACCACAACATGCAGATGAACTATTGTCGACAAAAGAACTATCACAATATCAGATGTTATTACTGCAATAGATCAGGTCACAAAAAGTTTAATTGTAAGAAACTATATGATGATAGACTCCAGCGGAATATACAGCAGAATAGACGTCAATACCAGAGACCAATTTATAGATCAGCATACATGACATCTTTTAGTGAAGCCAGCAACAGGAAAGACACATTTACAGCCAAGATTAACAACAGATTTGCACGAGCCATAAGGGACACACGATGCTCAACAATAGCTGTTAGAAGCTACTTTGTTAGACGACATCAATACACAGGCAGAACACAACATGTCCAGAGTTCACGAGGCATAACATATGTTTGGCCAACAGCTATAATCCAGATTAGCACGCCATCAGCAACAAGAACAGTAGAGGCAGTTGTTTTTAGATATGGTCCACACGATCTGATCCTAGGCAACATCAGAGGTGTCAAACAATTTCAAGTTGAGAATGACATGAACCATACAACACAAGTAAGAAGCGAGCAGGCCGACACACAAAGTTCTATCGAAACGGTAAACAGAACGATGTACGATCTACAGAAAAGGAGTGATAATTTGGTGATAGACATGAACACAGTTACTGAAGAGTTGTCTAAAAAAATCACAGAAATCGGCTCAGTTGTTCTCAGTTTGAGAAAACAGAATGATAAACTTAATGACAGATTGCTCAGATTGGAGAAAAAACTCAACAATGAAAATGAAGAATATGTCCTAAACAATGCAATTGGTGAGACAGCTTACTACTATTCCTGGTCAGCACTTAATCAGATAATGTCAGGAGCACAAGAAACTACAGAGCCTAAAGAAATGACCTGCACACGAGTACAAGACAGACGACGGACCTGTTCAACCCTAACCTTAACCTAGCACCCCATGTGCTTTACCCCGTGACGGATAGAACTTGGACCACGCACACCCCCTTACGAACGGCTTTGAACAACGACTACACAAGGATTAATAAGTAAAGTAAATTCAAGTTATCGAACAGCTAAATGTATGGTATGAATCTAAGTCGTCGTAAATATCGACGTGAGGCAATTTTTCAATTCTGATGGTGCAGAAGGAAGTCGTTGTCATAACATGGTATAATGAGAGCTGCTCCATTATAGCCATAAGGTGAAGAATATGTTAGTTGCTATTGGAGGATGAATAATTATGGCTATGTACAGTCACAGGCAGAGAGCTGCTCCTGCACTACAGATATGTGACACGCAATACAACACACATGTCTTTTCTTTGTGTGTAGTAGATCTCTTTCTATTTTAATGCTAGTCGTGTGTAGTTAATGATTTAGTAATGTAGTTGGTATTTTGTTGATAATTATAATAATGTAGTTACTATTTTTATTATGTAGTGTGTCGTGGACAAATAACCAGCATATCAAAATTTGGTGGGTTTTCTTTAAAAGAGGAAGGTTATTTGTCCGACGGGCACAAAAACGCTTAGCTGGCATATGTTTAAGACGACATGTCCGCTCATATTTTCTCAGAATCTGACGTCATCTTCGTGAATGCTACGCACTGATGCCCAGCTTAAATGAATGCAGCGGTCAAACGAGCAGTACATCATGAACGTGAACATATGAAACACATCGTCAAGGACACGTCCGCAGGATCACGTCAAGTAACACATCTAGAGGAACCAAATCAATGTGAGATGGGTCATCCTAACCAGATTACTGAAGCCTTACGCATGGTCGCGGTCAATTTCCGACCAAGTCGTAACGGCAAGAAGGGCCACCATAACCAACTAACAAAAGCCTTACGCACGGTCGCGGTCAATTTTCGATCAAGTCGTAACGGCAACTTCAGCTTATAAATATTTGTTTTTCGGTCACAGTGTTGCCAAGTTTTGTGTTTATAAAGCTCAAGGGAACATTTAGACGTCAAGTATAACAGGGAAAACTGTCTATACATATGATAAACGTTTGTGGAACTGTCTCTACCGAAGATAAAGATTCATTGAGTGACGTATATTTTGTAAATTTGTCTACACAGATGATAAACTTTGTGGAACTGTCTCTAGCGAAGATAAAGATTCATTGAGTGACGTATATTTTGTAAATTTGTCTACACAGATGATAAACTTTTGTGGAACAGTCTTTACCGAAGATAAAGAATAAATTGACTGACGTTTATTTTGTAAATTTTTCAATACAGATGATAAAGTTCTCTACTGGCAGTTCAAGATGCGGCATGACATTGTTGTCGTTTGTTTTTTTGAAAATGTGAATGCTGGAATTGTTGCTATTGAAATGTTAATGTAATTCAGTCATTGATGACGCTATGACTATGTATTTATACGATGATTGACTAAGAAGACAGAAAAAAAAAACTAATAGTATTAGTTTTTTTAATTGTAGGGGGGGAGGAGATGTCATAGCGTAGATATAAAGAATTAGACAACTAGTAGAGGTTACAAAGGACGGTGCGAACTTGACTGTAGACGATTTGGTGCGAGAGTATTGTGCGCATGTTGAATACAATATTTGTGGCGCGAATGTGACGTGAGCATGACACGAAAATGTACCAATGACGTAGACCGCGGCAGTAACGGGAGTTGGGGGTTAGTAATGGTAGGAGACGGAGGTATTCTTTGATATTGTGCAAATAAGTGTGTATTAATAAAGTTAGTGTTCTTTTCATAAACGAAGTGGTTGACGTTTGTTAATTAGTGTCTGCGGAACATAAGAGTGATTCCCATCCTACTCACAAGTATAATAGTTGTCGTATGAATAGTAGCAGATCAGAATATAGAGAAGATATAATTATATAATATATATGAAACCCCCCATCACACACAGCTCACCAGACAATGTGGGGTGGGGGTGGTAGTAATAGTGATAGAGAGAAAGAGACGGGAACTGCAAGGAGGCGCTTGCAGCTTGTTTTCTAACGGCTCCCAGAAGAGAATTATATATATAGATAAGAGTATTTTCTTGTCTTATTATTGTTTGAAATGGAATAATAGTGGCTGATTCATTATTTTTAACATAACATGCAAAAAATACTTGTCAATTAACACTTCAGTCAAGCAGCAATTTTTAGTGATCATGAACGAGAAGTAAAGTTTAAACTATCTAGTTACCACTAGTGTTATGCTCCATTTTTTGACTAGTCCATGTTTTCTATTTGGTATATTTAGTTTTAAAATTGATTCTCTGCTTCAATTTTCAAAAACAAGAAATTATTCATCATATTATTTTTTGAAACAGTGGGTGGCCCTGCACCACCATATCCCCCAGCACCAGGAGGGCCACAGTACAGACCCCCTTCCCCCCTACCCCAAGCTCATCAGTACCCCCAGCCTCAGTACTACCCCCCTCCCCCTCAAGGCGCATACAGCCAACCTGCACCCCAGGGTAAGTTGATTCTTTTGTGATACTTAAGTTGTCTAATTTTGAAAACTGAAGACAATTGATAGACAAAAATAATATACTGTGTTTAATTAAAATTTGAATCTCCTAATATAGAGTAAAAGCAGTTTAAAATAATTAAAGAAGTGTGCATTTATAAAAATATTTTAATAGTTGCATGGTAAATTTAAGCAGTTAAAAATAATTTAAGAAGTGGGCATTTTAAAAAATATTTTAATAGTTACATGGTAAGTAACATTAAGATAAAGAATTACTGTAGGAGTTCTAAATTAATCTTCATGGTAATTAAAATATAGTTCCATTTCAAATGTATGATTGTGTTTTTAGGTTACTACCCACAACAAAGCTATCATCCTGCCCCCAATCCAGGTAATTATGTTTGCTTAACATTTTTCAATTGCACTAGTAAACACGCATAAACAAATTCAACTAAGAGAAGACACTTTTTTTTTAGCTTATTTAAACCTACAATGTTTGGTAACACGTTATTGTGTTAGAGGTATTTAGATGAAATTTTTCTGTTTGAAGTTGTCTTGAAATTCAAAGCTGTTTCTCTACCAGGTTATCCCCAGCAACAGTATTACCAACCAGCCCCAGGTAATTGTTTATAATTAATGCCCCTGATTGCAACATTTAGAACTGATACATTTTTTAAAGATGGGTGTTTTAATTTTTTTTTTTTTGCTATCTATTATTTTAATAAATTATATTAAAATGGAGGTTCAGTATTTTTCATATTTAAAAAGCTATTTTTAAACACAGTGATTTTAATTTGCAATATTTTCCCCACTAGAATAAGTTATTTAATCCTTATTTCAATTGGTTGTATTTTTTTTTTACTTTTTCTAAATTCTAGTTTATGGGGGTGCATACGCTCCAGCACCTCAGCATTATGTTGTACAAGGTAGTAGATGTTTCTCTGTTGTTGTTTTTGTTGTTAGAGTTAGCTTATTTTTTTACATTTTATTTTTATTTCCAAAACATAAGAGCATTTAGATTAGTGTGTTAAAATTGAAAGGGCATATTTTATCTGGGACCATATTTGGCCATTGCTATAAAGTGCTACAGCCAAATGTGAACTTGTTGCTTGGAGATTTCCAAACTTTCTACACAGCAATTTGTATAGAGAGTTTGTCATTGAGACTTGGAAATGAAGAAGCTGGTTTTAGCCAGTTTAATTTGCTTAAAAAAGGGAATCTACATTTATAAATCTGAAGAAATTCTGCTAGGAAACAGTGATTTCAATGTGTTAATTTAGATGTATGGGATTGTATGGTCAGGTGGTAGAGCACTCAACTGCTCACCCAAATACCTTGGGTTTGGATTTAAGCTCAAGCCCATAGGATGTCCATGTGTCCATACACCTATAATAGGTACCTGACACACATTGGAGAAAGTGTATACGGCTGAGCATAAGACTGACCACACTATCTCTTAATATGCAGAGGTCACTGAAATAGGTGGATTCTAAATCACCTGCTCTATTTATTGAAATTATATCTTTAGATGTATTAAAACATTGTATTAATATTAAATGCCATGAATATTGTTTACTTAAATCTATTTAATAAGATGTTCATTTCATGTATTAGCTGAAAAACAAAGAAACGTAGACTTTAACTAAACATTCTATTTATTATTTCATTATGTTTTTCTATTACATTATGGGCTATGTTGTTCTGTTGTAGGTCACCCACACCAAACGTACAGCTACCAACAGCCTGTTGTCTACCAACAGCACCACAAGAAGGGAGGAATTCTGGGAAGCAATACTGGCAAGATGGTTGCAGGTTACTCTTACTTTTTTTTGTTGTTGCTGTTTTACACTATGCATTTTTAGCTTATTTTCATCCCTGCAGCCACTCATCATCACAAACACACACAAAAACAGAGTTCCAACCCTTTCAGACCCCATTCCCCTCCCCATCTCCATAAATCTAACCTTTTGTCATTTTTAAAAAAAATTCACATTCTTAATTCCTCACCCCTGAATATCATTTATGGATTGGTACTTGTACTTAACAGCCTCAGGTTTAGCTCATTTCATTCTGTCACTAATGATTTTTGTACATTAATTGCACTGCATCTTTCAGGTCTAGCTGGAGGGGCACTTCTGGGATACGGTGCCTCCCGTATGATGGGCGGAGGCTGGGGGCTGGGAAGGTGGGGCAGCTGGAGCTCCCTCAGCTCATTTGGTAGTTTTGGAAGCTGCGGAAGCTTTGGCAGTTTTGGAAGCTTTGATTAAAATGGAGAGAAGATTGGTAGTTTTGGAAGCTTCGATTAAGATGGAGAGAAGTGTAAACAAAATAACTTGCCTGTTTGTGATGTGAAGATTGTGGCCCTGGCTACTTCTGTGCCAGATAAGTTAAAATCCATTCTTTTAGCTAAAAAGCCATTAGGCTAGTGCAATTTTTACTGTAGCAACTACTTACGTGTTTAATCCTATTGGATTCATTTATTCATGCGTGTACCACCTTTTTTTAAAACAGAAAATGAAAACATTTTCAAGTTTCAGAACTTTTTAATTAGTGTAAAAATTGAATTACAACAGTTCTCTTAGCCCAGAATTGTTATCCACTGTCTGCTGGGATTATTTCTTCCCTTGATTTTTTTTTAAATGCATCTGCAAACAGACTAATCTTTTTCAGAGTTTATATAAAAGTATATATAAAATAATAATTGTAAATGAATTCCCTACATAATCATAGTAATGATAAGTAGGGATTTATTTATTAAAGAAAGAAATTTTACTAATTTTAGATAAGAAAAAATAATGAACAGATTCATATTTGTGGGGGGAAAAAAACACTTCTTCTGAAAAAGCTAATAATAATTTTTAAAAATCAATTTTTTGTTTAAAGAAATAAATAAATTTTAGTCCAATTTTTAACTCAAAGTGTGGATTAAATTAGTTTTTATATTTAGATGCAGCTGCTAAATGTGGCTTAATGAGAAACAATTAAAATCTGCCATTAAACTTTAAATTATCAGAATATTTTAAAAATATTCCTAAAATGTAGGCATTTCAAAGTGTACATATTCAGGATTCAATAAAAAAATGTATTTTATAAATGTTATTATTATTGTGATATTAATGTCAATAAAGATAAATATTGATCTGATATTAACAGAGTTTTATTAGTAAAACACTTCACAGCTATTATTGTTTTAGTTAAAAGAGTGATATAGATATTAAGGGAAAAAATGTCTCTAAATTCAACTAATTAGAAATTAGATGTCTTTTTATCAAGAAAGCAGCTGTTCTAGTGTTGAAACATCTATTTACAATGTATTTTGCTGTATCTATACTTTGTATTTTTAAAAACATTAGTCTTGTGTCACACAGGTGTTTTTGAAGTTGTAATTTTTTTTATTTTATAAGAAAACAAAAGACCACTAGATCTGATTTTTTTATGTACAAATCTGACTTTTAAAATCATGGTTAATTGTTTCATATCTGCCCGAAACTTATAATTTATATTTTTAATGTTTATCCTCTGCATCCTTTGCTAGTGATTATATATGGATATTTGTTTCATACAATGATACATACCTGAAACTCTTGGTAGCTGGAAAATCAAAATTGATCACAAGAGGGTCAATATGAAGAAACATGAAGAATTTACAATATTTTTGTAGATGTGTTCAGTACTGATATTTAAAATTGTTGATAACAACCAGATGTGTATTATTTTTTTAAATCTATAAAATAGTTGGTTTGATGTGCAAAGATTATCATTCTATACATGTTCTTATTGAAAGTGATTTTCAATAAGTGATTCATGGGGATGTATGTCTGTTTTAGGAGTTTTATCTTTGTCACAACAAAGCAGTTCTATCCATAGTGATAGCAAATTTTTTTTAAATTTTAAGGAACAATATTTTAACCCTCTTGGGACAATGCCGATTTTATAGCCAAAAAGATGAGCGCCGATCTATCGGCCGGGTGTCAGCCGTGATAGTAGATGCCACATTATTGGCTTTCTAATATCATATCAGCCAACCAGACTGCTTCTTACTATTTTAGTTCAATATGGCGGCTTCCATGGAAAGATTGCCTCATTAAATACAAAAATTTGTTCATCTCCATTTTTTTATGCTAGTAATAACTTTTTTTTTTGCTATTTAGCCAACAAAAAAAAATATAGCCCTACTCAAATATGTATTTATTGTACTAAGCCTTATTTACTCATGTTAACCGTGTCTAGTGGATTAAGAAATGGCTGATTAAAAAATACTCAAATTAACACAAAATAAATAAAATAATGAATATTATCTCTAGTGACTTAAAACTACCTTTTTAAAAGATTTACTAATTTTAAGTTTAAAATGTTGATAGAAGAGACACGATTGTCATCAGTAGTATTAAAGTTTTTCTAATTCATTTTGTTTTAACTAGGTTTGATTTAATAATATGCCAAAGTGTAATATAAGTTATATATATCCTAGCTGTGACTTTTGTATGTTGGTCTACAGGTTTTCAATAAATGCTAAACACCACTTCACTCTGTTTTAAACAACTTTAATATATCATCTTCTATTCCTTTCACTCTATTTTCTTTTTGTTTAATCTTTTTTTTTATTCACCATATGTTCAGTATTTTTGGAATTCTAATTCAGTTTTCAACTAGTTCCTGTATTGCTTATACTCTTTACCACTGTCATTGCCAGTTTATTGTTTGGTACTCCAGTAGCGTAGCGAGGGGTGGGTATGTCCCCGGGCGCCGACCTAAGGGGGCGCCAAAATGGGTTGGAAAAATAAATTGAAAGGTTGAGGGGGGTGCAAATCAAAATCTTGAGGGGGGTTCAAATCGAAAAGTTTGTCCCTGGGCGCTGGGAAGGGTCTCTACGCCTCTGTGGTACTCTCAAGATGTCCTAGACTTCATAGTTCTCTAATTTTTACTTGATAAAATCTGGCCAGGTTAGCTTTCTTTTTGAGGTGTTTACAGTGAGTGTTTACTGTATTGTACTACTATTTCATTGTTACTCTTTACTGTCTATGTACAAAGTTTTTTTTTTAAATCTTAATTTAAACAAGAAATCTTCTTCTTAGTTACTCTTTACTGTCTATGTACAAAGTTTTTTTTTTAAATCTTAATTTAAACAAGAAATCTTCTTCTTCTTCGTTCTTAATTTTTAGTGTTGGAAGGGAACGAGCCTTATCTGCCAGTTTTTTTTTTTTAATCTTAATTTAAACAAGAAATGAAAAGCTTTAATTTTTAAAGACTCTATTTAGTCAATTTTAGTAGTGAACATTTGATGTCACATGAGAAATTCCTTTAAAAGATGTGTTGGATTGTCTATTAAGTATTTTTTAAAATATTAATAATTATGCTGAACTCTACAGTTGTGGCATATATCATTTTAAGTAAAAAAGAGAACAAAAAGATTAATTTTAAAAAATAGAAATTTACTTTAAAAAGAAGTATTTTTGAAATTGTTTAACATCATCTTGACCTGTGTTTACTTAGTTATGAACCGTGTTCGCCTTATTTTATTTTTATTTATTGAAAGCATAATGTTGTTCTTTAACTCAGTTTTATTTTATCAGAATCTCATAATTAAATACTTAACTTTGATTGATGCAAGTGTTTTTTTTTAATTATCTGAATTTACTTCATCTTCATCCTGTACAAAGATCAATTATATTTGTACATTTTGCACCCCTAGTCTTTTATATTGCAATATTTAATGAGTGTTGTACATTTTCTTAAAATAAAGGATTGCTTTTTTTTTTAAATCTCTTTCCTTATTTGGCATGTCTACTATATAATATTCAAATACATAAACATTTTCATCCATGATTTTCTCACAACTCACTGTCTTTCCACACCTATCATAGAACCATCACAAACATTTTGCTCTAAAAACCACCATCACAAATTTTCTAATACTACCTCCACCACCAATTTTATACAATTACTATCACACCACCATCACAAATTTTCTACCAAACTCTTTTTCACTTACTCCACACACCACCATCACAGTTCCTATAGACTTTATGGAATCTCAATTACTGAAACAAAATAAATTATTCCTGCTTTTTTTAAATCTATAAGCCTCAATGTTAGCCATTTGTATCTGGTTTACTACTGTCTAATAAATTAAAAAACAAAACTTCGTTAAAATTTTTAATTACTTTTTTTTTGTTTGCATGTGCCGTATTGTCACATTCATCATTACATTAAATGTTCAAATAATTCATGTACAATAAAGCAATCACTATCATGCACTGCCTTAAATACAACACAATAACATCAGCATGAGGAAAATGTCTGTACATTCTATCACTGGTTCAAAAGTTCTAGCAACTCTCAGCAGTGAATGAGAAAAAAAAAATTTTCACCTTGTTAAGAAATAAAAAATGTAAAACTGTTTTAAATGCCCATTAAAAATAAGAGAGAAATTCTGTAATCTGTAAAAACAATTATAAAAATAACTCATTTTAAGATATTCCAAGAAAGAGCTAAAACTATAACAGTACCTATAAAATAATCTCATGTTTGATTAGTTTGTGCTATGCTGTTTCTTATCACTAGTTTAATTATTCTGTAGACAAGAAGCTCCATACAGTTCTCTATAATTAAGTACAAAAAAAAAAAAAAACTTACACACCTCTTTTATGCTAATAATAAAACACTGCCCAACAAATAAAAATACATTTTGAAGATAATTATTTACTCTAAACTTCTGTTTCAAGACAAATGAAGTGATAGCTTAGTTGTTTTTTTTTTAAATAACAAAATCATCAACATAATGGAAAATAACAATGAAATGAATTACTTATAAAGTGTATATATGTCATGACAAGGGGCACAGGTTGAGGGGGGGGGGTGTGATTTACATAAATAATTATGACCAATAGCTGACAAATTGCAAATGCTTCTAGTGCCGAAAGGGGAAAACTGTTAACAAAGTTTTCCCTAGTACTTTGACAGTCCGACAAAGAATAAAATTCAATTTGACAGACTACTAGCATGAATATTAAAAGTTAAACACATTCCCCTGCTGTTATTTCTGTATAAATCCCCCCTCCCCCCCATTAGATTTTTAACTGTGTGCCTATAAAACAATGTACAGTTACTTTCAAGCAATTTAGATAAATACATTCAAGCTGTTAGCAATTGCACAAATTGATTTATAGCTTTAACCCTATCAGAACAACATGACACACTAGGCTAATGTTTGCTTAATTTTTTAGACAATGACATCGATATCATAAAAATTAAACATGAAATTAGTTTTAATGAATTTTCTACTTTCTGTAAGACAATAATTCTAACATTACAGAGGTGTTCTAAGCAGAAACTATGTATAAAACAGCTCCTAACCCAAAATGATTGCATCTTTTTTGCAATTTATCAGTTAAAGGAAATAAAAAAAATTTCTTGAACAAAGTATAAGTTCAAAAAGTTAAAGGTGTTACAAAATATCATTTTGACATAAAAGACTAAAAGATTAAAACAAAAAATATAACACTTGCAATATATAGGAATATTTTTTTTAATTCTAAAAACGCATTCAACCAAAATAGCACGTATGCATTTTTCACCCCACTACATGTACAAGTATATTTACAAGAAAAATACACCCATGAAAATACTACACTCAAAGCAACAAGAATAAAAAAAATTTTATATTACAAATACTTCAATAAAAAGCCTTTTAATAGTAATCACTATGATGACAAGTTAATTCAAAGCATTCATAAATATGTTACAAGGTTCTGTTACAAAAAATGTGTAAGAATTTAATTGAAGAAAAATCTTTATAGAAAAAACAGACCTGCACCACTAATATTTAAGTGTTAACTATTAAGGATATTTTTAAAAAGGAACAACTAAAAATCATTAGGAAAAAAAAAAGATTTCTTGCAAGGCGAATACAGGCTAATTTCATAGGTCAAATTTAAATGTATCATTTATGCATGACTATATTCATTTACTATTTACTCTTTCACCCTCAACATGATCACAACAACGCATAGTTCTGACAACAGTTAACATCAAATTTAGAAAAGGTGCAAAAAGATTTCAATAAAAGATGGCATTGTAATCGAAGAATTTTAAACAATCTGAAAAAAAAAACTTTGACAAAAAAAAAACTTTTGGCAAGTCATATCCTGCAATATAACTAGACAAACCAACATATACATTAAAAGACATAACCATATTTGAAATAATTGCTCGCTGATATTTTTAAAAATTTAAATAAAACAGTTGCTTCAAAAAAACTAAATACTTTAACTCAATACCACAAAAATATTAAGAACATTATTAACAAGTTTCTCTTCATTTTTGTAAACTATTAAGATTTTGAATACATTTCAACTTTCATGAGCAGTAGTAACCAAGAATATATACAACATTGCAATAATTCGTTATTACATTAAGAAAAGTTTAAAACTGTGTAAATATTATAAATCAATCATGACCAAGGCACTGCCCTTCCATGTCCCCTTTGCTAATAAAATAAAACTCCACACCACATGGTTTATGGATTGACTTCAACTTTACGGAAACCACAAAAAGAATTGTCTTATTTAATTAAGATGAAAAAAAACCTTTAAAATTCCATCACTAAAATATTTAAAAAAATAAAAATTCAACATATAACGAGTATTTTAAATAACAATATGTAAAAAGGAAAAGTTTAACATTTTTTTCTTACAATCTTTTTAAAAGAAAAACCTCTAAAATTAGAACTAAATACATTTTTATGTGATTTGATGCAATTTTTGTGACTTCTCATTCAGTAGGATAAAAGAATATTCAAAGTTATACACAAGATATATTGATAATAATTTTCCCTTAAAAATTAAGGTAATTTTGTATGTAATTAGGGTTTTAAGTGTCAACTAATGATAAAAATATTAACAGAACCACTAAGTTTTTAAAAAAATAGTATATACATTCAATACGGACAAAGTTTACATTTAACTTGATATTATTTTTACAAAAGTAGGCAATGAAAGGTTTAATTAATGAAACTAATTCTTCTGAAATGTTATGTACTAAAAATTTTTAAGAAGCCTTTAAAATTGTACTTTGTAATGCCATATCAGAAGAAATAATTAACATTGCAGCTAACCTTAAATCTTACCTAGATCTATTTAAAGTCAACAGTAATGTGTCTTTTAAGAACATTTCAATTCTAAGAAGGTTGGCTCACTAGAATAAAATATTTTATTGATAGCTTTTTAAAATATCTAGCACAGCTTTTGAAAGCTGCTAAAGATGCAAACAAAAGCACAAAGCAAATTTAACTGTGCCGTTGTGTGAAAAAAATGTGAGAGAAAAAATAAATGGGTCACATTTGGATGAAGATTAAAAAAAAAATGACATACAGCCATATCTAACTATCAATATTTTCCTGCCTTTTTCTGTTTTATCTGTACATAACTATAAAAAATAAATAAAGATTTATAAAATAATTGTAAAATCTTTTTTAAAAATCATAAATGCATGGTAAATAAAGTAGGCTTCTGCATTAATAAAGGTCTCACGTTGTTTTTAATGGTAACTTACTGTGAAAACTTCCTCAACTCATTATTTTATTTTTGCCCAAAGCCAGACGTAACTCTCTGAGCTCCAAGACATCAACCAACACAATGACTATATTTACAGTTTTACACCTAAGTCTATATACAATTTCATAACCCAGACAGGAAGTTTATGTACAGATCTATAAATAAATTCATAAAGAAAAAAAATTCACCCATACACCACTTATGTTACAGCTCTCATCTGCACACCACTATTTACATTTGTACTCTCTTGCTTGAAGATACTTTTCCTCCAGAATTTGCTGCTGACTTTTCATAGAACTTAAATTGGATTCCGCTATCAACCGGAACAAAACAAAAGTATATAATCCATTGTTTAAAATTCTGAACAGTATATAAATTTAATTACAGCTGCAGGTTAAAAAGATTTCTGTAAAATTTCCATTTGGTTTTCACTAAATTAAAAAAGTAATGTATCTATGTTAAGTTAACAACTAAAAGTAAAAATTACCAACTCCCAATATTTATTAAAATATTAAAAAAGGCAAATGGGTAGTATGCCCCACAACAGAAAATATTATCCTTGCCATTTTAGACAACAGGAATGAATAACATACTCAAAAGCATTTAGCTCATACATTACTTTTCTTACATAGGATTTAAATTTACTTGAAAATTACATTTTACTGTAGTAAAAAAATTGCATTAAACAAAAATCTTTGCAAATTAGTGACTTAAAAAGCAATAAAAAATAATCAACATACTGTCATTAAAAACTTTTATGTATTATTTATTTTAAAATTTGAATTCTCTTGTTTTAGTCTTACTTTTCTCAGAAAGAAACAGCTTTACAAAACACTAATACTTGCTTTTCCATTTTCATAAGATGGAAAAATAAAAATACAATTTTAAAATTCTAAGCAATTGCACAAACACTGACACAAAGAAATAAATTTTATGGTTAAAAATAGATCACATTATTTACTAAATATGTTACTTTTTTTTACTTTATCTCTTTCAGCACATCCAATGTTACGTAACTGACCTAAATAGTACCATCATCGCCATAAAATTATGAATACATCACACAAAGCATTGATTATTTGTTTGCACTTGATATAGCCTTCAATACATATAAAAAGTGTGATAAATCTACGTAAGTTATAAATAAAAGTAGTTTATCAACAGAATATAATATTGTTCTAAATATTTTAATTATTTAGGCAGTGTTCAATTATTACTAGTGAATTAAATTAAATCATAATCTTCAACACAAAATGAATGAAAATTCAATGCATTATAAGCTGGCTAGTGTTATTTGTAAGTAGTTATGATCTTCAGATGCAAAAGAACACCAAGCTTGTACAGAGAATACAGGTCTTGAAGGAATATTCAATAATCCTTATAAAAAGATGAACCAAAAAATAAAATTATAATAATTTTCTCCTATTTCGGACTAAATGAATGAAATTAAAATTTGGTTCTTCTTTTGGCTCATTAAAAAAAAACAACGCTTTTTTATAATTTCTTAGATAAATGCTAACAATAAAAACAATTACTATCTTGATCAGATGAGATCCCAATATCATTACTCATTAGGTATTGCAATTGCTATATGCAAAATTATGATGTGGAAATTTTCTTAAAATCTGTGGTTAATTCCTATTTTTAAAATAAGCAACTTTATACTCAGAATTGTGTGGAATATGTACTTTAGGTTAAACATGTGCCTGAAACTTATCTTCTTATCGCATGATAAGGATATGTGCCTGAAACCTAGCTACTTATCACATGATAAGGATATGACGTACAAAGCAGTGATGTGTTCATTGTTTGAGAATCAGGCTCAATTGGTTCTGTCACTTGGTAAGGGGTTGATGTAGAATGAGACTGATGTAGGTAAGCTTTTGTCTTCTGACACAAGCATTGAAACTGTTGTCTTCCAGTAGCCGAAACTTATTTTTGAGCTCTGTAACAAAAGGAGCAGTTTTATAAAAATAGACTCATACAGTAGCTAAAATTTATTTTTGAGCTCTGTAATAAAAGGAATAGTTTTAAAAATAGACTTGTCTGCTGATATGTGTGTATACTATTGATTAATTATGCGTAAAAAAAAATTTTTTTTAAAAAATTAACAAAATGAAAGATTTGAGAATAATGGTGTAAAAAAATCCTTTTGATTTGAAATAAAACTAAAAAAAAACTTCACTGCACTCATACTTTATGAACATTTATAACAAATATCTATGCTTCAAATAAGCTTATGTAGACATCTTTTCCTGTCTGTGTCCATGACATATGGGGCAGATGTAGTAGAGAACATGTATTTCAATTACCTCAGCATACAAGAGGATAATGTGGTCAGTACTATGCCCAGCCACCTGTTTCCCTAACATGGGTCAGGTGCCCATCAGAGCTGGGTGGACACAGAGACGTTATAAAGAAATGACCCCCAACTCAAGACTTTTGAGTTAGCAGCCATAGGCCAGACATCTATTAGCTTGATTAAAACAAGCCACGCAAGCTATGTGTACATAAGTCAAACTTACCTTCTCCAAGGCACTACAGTCTTTATCTTTATGTAAGTAATGGTCCTGCCAGAATATCAGCAGGTCTCTGCAAACATGAAGGAAATAGAATTATCATTTTCTACTGCTTAAACTGTTTAAAAAACTATTACAGTTGATTTAACTAGTGTATTTTTTTCATGTTTTTAATATCTTCCCTCTTTTACTTTATTATGCAATTAATAATTTGCATACAGAACCAGCTACACAAACTTATCAAACATTAATTTCTGAACCATATTAACATTTTTTTTAAAATATTGGTAGATCTACAACAATTATCTTCGTCCAAAATGTAAATCGAATAAGACTCTAATATACCTTTTATCAATCATTAGTTAATCAAAAACTGTGCATTTAAAAAAAAAAAAATTATTTCATTACCATATAATTACCAGAATTGTCTAAGCTCGGGAAAAAAAAATAGTCTTATTAATGAAACAAAAAAATATCACGTACCTGAAATTTTGTAAAATACTTGAGGAGCCATTGACATTTTCCAAAGCATCGTCCTGCTCATCCCTCAAAGCCTGCAGGTACCTGGGCAGCTGGTTCCTCTTGTTGGCAAACATGAGGAAGACCAGCGTGGTGTTCAGGCAGCTGACGTTCTCCTGGGTCAGGTTCTGGACGCTGATGATGTTGATCAGCTTGTACAGGTACTCCAGCTGCCTGGAGAAGTCCCCAATGTAACCCACCAGCTTGCTCTCTCGCTTCTCCACTTTGTCTCCGTCGGCAGAGCCAACAAAATTTAAAGCTGAAACAAGATTTGATTAGTCAACAATTAAAAAATAATAATTTTTTTTTGCACTAAGCCATATACTAACTTAAATCTTACCAGTTATATTAGACAATACAACAAATGGCAATAGCAATTCCACAAGAAAATTTTAAAAATAAAATAAAAATCTCATTTAGAAAAAATTCATTTATTTTTTTCCAAGTGCTGTTCAGAACTTTAACCCATCCACTAAAATAAACTGCATGTAATGGACACCAGCGAGAAAAGTCTCAAAGGTATTTGAGAGGTCCATAAATTAATTTTAAAATCTTGCAAGGCGTAGTTACAATTAATATGGTAATAAAATCCTGTCTGTCTGGTTTTTTCGGACTTTACTAAAGATTGGATGCATTTGATGTTTTTAAAATTTTTTCGGTAACTAAATAAAAATTTAAAAAAAAAAAAAAGCAAAAACAATTTGGTTTTCACGTGTAATGGCGACATAAACAATGGCATCCTGCTATTCGATAGGCCGCCATAAATTTTATTGTACACATTGTAAGCTAAAAATAGAAAAACTAGGTCATGTTTAAATTTGCATTGTTATTTAAAAACTTGGGGGTCGGCGTGGTCAAGTCGGTAAAGCTCATGGTTGCTAAACCGAAAAAGTCTCAAGTTCGAACCCTCGGGCAGATGAGGCTCGTTAGCTGGGGACAGCCACTCTTCTAGGAGAGACAACTCCAAAATTTAACAACTGCTGCCTTGTAGTTTGTTCTTGGTTGGACAAAGGCTATGGAAGCAAATCCAAAAAGAAAAGCAGGCTGAAATCGGAGTCAATGGCCTCAATGGCGCATAACCAGTTGACACGTAACGCTTAATTGTGTTGGAGGCGTGGTCGAGTCGGCAAAAAGCTCATGGTTGATAAATTCGAACAAAGTCGCGAGTTCAAACCCACTGGCAGATAAATCTCGATCCCATTCAACACTAATAATTAAGAACGAAGAAGAAGAAGAAGATTTAAAAACTTGATCTGCAAAGTTTTGTAAACAAAATAACTATAAAGTGGGGCTGTCAGAAATCGATCACGGAGTTCCTTTACAGCCAATCAATGTTTGTCTTACGAAAGTGAAACATCGGGTTATAACTTAGGCTTGATGAAAATACATAGAAATGTAGCCTTAAACTCAACAAATTATTTTCAAGTTCTCTGGATCTGCAACTTGTATAGCATTGATTCTAAAAATATTAAATTTCTGAATTAATTTTAGGCTTCAGTTTTTAATAAAATTTTATCTTTTATTATTTTTATCGTCCTTAATCTAAAAAAGCACATTTTTATTCCATGTCAACAACATTATGGAAGGAATCTTGTCAACTTGCTGGTGTCCATTACGAAATTGAATTAACCAGATGTAATATATAGATATAGCCTTGATAAGATTGAAGCTGCCCACAATATTCATTGATAAAGCATGAACTTTACGTCATCTACATCAATGATCAATCATGTTTTAAAAGTTCTTTGTTTTCAGAAACAAACTGTGATTACCTTTATTCTGACATAAATTTGGATGTGGCAAATTAGGTAAAACTCAGCATATGGAGGGATAGCATTAATAGTTTTATGTCCAGCCACCAACTATAATAGCCCTTTATTTTTTCCGATCCTGATATTTAGCCACCACTTTACCAACTATAAAAGCCCAAAAATTTTTCAGATCCTGATGTCCAGCCAACACTTTACCAACTATAAAAGAACTTAATTTTTTTTTTATCCTGATGCCCAGCCCCATCACTTTACCTATAAAATCCCTACTTCTTCTTCTTCTTCGTTCTTAATTTTTGAATATGTTGGAGGAATTAGACAACAAGTCCAACTTCATGGACAAACCGGACTGTGGTTTCCAGTTTGTCAGGTGTCCCATATAATTTTTCCCTGAGTGGGGTGGGCTGGGGCCAGTGTCTGCCTCTTGCCTGGCTATACAGAGTACAATCCTGGAGTACGTGCTCCGTGTTTTCCGGGGCCTTGCCACAAGGACACATTTCGCTACACCCAACCTTCAGTTTTTTGTGCATGTGTTGATTTAGTCTGTTGTGGCCTGTTCTAAGTCGAAAGATTATGTATTGTTGTTTTCGTGTTAAATTGTAATAGCCGTCGTCTTTAATGTAGTGAGGGTGTGTGACAGACCACATTTGCGTTTGTTTGTGTTTAATTATTCTTTTTATTTCTTTTGGGTGTAGCGAAATTTCCGGTTGTGGTTTCTTTCCCCCAATTTTTGCCAGCTGGTCTGCGATCTCGTTACCCTGGATCTGGCAGTGGCCCGGGATCCACTGCAGCACAATTCTGCTGCAGGTATTTTTTAGCCTCTCTAGTGCTGTCATGAGTGTTTGAATATAGGACTCCGGATTTTGTAGGGATTGCAGGACTGATTTGGCATCTGTAAGAAATACAATCTGACTATTCGGTGATTCAGGGTGTTCTGACAGGAGGTTTGCTGCGTGTTCTAAAGCTTCTTTTTCTGCCCTAAAATTGTCGGATAGGCTGCCTGTGGCTATTGCCTTTTCCAGGCTTTTTCCGCTTGGCCATTCAATAAGGATGCCAGCCCCGCCGTTTTTTGTGGCATCTTCAGCTGAGCCATCTGTGAAAACTCTAATCCAGGTATTGCTGGGGTACTGATCCTTAATGTGTTTATTTGTTATTTTCTTAAGTTCTTCTAGATCATAGTCAGATTTTTTTCCTATGGTGTCTATTGAGTCAATAATGGTTAAGTGACAGTGGGAGATCCAAGGCGGGGAGAGGTTTTGAGTTTAAAATCCCTACATTTTTTCAGATCCTGATGTTGAGCCACCACTTTACCAACTATAAAAGCCCTTAATTTTTTCAGATCCTGATTTCCAGCCAACACTTAACCAACTATAAAAGCCCTTAATTTTTTTCAGATCCCAATTTCCAGCCAACACTTTACAGACTATAAAAGCCCTTAATATTTTCAGATCCTGATGTCCAGCCACCACTTTACCAACTATAAAAGCCCTTACTTTTTTAAGATCCTGATCTCCAGCCACCACTTAACTAAGTATAAAAGCCCTTAATTTTGTCAGATCCTGATGTCCAACGACCACATAACCTACTATAAAAGCCCTTACTTTTTTCCGATCCTTCCGCCCTGAAATGTTCAAGTGACAGGATTAAGCTGCGTATGAACATGTTGGAGTCCACCAGGTTCCTGTTGACCATGTTCACAAACTTCTCAAACTTCTCCTCTGTGGTCAGGATGGAGTCAAAAGCTTTGAAGGCCTCGATGTTGAACTTGATCAGCTCACCGAGTAAATCAAAACTGCTCTGTAGAATTTCCTTGTGGCGGATCTCATTCTCGACTATGTTGCCAGCAACATGCTGAAAAGGTGGGATATTTAAAAATTTGTTACTACAAAAAATAATATATTTAATGTTTTAATTTTTTCACTACAAATTTCAGCTAAACCTGATCTTGGCCGCCAAAGTCTTTAACAGGCTGAAGAGACAAGCAGATGAATGGAGAGAGATGGAATTATAAAAGCCATGAATCTAAGTCAGCTGGTTGAGTTAGAGCTTCCCACAGCATTATGAAAGTACCACACACAACGTAGTTATTCAGCATTGAATTGCTATATAAAATAACCATAACACAAACTGAAATTTTGCACTAGTAGGACTAAGCCAACATTATCCATTTTTCAAATAAAATTTTGATATCAAAATCCAAAAGTAACATCAAATGTTGATGTAATTTTAGGCAACACCAAAAAAAAAGATGCACAAAGTGTACAGAAAAATGTCATTTAGGCAGTCTATACTCACTGCAAGAAGTCCTCGCCTCATTAGAAAAATTTGGTCACAGTATGAAGTGTCTCCTCTTAAATAACTTTCCACTGCTCTTGCCAGCCAAAACCTGAATAAAAATACAAAATGTGTTCATTATCATATCTGGCTATCATATTTTTATACAAAAAATGTATATGCTAGCAAATTTTACATGTCTTAGCTTAAATATGCGGCTGGGCATAGTGATGACCAAATGCAGAGGACACAGAAACAGGTGACCTCTACTTCACTTGCCCCATGGACCATAAAGTTTGAAAAGGGAACCGTACTTTTTTACTTTAGCTTAAAAGTAGATTCACTTTTTAAAAAAAAAGTTCCCTTCACTTGCCCCATAGACCGTCTGGTTTGAAAGGGAAACTTACTTACTTAAAAATAGATAACTCTCTTAACACAAAAAAAATATCACCATTAAATGACAAGAATTCATTTGAAATTTTAAAAATGGTAATTCTACTCAACAAAGAGGTGAACACTCCATCCACATTGTTAAACACTAGACACAGAATACTAAGACCTAGAGATCATTCAAACAGAACAAACCATAACCTGAAGGTCGAAGTTGTTGGCTCTTTCTTCATGACTTCAACTATTTTTGTCAGCAGACCTTTTGACCCCCTACACATAAGTTGTCTGGTGATTAGAAAAATTGTTTATTTAACACGAGGGCTATAAAACATTTAGAAAAAAATAATTGTTAGAAATAATTTTTAATTTCAAATCATTAGCCATGCTGTATACAAACGACTTACTTATTTATAGAGTCAAGATTCTGTAATGTTAGGCCTCCTGCTCGTACTGAAAATGTAAAACAATGAATCACATTAGCCATTATAAAGTATGATAATAAAATGTTTGACAATTTAAAAAAAAAATTATGCATATTATTTAACTATATATAACTATACATGTTCAGATAATATTTTTTAAAAATAATAGAAATCTTTTGAACAAAATAATAATTACTAAAGAATGAAAATAAACAGTCTGATGTAATTTTTAAATATTATAATGATAAACTCACCATTTATTTTTTTGACCTCATTCAGTTCACTTTTTGATAATAATAAATGTTTGTAACTGAAATAAATAAAGAATAATAGAAACAACATATAACGAGAGAACAGTTTATTAAACTGACTTTTTTTCACCAGTCAAAACTAATTTTTTAAATTAAATCATTAGATAAATATTAAAGATGCCTAACTCTAGATGCACTATGTCTATGGTCCCAATGAAATAACTATTATTCAAATTACAGATAGCTTTGAACATTAAATAACTTTTAAAGCTGTACACAAAGTCCTAAGTCTTATAGAATGACAACTGTTTGGACTTTATTTTTCTGTCATGTCATAAAAAGATGCCAAGAAGTGTTAAAGATTATCTTTCTATATAACTTACTCTGAATGATCACAAAAGCTATGTACAAGCCGTAAGAACTGGATTTTCAATGCAACTTCCTGTAACACAAAAAAAAAAATTCTTATTAATCATAAGAGACAAGAATACTGTAATAAAGCTAATAGTTCTGTTAATGTCTTTTGAAATATAACCACAAAAACTAAAGTAATAATTTTATAAGTCTCTCCACCTATAAAAGGTAATTTGTTATTTAAACTTACAGGACTACATTCGCAAGAAGAATTGTGACCTCTTAACCTGTGCCTTGTCTGTGTGCGACTGTTGAAAACAAAAAATATATATATACAAAAGTCAGTATATAAAAGACAAGTACGGCTAAAGAAATGATAATCTAACATTTTCACTAAAAATCCATGCTTTCAAACTATGAAAAGTATGTAATATAATTATTAACCATTGAAATCTTAATAGGTCTAGATTATATTTAGAATAATTATTTCAACTTTTTACGCAGAGTACACAGGAACAATAACAATCTCTACTAACCAATTTCTTGTGAAAGCTGAATAAAAATACTTACACTTGACATTTCCATATAAACTGATCAAACAGGTCACTGAGACCAGATGCTAATTTTAACTCCGCCAGCTTTCGTTGGACCTGTAAAAGCCAAAACTCTGTATTATGTACAAGCTTGTGTGTGTGTGTATATATTCATTTATATATATATATATATATATATATATATATATATATATATATATATATATATATATATATATATATATATATATATATATATACACAGACACACAATCACATGTATCCATCTGTAAAGCAAGAAAGACACAAAAAATGTAACAAACCTTTTTCCTATGTTTCCCCAGTAAAAACAGCCCCAAAACATAGACGACCTCTACCCTTTGAACCAGCTCTTCTGTTATTGTTAGTGCTTGCTGTGCCACCATAGGATGGCCCTCTGCTGTTGGCTCTGATACACCTATCATAAGCCAATGTTTCAATAAGGTGTTGCAATAATCCAAAAAATTTAAAACAAGAAAAATTTAAAACAAAATAAATTAAATACCAACAATATTGAATTTTTGAAAAGTTAATGAACTAAAACATTTTTGATCACGTGCAAAATTGACTTGAAAATGCAGCATAGTAGAAAAAATGTACCTCCAATAAAATCATCAAAGTCATCTGCCGCTTGAGGCTCGTAGACTTCATCGGCCATTTGATTGTCAATCCACTCCATCCAACAGTCCAGCTCACTGGGCATTCCTCTGTAGCGTGGGGTATCTTTAAACAAAAAGAAAGCAACCTTATTAAATGTAGCTAAAATTATCATGTGTTGTATTTATTAAAAGATTACTACAGAACTATTCCCTTCTACAGGGCAGGCAATTGTCTAGGTTACTGTCACCATAGCATACTCTGGGACTCCATGGCAATTGAAACTTTTACTCCACTAAGGGAGGGAAAACATTGGACCTGGCATAATTCAAAGGATTTTAGCTTTGATCATGGCATTAAGCTATATTTGAACATAGAACCCATGTTAAATGATCAAATACTTTAAAGTTTGACCCCTTACCTCCCATTTTTTAAAAAAGGGCTATTGTAAAACAGTAACTGAAGTATTTTTTTCAAAGAGATCTACAATACAAAAATACGTCTTACATTCTTTATTTATAGCAATCTGTACAAGGCGGGGTAACAGATCAGGGATTCCTAACAACAGTTCTGTGGGGGATAAAAAGACAATTAATATGTTAAATTTACATTTTAAATATACTTTTTACTTGTAGAGAAAATAGATGTTAGTACAGCATAACATTTAACTCAATGTGTAGTCACAAAACACTCACCTTGGTTTATATCTCTGAGATTTACAAAACCTTTACTCCTTTTCTGTTTGTTCTGAGCAAATACTAAAAACAAAAGATAACATAATTTAGCAAAACCTCTCAAAGTGTTTAGTTGTTGTTAACTATTCAACACACACATCTAACACAAAAAAATTTTGTTCTATTTATACTACATTCCAAACGCCAAATATACATTTTAGAATGATTTTACGATATAAACACAGGGAAGTCAAATATAACTTTCAGAATGGTTTTAAAATATGATCAAACTAGAATAGTCTGATCCTACCCTTTTTTGCCATTATATAAATGTTGATATAATAGTAAATGATGAAATAATGAATTAAATGTCAAACTTACATGAAGATTTGTTTTCATAAATGTCAAGATCTGAGATGGCAACAGCTAGTATCCTACAAAAATTGGCTAATTGGGAGTCATCTAAACTGGCAACCAAACCCCTTAAATTGGCTGGAAAAAAAAATCATTCAACAGTTCAAAATTTGAGAAAAAAATATCTAAAGAAAACATTTAATAATTAATATAAACATGCAGTCAATAAAATTGCCACTGACAAAATATTGTCACAAGGCCCAGAAACTCAAACTAAAAACCCATCAACACCAAAAATGTATTAACTTACTTATCCTGTGTAAATCTAGCACATCCTTCCTATGCTGTAAAATGTCTTCAATAAGCTGGCAGGCATTGACAAAAGTCTTTTTGGCAGCCAATAAAGTAAAAAGGTAATTCATTGTTTCATCACAGAAGAGTTCTTTTGACAGTGCTTGCTCTGCCACACACTGCAAGGACAGGTATACATTTCAAACTTCATTTTGAATTAAATTAACTGGAGGTACAAGTAAGTGTAAATTTTTAAAAATACAAACAGTTCTGTATAATAAATTCACTATCTAGACCAAATACATACAAAGAGAAAAACAAAACAAAAATTGAATCTTACAACTGCCAAAGACATGTTAGTAAACAAGAGGATCCCACAATGATTGAAGCAGATGAAAGAAAAACAGAGACAAACAATAGCAGATACTGACCCCAGTATTGAGTTTAATAAGGACCTCAAGTACCAGACTTTTTATCCTTAACACTCTCGCTGATTCTGTATAAAGGGCTGTAATATCCATAAAAAAAATATTAGTGGTTACTTTTCAATTTAAAATAATATAATTAATTCAAAGCGTGCCTTCTATTCAAGGTCGTAGGTCGTCTACTTAACAAACCTAATTATACATAAATGCCTAAAACAAATATGGGTTTTAATCATAATCAGTAGTTTATAATTTATTTAAGTCCAAGAAGGATAATAATGAAAACTAACATGGAAATTTGAACAATATATTATGGGTTTTGATCATAATCAGTAGTTACAATCCTTTCATAATTTGTTTTAGTCCAAGAGGGATAATAATGAAAACTAAAATAGGAATATAAAAAGATTTAAACCATCCACGTGTACCTTTTTTGCTTTCTTGTCGACCAACAGCAAGCTTGGGAAAAACTGTACCGGCCATAAGAAAGCGCACCATAATCTAAAAAAACAAAGGACAACATTTTTATTTACATCCTTTTAGAGATGCTGCAATACTTTCAGCTTAGAAATGCGAACAAGAAACATTTATAAAGCTTTACTTCTAAGGTAAACTTTGTACATGGTATAACTGTAGTCTACAAACATAGCACCAAAACACCCAACAGTATTATAACTACAAAGTTTGCACAACATTTGGTACTAACATAATGTTAGGTCAAAATAATGTTTTATTGAGATTTAAACATTAGCTCTAAGCTAAGACAGAAGATTACAGGGTAGAATATAAAAGGTTATTTAAAAACATCAAAACATACCTCAATTCCACCTAAACTAGCAAAGTTTTTTGCAAATTTTTCTTGGTTTTCATCTGTGGCCTGTACTTCAGTGTTGTGTGGTCTTCTGGGCTCAAAACTTATCAGCATACAATGAACTTTCTGGAAAAGTTTGATACAATATTTATCAGTAAATTGGGAAAATAATGAAAATCCAACAGCACACATCTCAAAGAAAATTTGCTGTTCTGTCTTTTAAAAGTAAGCATCAACATATATTTACAATAAATTATTATATGTTCTAAAATGGATTCAAACAATTTTTTTGTTAAATTTAAAAATGAAATAATGAATGTTTAACCCCTTTACCGTGGAAATTTTTTTTTTTTTTTTTTGGAAACTGTAATTTTTTTCTTTTCATTATTTGATTTGTTATGTTGTCCTGACAAAATAAAACATCACGTGATGGCCTATTTTTATCATCCGCTGTTGAATTGGCTGTTAGATTAGCCTCCCTCTACATTGTTATTGATTTCCAATGCTATTTTCGTATCAAGACGAGTTAACTCGGGACGCACGGCACACAGACGACTTTTTTATCTGAAGACGAGTTAACTCGTGATGTACGGTTAAGCCCAAGATTTTATATGACGAGGTAACTCGTGACACACAGTAAAGGGGTGAAAAAATATAAATGTTTGAAAGAAACTGACAATAGTCAAGTTATTTTCAATCCAAAAGTACCTGTTTATATAATCAGTTGTTCACATTTCTTGCATTAAGCAAATATTATCAGACCAATTACTTTGTATAACCAGAATTTTAGTAATGTTTTTTGATCAAGATTAAAAAGATGTAACTTATACCTAAAATAGATTTTATAGATCATTAGTCTGAAAAGGGAATGTTCACTTTTATATGTACAAAAATTTATTAATTAAAAAATTAAAACAGTACAGATGATAAGGTCTCAAAATTAAAAACTAAAAACAACATTATTCAGTTTATTTTTTAGTTGAAGTTAAAACCCTCACCTTGAGTTCAATAAAAGCCTCATCATTGTTAGGGTCGGAGACAGCATACTGCTCACAGCAGTGCTGAACACTGAGTCTGTCCAGCGCAAAGATGATGTCAACAACATCATTACCTTCTGGAATGTCGTTCAAGAGATGACGAGGCAGCTGGAAAAATTTGTAGGGACAATTTAATACAAATATTAGGCTTTTTATCAGTAGGACTATCTGGCGATGTCATATCAATGAAAGATTTGAAAATCTGCAGCTACTTAAAATTAACCAAGTGTAACAAACAACTAATATGCCCCATTATGATAAAATATTTAAAAAACCATTTTGTTTATTTAATCAACCAATAAGTGTTAAAAGGGCCTCAGAGTGTTGAAAGTGAGAAAAGGGCCTCAAATGTAAAATTTTTTTTTTTTACTATACTTGAAAATAGTACTCAAATATTATAGATGACCTAACAGATGAGAATACTAGATTATAGACAAAGCAAGGTACTTCTATAGTCTCCAGCATTTTACCAAGGGATTTTTCAATGTCTTTTGCATGGAAGGGAAGGTTGTAAAAGTTACATTTGCTACAGTCACATGCAGCATTATAAATTATTCATACGGCCACATCAGAAAAGAATTTAAAAAAAAAAAAAGAAACTTAAGCTTTTACTTGATTACACATCAAGCTGTTTTTTTCTGTAACATCAGCATTGTTCCCTTCCCCATGTCCAGTGCCATGTGAATCAGTTTCACAAAAATAAATGGTGTTATGCTGCTACTAAATAACTTTGGCGTAGTGTTATTGTAAGGGCAAGTGTATTGAAATTAGTAAGTAATAGGTTAATTAATTAGTTTAGAGGCCTTTAAATTATAATGACAATTATCACAATATCAGAAGCTTAGAAGAGGTCGGCGTGGTCGAGTCGGTAAAGCTCATGGTTGCTAAACCGAAAAGTCTCGAGTTCGAACCCTCGGGCAGATGTGGCTCGTCAGCTGGGGACAGCCACTCTTCTAGGTTAGACAACTCCAAAATCAAACAACTGCTGCCTTGTAGTTTGTTCTTGGTTGGACAAAGGCTATGGAAGCAAATCCAAAAAGAAAAGCAGGCTAAAATCGGAGTCAATGGCCTCAATGGCGCAAAACCAGTTGACACGTAATCCTTAATTGTAATGGAAGCATGGTCGAGTCGGCAAAGCTCATGGTTGATAAATTGGAAAAAAAAAAAGTCTTGAGTTCAAACCCTCTGGCAGATAAGGCTCGATCCTTCCCAACACTAAAAATTAAGAATAAAGAAGAAGAAGAAAAAGAAGCTTAGAGAAATATTTAGGGATAGGAAGTATCGTCATGACTACCTTTAAAAATTAGGCTTAGCCTAATATTAATTGTCCATTGCTTTTTCTTTTAAGTAAATTTTTAAAAAATTAAATTGAGAAAAAAATCATATTAGATCTAATATTATAATATAGGCCTATAAGACGATAAATTCTAAGTAGGTCTAACTAACTTGAGCTAAGACTCAAAGTAAACATTAGATGATTAGGTCTTCTCCAGTATTGGCAGTATTCAGTATTCTGATCATTTGTATTGGCCTGACTAATAACAGGCTAGTAGGGCTTTTTCAAATATGTTTATTTTAAAAACAAATATGCTTAGCCTATATTTTGAAATTATGTAGAATCTAGTACAAAAATCAGTATATTAATGATAGGCCTAACCCAGACAAATGAAGCAAAACCAAAACAATTAAAAATAGTGCTGATTCAGGAAATTAAACTTTGGCCTCAACATTCAACAAACTTAACAATTTACACTTTAGCCTAACAAACAAAAGAAAACTAGAGTAACATTTTATCTGTAATGTATTCGAATTTGATTTCCAAAGGTTTCTAGTTTTAAACTAACAAAAAATACTACTGCGTCGTGGTATTTGTTTATTTAATAATGCCATATTGACATTCTTCACAAGAAAAGAACGATGTTTGTCGATGACCGAGTTTGCAACTGGCTTACACCACAGTGAAACTAAACTTACCTGTGTTAATCTGGAAGGCCCTTTGCCGGTATATTGTATTTCTGATTGGAGACGGAAAGCTGAACGACCCGGCACACATCTCCATCCTTTTCGGGGCAACATAATAAAATTGTTTTTGGGCTACATGTATTAGAAGCCAAGATTTTCCTTTATCATAAACTCAATGTTTTTAACATTGTTTCCCAGATTTCCGCTGAAGCAGCCAAATAGTAAATCTACCGCCACTTTTAAAGAGCTCACTAAGTTTTTTCCCCTATAATGGCCTATATGCTCGGGTAACGATAGATGTAAAAATAAAATGGATAACAAAACATAGGCCTTGTTTTAATTTCTAGTTTCTTTGCTCATATCTAGATCTAACTATTGGCGTAAATTTTAATCGAAGTAGCATTGGTCCTATACTAAAACTATAATAATCTAAATCTAGATTATAGGTCTGTAAATCTTCGAAAGGCATAATGGGTCGTCTATTCATGACGTCACACGCCTAGGGGGAGGGAGTTTGTAATTTTTTGTGACAATCAAATAAACTTTCGTCTAAAAATGACTCCACGCATTTTGGCCGAACTACCCTCTCCCCAATCGACGCACATCAATGGCGTTTCAATACGCGGATGGGGGCACAGCCCGCACCGGGTGACACAAACTCGAAAAAGGGCAAAATAAATTAATGTCAAAACAGTCTAGGCCAAACAATGACGTTATTTTAACCAACACCCCCCCCCCCCTAGGGCTTTTCAGAAAGAAATGGAATTTATATAGAATTTATATAGAAAATATATACTTTTATCAGTGTGTCCCCCTCCCTCCCCGGAAAATTTAGTCGTCCCCCCCCCCCCCCCCGAAAATATCAAATGCAAGTGGAGGGCGAGAGATAGAACAGTGTAGGATTAGATGCGATAGAGTAGTTCAGTGATCAGTCAATCGTCGCTTAACCCCTGGGGTTGATGGGGCATCTCAGTCGATTTTCTCATAATTTTGTTCTCATTTTTTTTTGAGGTCATCCATAAATGACGTCACGCTTTTTTGACGATTTTTACCTCCCCCCCCTCCCCTCCGTCACAAAAGCCAGACCCCCCTAAAATGACGTCACACCTCAGTCTACAACCCCCATCAAAATTGCAGTTGAATTTTCCTTAAAACATCGATATTTTTCCACAATTTTGTCTGAACTCTGTCAAAATAGAGTATTTTAATCAATTCCTATTACAATTTATTAAAACAGTTTTCTAAAACGCGAAATAACGTCTAAAATTCGTTTTCTAACATTATTTTTTTTTATAATCCAAAAGTGTGACGTCTCACCATATGAACCCCCTCCCCCTCATCACACATCGTCACAAAATTAAGGACCCCCCTCGCCCAACGAGTGTGACGTCATTTATTGACGACCTCTTGGGTCTTCTGCTGATTTTTTTAGTAATTCTTCAATCCAATTTCGTCTTTGCCTTTTCCGTCTTCTCCCTCCTAGCACATTGACCTGCATTACTGTTTTTTGATAGGCCGTTGGCTTATGTGACAAGCCCTTACCTTTGATTATGTTTGGTAGGTTCTCTAAGGGACCAACCCATTGTTTATCCTTTCACGAGCCTCTTCATTTGTAATGTGATCTCTGTATGAGATCTTTTTGAGATCTGTATTCAGCTTTTGTGCCAAGAGAAGTCTTTTTGTCACGCCAAAATGCTTCTTAACTTACTGGCTGCAGTTCTTTGTACAGTTCTTTGATGGCACCCAGGTACTTGATGGGGTGAACATTATCCAAACTTTGGCCATTTTCCTTATAGTTGCCTTATACCGCATGGCTTGTTGGTCATGACCTTCGTCTTCTCGGTATTAATTTCCATGCTATATGCTGTTGATGTTCTGTCCAATCGTGACTACTAATTCTATCAACCCAGATTCATTGCAAGATATAGCATGTATGCTACCAACAATGTGTAGGTTGGTAGTAAACTGTCCACCTGTGCTGACTGAGCCGACATGTTCTTCATAGGCCGTAGATTTAAATGCAAAGAAAGATACTTATCCTGACCGGGTCCCTCTCTTCCCTCCACCCCAATCGGCATTTCCTCCACGATTGTCTCACCTTACCATTATAGTGACCAACTATGATTACATTTGAGACTTTTCTTTTCAAAGTCAAGCTAAGTCCATATTTGTCAAATGTGTTTTCGATTTGTTTAAACCTTAATCACATGTTGGTGTAATTGAAAGGTGTCTTTTATTGTCGGGGTATTGACACAATGTAATTTGAACTCCCCCCTCCCCACCCGTGCCATGAAAAATGACTGGCGATGCCACTGTTGTTGACTATGTGCGAGAAGGCAGAGATCCTCTGAGAAATCCAAATCTTCGAGTTGTGTCAGTTGTATTCAGATCGTTTGTAACCGGAAGTGTGACGTAACAACAGAGGCGTAGCGAAAGGGGGTGGGGGGGGGGGGTACATATGTCCCGGGCGTCGACCCAAGGGGCTCCAAAATGAGTTGAAAAAATTTTTAAAGCTCATTTAGCTGCAGATTTGCAGATTTGAAATATAAACATACAAAATATATGGGGGAAAGGGGGGGGGGCGGCGCTAAATTGAAAGTTTGTCCCCGGGTACATATGTCCCGGGCGTCGACCCAAGGGGCTCCAAAATGAGTTGAAAAAATTTTTAAAGCTCATTTAGCTGCAGATTTGCAGATTTGAAATATAAACATACAAAATATATGGGGGAAAGGGGGGGGGGGGGGCGCGGCGCCAAATTGAAAGTTTGTCCTCGGGTGCTGGAGGGGTCGCTACGCTTTTGCGTAACAATCTCCATTTCCTGGAATGGCGATAACATGAGTACCGATTCAGTTAAGTGAACTAAATTTGATCTATAATCGGAGCATTCTCATATACGCTTTAAAAAAAACAACTTTTGAGCCATTTCCGGTAACAGCAGAAGTGGTACTTTGTAAAATGTTATAAACAAGGTTTTTTCAGACATTTTTCCAGGGAGGGGGCAATTAAAACTTCCACGGAGGCGTACTTAAAACCGGGGGAGTGGGGGTTGGGGGAGGGGCGTGCTACGCGATGTCCCCTTTCCCGGAGAGATGACAGAAAGAATTTCAAATCTCCATAGACCAACCAGTTCCGGCGCTAGGTTATTTAGGGCCCTAAGCTAAACGTATTAAAACTCAACTTTAACACAATATAATTTAACAAATAAATATGTATAAGTAAATACTACACTACATGTGACCTTTTAATTTATTTGAAAGTTACAAGTTGACTATTACAAAATCAAAATTCTATTAAAAGATTTATAATAATAAATAATTATCTTATTATATGACCCTGTCTATAGTTTATATAATGTATATTCAGTTATTAACAGTGGCGTGGCGAGGTCGGCTGTCACCCGGTGCGGCGTAGCGACCCTTCCCGGTGACATACTTTCAAATTTTCGAATTGCATCCCCCTCAAGTTTTCGATTAGCACCCCCCCCCCTCAAACTTTCGATTTGCACCCCCCTCAAGTTTTCGATTTGCACCCCCCTCAAACTTTCGATTTGCACCCCCCTCAAGTTTTTCTCTATATATTTTGCTTTTCTTTGCCTTGATGTCACCCCCCCCCCCTAAATGGTGTCACCCGGTGCGGTCCGCACCCCTGCCCCCCCCCCTCGCTACGCCTCTGGTTATTAAGTATATTAGCTACTTTTTATAAAGTCGATTACATTTTTGCACCGTCCCTAGTTCGCCTTAATGTTAGCGCCAATTATATTATTTCTTCAACAATCCTCTAGATACAGACCACGACACATTTACTTTGGTAGGTTTACTAAGAAAAGTTTTTTAAAATAATTATGAGAAAAATATAATTTTTATGAGAAAACTTATTTATCTTTTTTTAGATACTAAGGCAATATTTGATACTGTATATTAAAAAAAAAACCCAACCCAGACGTTTGTGCCTACTTCAGTTGTGTATCACATAATTTACTCATTCTAAATATAGGGTTTTATTGACGACCATATTGGCAGGAGACATTTTGTCAAATGCCGTAGGTTTTTGTTTCAGCCCTTTAGGGGTCATCCATAAATGACGTCACGCCTTTTTTGACGATTTTTACCCCCCCCCCTCCCCTCCGTCACACGTCGTCACAAAAAGCCAGACCCCCTCGCTAAAATGACGTTACACCTCAGCCTACAACCCCCCTCAAAATTGCAGTTGAATTTTTTTAAACAGCTATATTTTTCCTAAATCTTATCTGAACTCTGTCAAAATAGAGTATTTTAATCAATGGTTATCACAATTTATTAAAACAGTTTTCTAAAACGCAAAATAACGTCTAAAATTCGTTTTCTAACATTGCTTTTTTTATAATGCAAAAGTGTGACGTCGCACCATCTGAACCCCCCCCCCCCTCCCCCTCATCACACACCGTCTCAAAATTACGGACCCCATCTCCCCCCTATGAGTGTGACGTCATTTATGGACGACCCCTTAGGTCGAGTAGACGAGACCGTTTATTTGGGGCCGTTTTAACTTTTATCTGCATCGACACCTCCGCGCAAGTGTATTTTACAACCGAAACTGTTTAATTTATCTATTACAACATACAATCTAGATTTGTGGCATCCAAACAAAAATATTATTTAAATTTAATGTCGCACTTGAAAGTTTAAATATTTGTTTAAAAAATAAAACAATTATTAAGCGACCTATTTTAATCAATAATTGACCTAGAATTTTTTTGCGCATGCGTCAACAAAAAAGTTGAGAGTAGAGACAAAAAAGAACCAGATTTAGCATCAGTTATTTAAAAAAATAATCCTAGTTTTTTTTTTAAATTAAAGGCATACTTAGAACACGCATATGCTATTTACACACCTCTATATTGATCAACTTGCTCATTTGCAATTATTATATTCTTACTTATGCTAGTTAATATTCTCTATAATATAAAAAAAATCTGAAACTAACATGACATTGATTAGGCCTATATATCGAACTGTACATTTATTTACTCAATGCATATGTTTAATGTAATTATTTTAATTGCATTCAACACAATTTAGAATAACTTAATGGGTGGTATACTCTTTCTCCGATTTCTAAATTCTTGACGACTTTGATTTAGGCCTAGATTTAGGCATGGGATAAATTACTAGCCCATCCGTTTTTACAAAACCTACCATCTATACTATAATTACTCTTATTGAAAATAATTTTAATACTATTGCCTTAATTCGATAATTTTTTCATTAACATAACCCTATCCCCTTTCGTAAACTTTATTTTTTTTTTAAGTTGTTTATTTTAATCGTGTTCTTCATTCTTCTGTCATAATAATTTATAAACAAATGTGTGAACTCATTCTGAATTAATGCAACATTTTAAAAAACAGTTAGATCTAGATCTAGATTTATATTAAAACAGTTTTATCATTCAATAATAAAATTAATCAGTAGAATCTGGATTTCTAACTCTAACTTAATCTAAGTAAAAAAAAAATGCAAATAGCGTGTTTTTTCGGAGCTAAACAAAGATATTGCTTCCGGTTTAATTGTACTGTGGAAAATATTGGAAATTTACATCACCGGTTTGTTTTTGTTTTGAAATTAAATTTAGGCTTGTGTAGCATGCACTTTTTATCTAGATCTAGACTCGATCTAAGAAGTGAGAAGTTGCTTAATGTTTAATAAGGTAATACTTTTAGATCTAGATCCTTATACTAGATCTAGATGTAAATAAGGTAATCTATCGTTTTGGGAGTTTTGGGTACGTAAAATGACTAAAATCGCCCGCGATTTGTAATGTGAAAAACAGGTGACTCCTTAAATTTTAATAATTATTTCACATTTTGAGGAGGATTTATGTATTAAAAAATTCAAAAATGTTTCCTTGATTCATTTATGTACCTGTTTTTAAACAATTGAATTAAAACTTTTCCGTAATAAATGAAGACTAGCGATGTTTCCAACAGATGCAACCATGCTCATTTACTATAGCAGCCATCTTGTCTAAGTTTTATTTTTATAAGCTTTTAGCGCCAGATTCAGGGGGAAGCCACTCTATTTTACAAATGGCTGCTGTTTATATAGCAAATCTTGCTCTCAGACACTGCTGTTTAAAGTTAATTTCTGGCCTATATCGATATATTATATTTAGCCATTGATTTAGGTTTATTATTCATTTATCATTTATCTATAATATTTGACACAAAAGTATGACAATATACTTCTATTAAAGCCTTGACAATGAGGTAACGTTTTCGTACATAAATAGCCGCGGGCGATTTTACGTACCCAAAACGATAGATTACCGTAAATAATAACTACTAGTATATAGTATATAGTATATAGATCTAGCTAGATTAATTCTAGAATCTAGATCTAGATCTAGATAATGATATTTTTCTAGATCTAGATCCAGAATCTAGCTACAAGTCACAAGTACAACAGTAACAGCAGGGCTAACAACTCCAACACAACACTACAGATTTTTAAAGTTTTATTTTACTATTTTACACTTTTAGTTTTTTACACATATTGATCCATCTAGAATCTAGAGATCTAGTATCTAGAAACTAGAAACAGTTGGCAAGTTAAAAACTCACAACTGTCTGTAATGTAATGCAAGTGTTACTGCTGGTACTTTTACTTTTGAGTTTGAGCTTGGAAAAGGATCTTCTACTTGATGATAATTTTTATTAATTTATTATTATTAATGACCCCTACAATCTAAGTTGACTAAGTTGTTTTATGAAAAATAATAAAACTGTAGGCCTAAATATGTTTTTTATTTCCATATTTTCAGGTGAATAATCGATTTCATTAAATAATTCAACCTAAAATGGTCAGCTAGCTCTTATTATTAACTATGAATGGATATAGATATAAATATAAGGCACAAATCAAAACAAAATGCTTGCTGTGAAATGGACAAAGGTGACAGTCCACACAATGTTGACCATGAAATGACCAACTGTCCACCACCAATTCAACATGGAGCAGAGCTGGATGATTTAGTGACTGGGCAGAATTTAGAGTTAGAAACTGTTGAAAATGCCACTTCTTCTGATAATGGGAGTGACACCAGTGATTTCCAAGAAATAAACATGTGTGATCAGATAGATGACGAAGGGCCTGCAGATCTTGAAAGTAACGACAGCAGCACTAATGATGCAAGTGATTTTGAAAAGAATAAAGATGTAGATTTAGAAGAGAACATTGACTTTCCTGAAATGGATGAGTCCAATATTGAGGAACAGCCAGAACAAAAGTCTGCTACAGTGGATAAGACTGCCTCAGTTGGCACAAGTATCTTGAGACACAGACTTGACCCCGAACCTCCTCGAGATGATGACAAAACTAAAGCAGCAGCTGAAGGTTTGTATGCATAAAAAATTTCTTTATTAGAGCAAAAATGTCTTTTGTGGATTCATGTGCAGCAACCAAATTGGGAGTTTTCATGTAGTAGGAAAAGTACCCTTTCATACCTTATGGTCCATACGGCAGGTAAAATAGAGTTCCAGTGACCTTGGCATATGAAGCGATAGTATGGTCAGCACTATGCTCAGCTGCCTTAACTTTTTAGGTACTCATCAGAGCTGTGTAAACTCGGGGGCATCTTAAGGACTAGAGCCCATGATTTGAACTTGCGACTTTCAGTTTAGTGATCAAGTACTCTACAGTTGTGACCACGATGTCCCTTGAGATTCTTATAATGCACTTTAAATTATTGTGGTTAATGTTATTAATGAAAAAATTCAATTTAAAGACTGAAATATATTCAAATGTGCATTAATACATAATATAAAAAAAACAACTGTTTATATTTGATTATGATGTTGCATGAAATAAAAAAAAGTATTACTCTTTAGTAAATCATTTGCCTTAATGAAATATACATGGTAGAACCTTCTTTGGTAAGAATGTTTCATTACAAGAACATTATAGCAAATAACATTTTGATTTGATTAATTTAGTTACAATTTTTTTTACTCATGTTCTAAATAAATTATTTTTTTAATTCTAGATGCAGGTCCAAGTGGGTCTAGTGAGAAAAGAAAGATAGCAATGATAAAGAAAGCTTTGGATTCTAATCCAGTGGATATAGAAAGTTTACGGAAACTGGCTATAAGCCCAGGTGGTCTTATCAATAAGAGTATGCGACAGAGGGCTTGGCCGTTATTGATAAATGTCAATACCAACAACATAACTCCCAAACCTTGTAAGTGTTTTTGTTCTCAATGGTTAAACTTTTAAAGTTTTTATAACTTTTATCTACTTCATAGTAATTAATTCAGATTGTTGATGAAATGCAGAATTTATTACAAGAATTTTCAAACACATTACAGTAATATTGCAAAATTATGTTTAAAACCTTTTAATACATTTAAAAAAAAATAGAAATTATTTAAAATTTTGGAATGCAGGTTAAGATGAAATAAAATTATAATCATTCTTCCATTATATATATTTTAAGGAAGTTTTTTTCATAAAAATTTACTTAGTAATGAATCTACCAAAAGTATTTTTTATATTTGTGTTAATAATAGTTGTAATAATTTTGTATTACTAGTAAAGATTATCGCAACAACTAAATCTAAACTTTCTGTCATTTAATTTAGCTCATGAGGAGATGGTAGCTTTATCACAAACTTACAATCAGGTTGTGATGGACGTAAATAGGTCTAGTAGCAGATTTCCTCCAGGTAAAGCTGACTGTTACATGACTTAAGAGAAAACATATATTTTTATTGTTCTCTACTAATTTAATTTAACTTAATTGCATATTTGTTATGTTAATGAGTGTTCTTAACTTTTTGTAACAAGGCATTGACGACCATGTACGTATGTCAATGAAAGACAAACTGGTGGATTTGATTATGCGGGTTATGTTGAAGCGCAAAGACTTAAAGTATTACCAGGTTGGTAAAAATGTTTCAACTGGCTTATGAAATTTTGTTGTCTGCAGTTAAGGTATTTTGAATTAAGTTTGTACGGTAAAAAAAATAAAATATGGTTAAAATTCCTACCATTTTCCCCCTAACTGTATTTTTACAGGGTTTCCACGATGTCTGTATAACATTCCTGTTGTGTATGGATGAAGATCTTGCCTTTGCTATGGTGGATAAACTAGCCATGGGCTACATGAGGTGTGTGAGCATAAGGGCTTGCTCATTGATTATCATGCGTTTTTCTAGTATTGTTTTGTTTATGATGCCTCCAACTTTTTGTACAATGTAAAGACCTTCAGCACCAATCAACTCCTTTAATTAACATATAGTTTTTTTTTCCGACCAGAGAGTATCTAGATGAAACAATGGAGAGAACATCTTTATTATTGAACTATGTGTACCCTCTAGTCAACAAGTGCAATCCTGAGCTGTGTCAGCACATGGAAAGGTTAGTTAAATTTCTTTCTCCATGTTGATTCAGATTCGGCTGTTGTTGCCTTGATTTCTTAATTAACTACTTGATTTGTGGGAGAATGAGAATAATTAATCTGTGTATGCAGCTATAGGCCAATTATATGAAAGGATTGTTGGGTTTTTTTAAAAGTAAAATAATGAGTAGTTTATTTTCTTTTAGTTTATTCTTTTTCTTGTTGATTCTAATATGTTTTTATCAGTGGTTGATTCTCATGTCATTGCCTCTCAAATAGTTTTCCCATATTAATTCTCATGTAAATTATAATTTGGTTTACTCAGTAATTCATTCTCACATAGCTAATTTTCATGTGGTTAATTTTTATGTTGTTTATTCTCATGTACTATGTAGCTTATTCAACCTGTTTCAGAAGCGGACTGGGCACAATATTTGCCCTGTCCTGGGTGATCACATGGTTTAGTCATGTGCTGGGGGACATCAGGAGAATTCTGAGAGTCTTTGATTTCTTCCTGGCATCCCATCGGCTGATGCCGGTTTACTTATCGGCTGCTGTAAGTTCGCTGTTTATGTTTTGTACAATATTTTTTAAAAAAAATTACTCTTTCTAAATTTTATGTTGCGTACAATTTAAAAAAAAAATTTCTCTTTCTAAATTTTAGATTACATTTTTTTTGTATCAACTTAGAAAAAAAGCTTCTGAAAATATAATACTCTTCCAGATCAAATGGTCCATATGGCTAATGAAATAGAGTTTTTGTGTTTCTTTGTCCTTGGCATATGAAGAAGTAGTGTAGTTCACTATAAAAAATAATTACCTTTTTGAAACTTAATAGGGCAGATGAATTAGAGTTCACCTGTTTATGTAACCAAAGCACATTGTTAGGTCAGTTCTATGACCAGTTGCTTTTACTTACTCTAACTTTGATTCATGTACTCATAAGAATTGGTTGACTCAAGGACATCTTTAAGCCAAACCTAGGAACTGAACATGAGACTTTTGGGTTAGTGGTACTGGCCGATCATACCATTCCAAAAAATCACAAACTACTTTGTGTTTTATTTGTTTTACATTGCCAATTTATAATTTATTTTAACTCTCCACCCACACCCCCCCCCCCCCCCCCCAGTTTGTTCTACACAGAGAACGAGACATCTATGAAGCTGGTGAGGAAATGGGGTACATCCACAAATGTCTTTCAACTATCCCACCTGACCTCCCCCTTGAGTCTCTATTGGAACGGGCCGGTGACCTTTACCTTCAGTATCCCCCTACAGAAATCAGCAGTGATCCCATGCTTATAAGAATGAACAGGTGAGATATCTGACAGGAACATTAAACAGCTGAAAACTTTGGGGGGTTTAGACTAGGGCTTGATTATGCTCTATTTAGATTGCACTTATTTTAATTTGATGGTGTAATATTTTTTTTATCATATTTCTTTACTTTTAATAATTATTGTATTTTAGTAAATGTTTATCTAAAATAAATGAAGGGCTCAGTTTTAAAAAAAATGTTATCCAAAATGACAGATATGACAAATTGTATTGAAAAATCAGTATTGTAAAAAAATATTAGGATTATTCGATGGAGCACAAACAGGAAAACATGCAATATTTCACTTTTTTATTTGATATTTTTTCTTGGAAATGCAAAAACTGGATATCACATATTTATCAATATCATATCAATATTGATATTTATCAATTTTATTTTAGCACTTCAAACAGTCCTTATGGTAAAAAGTAAAAGACAATATTTAACTGGCAAATTGAACTACGGTTAAACATGGTCTTACAAATATGACAGTTTGTGTAACCAGTATTTGTAGAATTCTAGTGCAATTCAGTTTCCCAAATCTTTTCTATTCCCAGACAAGTATTTGAACACTTCAACCGTATTGACAGTCGGAATGCATCTCGAAGGCTTGCACAGCAGGCCACTGACACACGTAATAGTCTGTTTGTCAAGGTGACAATGTGGACAGTGACGGCAGTAGTTGGAGTGGCAGCAGCAGTGCTATATCATGCATACAGTGGTCATGAGTGGGACTTGTGGAACTCTTTATCCTAACATTACTTAGTTTGGTATGTCTGACTAAAAAAATCTGGAGTATGTTGTGAATAGGGTGAAAGGGCAAAGTTAGCTTTGGTGTACAAAGTTATGTAAAGTAGGAATAAATGAAACAATAGTTATTTAAATACTATATTTTAAAAGTTGTATGTGGAAGAATTGTAACTTCTATCAAATATAAACTTATTTTTAGGAGTATTTTCACTTATAAATGAGAATGTTACTTGAATGTTTGGACACACATTGCCAGCCATATTGTTGCATTTCTTAGATTTAACTTTTTATATTTATTTAAAAAGAAACACCACAATGTAAAAAATGTCATATTGTTTGTTCATTTATTCAAAAGTGATATACTTGACAATGTTTTTTTCTTGTTCTTTATTGAACTTCGTAGTTCACAGCACAAGTCTGTTTTATTCAATGATGAGCAAGCATTGCAACTTATTTCTTTAGTAAGAAATATTTGTACAAATTGGCTTTTCTTCATTTTTTTCTTCATTTTTATGTTTTTTTAGAGTGCTTTCTGTGTTAGCTAGCTACTTTGATTGTCTATTGTATACTTTATCAAAATATTTCTCTAACTTCTGTCATATTATTTGTCTTTACATTTTTTAAAACCACTTGTATCGATTAATGAGGAGTTTTGTATTTTATCTATTCCATATTTTATTTAGATTCTTTAGTCTTTTCATGGTAAAATTGAAATGTTTTCATTCAAAGTATTTAGTAGATTTAGTTGATGTACCGTGGGCATTCAGTTCAGTAAATCCTGTTTTACTCTATGGAGGCGAGATAAAAAGATCATTGACTTTGTTGGCGAAACACCATCATCAACGAGCAGTGGGCAACGCAACTGCCAGCTGAAGAAGAGATCCTTCAGAGAAAATGGAAGTGGATTGGACTCACACTCAGATAACCTGTATCCAGCATAGGAAGAAAGGCCCTCTCTTGGAATCCACAGTGGCAGACCAAACATGTGGAATCAATGGAATAAATGCCATGGAAAGCTCTTGGCTACCTGTATCTCAGGAGGGGCAACAGATGAACCTATCCTAACCTCATACTTAGTTTCTCTTTTTAGCTTGAAAATAATTGTCTGTTAATAAATCTTTCAATTGAACATTTCAAAAGAGGTTTTTATTAATTTTATAACTATAGAATGTTAGCTGAATTTCATCCATTTCCATTATTTCTTTTGTGTTAAAACCATATTCTGGGTTTTACAAACTTATATTTTAAAAAACTTTGATTCTATGTCGGGTGTGAAACTGTATAGACAATTGAAAGTATTATTGCAGTTGATTTATACTGGTCAAAAAATCAGCCTATGATGTGTAAGCTGAAAAAGGCTTCAGTCTTGCACTGTTCACATTCGTTTATTTTTCCAGATTTTCTCATTAAGAAAAATATTTTTTTTGCCGTGTTTCTTTGTTAAGAAATAATTGTAAATATTATTTTACCATATCATAATTATTATATATATATAATTCTAGCTAGTTTTTTTTTCGTCTTCAGCTATGCTTCATACATTTTCTTTAACATGAATAAATAATTAACTGGAAAAGTTGTTAATTAATTTGTTAAATATTGATAAATTGCTGGTGAACTAAACTACAAAATTGTGATATATTGTTTAATGATCTTCTTATGCAACTTTATTTTCTGGTGCACATTTCTTTTACAAGATTTTTTTTGGGGGGTTCTTTCTCATTAGAGTCATTTGGTTATAGTGTCTAACCCACCCTCCAATTGTAAAGTACACAATTTTATCATTGTCTTTATAATAGTGTCATGTTTAGTTATTTTAAATAAGTTAACTTAAACTTTTTTTTCCCCTCAAAAAAATATGTTTGAATTGTGAAATAAGTTTTAGTTGTATTTATGTTCAACTCTTTTCCACACAATGCCAGTTGTAGTTTTTGTGTGCAATATTTGCTATTTCAATATCAGATTAAAATGGCACCATACTGATGTTTTCTGACTATGTCATCATGTATTTTTACAGTGATAAGAATAAACTTGTACATATGCTGTAAAACTGACTTCAAATATGTTGCAGTATTTTGTTTTCAAATCAAATGGGAAATTTAAAAAAAGCTTAACTAAAATGAAACAATGAAAAATTGTAAGTACATAAAAATATTAATTTAAATAAACATTTTTGATCTGTACTAGCTCACAGTGTTTCCCAATTTTTATAATAATTGTTTTCTCTCTTAGTTGATTTTACTTTTATTAAATGCCAAAATATTTTTTTACCAACTTTTGCCAGTTTTTGTTTTTAATTTTTCTCTCAGCTTTTAGTAACAGCTGTGACCAGTGCTGTGTACAATGGTCATACGATACCTAGATGTAAAAAATATCTAGAAATTTATTCAATTGCAGAGGTCAGCGTGGTAGGCTCAGTAAAGCTCATGATTGCCTAACCGAAAAATCCTGAAGTCGATCCCCTGGGCTCGATAGCTGTGGACAGCAACACATCTAGTTGAGAAAACTTCAAAATCAAATAACTGTTACTTTGAAGTTAATTTCTTGGATGGAAGCAAACCCAAAAAGAAAAGCAGGCAGAAATAAGAGTCGATGTAAACGCCGCATAGCTTAATTATGTTGGAGGTAATTATGTCCTCCATTACAATGAAGAATCAAGTAGAAAGATTTGACTGTAATTACAAATAGTTGTCTAATAACACTAACAATGAGGTAATTTAAAAATTCATACTAGTTAATACTGGGCAAGTTCAGTAGCCCTTAACAACTAGGTTCTCATTGATAAAGAAAATATTTACCAATGAAAGAAAATGACTTACTAATTGGTGTGATGATGTAACATGGTGTGATGATGTAACATGTTATGATGATATTAGCCACAACATCTAATGATGTGTTCGTGCACATTGCAACATCTGATGATGTGTAAGTCACACATCCCAATATCTGATGTGTAAATGCACACAACTCAACATCTGATGATGTGTTAGTCACACATCCCAACTTCTGATGATGTGTAAGTCACACATCCCAACATCTGATGTGTAAACCACACATCCCAATATCTGTGATATACCAGCCACACAATGCAACATCTAAGTGACACAATCCAACATTTAAGGATGATAATGTATCAATCACACAACCCAACATTTAATTATAAGCAATCTAACATTGATGATGTGTCAGTCACATAACCCAACATTTGATGATGTGTCACATAACCCAACATTTGATGTTGTGTCAGTCACATAACCCAACATTTGATGATGTGTCACATAACCCAACATTTGATGTTGTGTCAGTCACATAACCCAACATTTGATGATGTGTCAGTCACATAACCCAACATTTGATGATGTGTCAGTCACATAACCCAACATTTGATGATGTGTCAGTCACATAACCCAACATTTGATGATGTGTCAGTCACATAACCCTCATTTGATGATGTGTCAGTTTCATAACACAACATTTGATGATGTGTCAATCTCATAATCCAACATTTGATGATGTAGCATTTTGACTTAAACAACATATAACAAATGTATAACAAACAATGTTAAAAACTTTAAATTACCATTTATTGTATAATTTTTAAACACAAGTTGAAAGCACATGATCTTCAGAGGACTAGAGGCAATGTCTGTATAATTCCAGAGCGTTTGCAGGTTTTGTTTACAGCTATGATAGACAAGCAAATAGTTGCATAGCTGTAAGGTATAAGTGTCTTCCTTTAGTAACTGGTGCAGAATGTCTTGTTTATTGCATTGACAGACAGGGAGATAACTGCAGAGCTCAAATACTGGCTGCCGTCATCCAACTATGAAGAGAAATCATTGCATAGATGAAAATAAAAAATTTAAAATAAAAAAAATAATACAAGCAAGAATACCATCTATTATATGTGCATGTGTATCTGGTATATTTGTACAAGTATACAACACACAATCAAAGATTATTTATGCAAACTATGTCATACTTTACAACTTGGTAAACTGGTCTTACGACTTAAATTAAACCAAAATTATAGCTATGTTGTACTTAAATGTACTAGCAAAACTGTGCATGACCGATTATCTTATCTTACCTTGCCAAACTCCAAAACTATTTTTCCAATCTCATCACTGTATTGAATTATTTTGTAATTATCTCTGTCAAACTCAAACTGGTCTAAAAAAAATTGAATGCACAAAAAAAAAAGAAAATTTAAAAATTAAACTAACATTAGGATTTAGTTGCTATATTTTTAGACTTAATTTTTCCTAGGTAAAGTTTTATGACACAAAACTCAATTTTTCCAAGTTAAGACACAAAAAGTATTTTGGGAGTAGTCAAACAAAGTTAACTGTTAGCCAGACCTTCCTCATACTTTGTTGTAAAATTAAAGGAGATTTCCTCCAACACAATTAAGTATACGTGTCAACTGGTTATGCACCACTTAGGCCACTGACTCTGATTTCAGCCTGCTTTTCTTTTTGGATTTGCTTCCACAGCCTTTTTCCAACCAAGAACATAACTACAAGCCAGCAATTGTTTGATTTTGGAGTTGTCTCTCCTAGAAGAGTGGCTGACCCCAGCTAACGAGCCTCATCTGCCCGAGGGTTTGAACTCGAGACTTTTCAGTTTAGCAACTTTTAATTTTACCAACTGAACCACGCCGAGCCTTAACCAGGGGTCTGAGCTAGGTAGTTTTTAATTTAGCAAACATACTCACTCCCACCTAACCAAGCCACAACAATAACAAAAAATCTGGCAATGCAGTCTTACTTGTCTGAGAAGTCTGCTCAACTGAGACAGCAGACGCTACAGTCCAAAAAGGCTCGCCCCTTTCATCCAGTAATGTTATGTCTAAAATCCCAACATCCTAGAACAAAATATAAGGATGCATGGATAGGTATATGGGACAGTGTGGCCTACGTGGTAGAGCACTAGGCTGCTGTCCAAAGGTCTCAAGTTGGAATCCAGGTCCAAGTCATTAGAATTTCCCCGAGGCCACCCAGCTCTGATGGGTATGTAACTCATGTTAAGGAAAGTAAAAGCCGCTGGCAAAGTGCTGACCACGCCTTCCCTTCATTTGCAGGGGTCAAGAAACGTATGAACTCTATTTCCTCTGCCTAATGGATTGCTAAGTCTAAAGAGGATTCTTTATGTATGGTTATAAAAAGTTGTACAATTTAATCTAAGAAAAATTTGCCATATTCAAAACTTACATTTACTTTTTATTCAAAAATATCAGATTCAATATATCTAAAAGCAAAACTAAAATAAGTAGACCTGAATTGTGGACACCATTTATATTTCAGGGAACAGAGTAAATACTTTTTATTGCTAGTGCAAGAAACTAATTAAGTTTAACAAAGTAACAACTAAATCTGTAGAGACTCCAGAGCATCATTTAAAACCAATGGTTTTATCAATAGATCTAAATGGTTATACAGTCAAATTTTAATGTTGATTTGTAATATTTTCTGCTAAGTTCTATAACTTCAGAGTTGCTTCAGTTTATAAAAAGTTTTAACTTACCTTGATAATGCCTTTGAATAAATTTGTTTTCCATGGTAAAGCAATATCTTTGATGCATGCTACATGAGACATTTTATCATCCTTATGGACTGGATTGAACGAAGCAAAGCCATTCTCTGAATAATAAAAAATATATCTTTCTGTGAGTCTTAATAGCAAAAACAGTGGAAAAAAGATACATTTCTTATTAATTAATAAGAATGTTTAAGGAATATAAAATTATATTTAATGCAAATAGAGGTACAGTTTTTTTTAACCAAAAACAATTTATTACAAAAATTCTATTTAAAAAAGACTCTTTTAAATAAATTTAAAATATTTGACTTAAAAAAAATTGTTGTTAAAAACACATTATTAAAAATATAGTATAGGTGTGTAAACATTATGTGAGAGATTCTGACCCAACATCTGTTTAGTTGTGTGTAGGTGTGTAAACTTGCAGTCTAGGAGCTTCTGTCTCATATTCCTGACCTGTAGAACACATGTGTAACCATGGAGACCTGAAAAAAAAACCTACTGATAAATCTTTTTATTTTATTTATAAAGTTGTAGATACTAGATCTAGAACCTTTTTAAACCTGTTTGCTTCAAGTGAATTAATATAATTTTAATGTTTCTGTTCTTCAATGGACACAATGATTAGATAACTGATAATATTTTAATAAATATTTTTAAAAGTTGTTCAGGTACAATTAAATTACATGTAGCAAGAAACTAGATTAAAAAAACTGTTTTTATTTTTACTCTTAAGATATCAACATAGTTTGATTAATGTGTAGGCCTAATTCCTGTTAGCAAAGTACAGCTCTCCTAACTATAAAAATGATGAATGTATATAAACAAATTACCATAATGAGGATCAATGTCATCCATGATCCCTTCAGATTCTTGAGGTGTCCAAACTCTAAAAATATAATTACCAAAATCTCATAAGTCAAAATAACATGAAAATTTGAACTACAAAAATGAATTCAAATATTTTCCAGGTGTAAAAAAAATAATGTAGGCCTACCAATGGATGACAATCTAACAAAAAATATGTTATAGAAAGATAGACAAAATGCTTATAGTTTTTATTACTACAATTCAGAATACAAACTAAGATTTGTTCACAGGCACAAAGTAAAAGCATCACAGCATCCTTAGCATTACTATACAGATTCATATCTTTATTTAAGAGCAACATTGAAAATCATAACTGTAAAAGTTATTGGGCTTTTAAAGGGTTAACTTATTTCTTCAGCTTACTTATAGTATTTGATGTATTAGACAGTTTTAGTATATTTATGTTTAGAATAATCAGTTGGTCTTAAAATTTAAAAAAATCGTTTAGTTAACTACTTTTATTTAAAAACATTTAAGACCATATTTAAATATTTGACAACTACCAGGTAAATAATGGAAAACAAAGTTTAAAAGTAGCCACCTGTCTGGAGCCCCACAAAGGCATTTAGAGATGAGTCTGTAGTAGTGTAGTGAAGCAGTTAGAAATGCTATCTCCCCATCAGCCTGCAAGTAGGAGATAACTTGTGGGCTTAGGGGAAATAAATCAGTTAAGTTTTAGATTAGGTATGAGCTGATAATTCATGACATAGGTTTTAAATTAAGTATGAGCCGATAACTCATGGGCTTATGGGAATAATTCAGTTAAAGGTATGGATTACAACAAATGTCCAGATTTGTTTTATTGCATGACACTGTTATTTGGCAGATAGTTTTATTACTGTATTTAATATACAATTATGTAAAACAAAGTTGATTCAGCTTAGTTAGCTTAAAAACAGCTTCTATTGTGACTGAAACATTAAAACTACTACACCAATTTGTTTGTATATATACTCTTTTCAAACATAAAAAAAATACTTTGAAATCACTGCATCGAGATCCATACACATATACAATGTGTTTACATCAAATTTGTAAATCTATAAAAAAACTGAACCATTCAACAAAACAAAATTACCTGATAAATCCCAATGATCAGACCTTTCAACAGCTCAAACAACTTGATGTGTGAATCTGAGCCTAAAGGCTTCATCTCATTGAGAGTTTTTCTCAGATTGCCTCTGTATTCCAGCAGTAACGATTTCTGTACTATTCTGATTAAAAAAAAAACATTTAAAAATTCCCCTTTTAAAACAAATATAATTCATTTTTGAAAAGAGCATGAGTAGTCTTCATATAACAAGAAATTTGTTACATTTTAATATTAATTGTCTTTATTAAGGGGAAAAGATGGCGGAGAGGTAACACACTTAAAGCTAACCCAAAAGTGGATAGTTCAGTCATTGAACTTTGGGGTCATCCATAAATGAGTCACGCTTTTTTTGACGATATTTACCTCCTCCCTCCCTTCCGTCACACAAAGCCAGACCCGACCCCCCTAAAATGATGTCACACCTCAGCCTACAACCCCCCTCAAAATTGCAGTTGAATTTTTTTTTAACGGCTATATTTTTCCAAAATCTTGTCTGAACTCTGTCAAAATAGAGTATTTTAATCAATTGTTATTACAATTTATTAAAACAATTTTCTAAAATGCAAAATAACGTCTAAAATTCGTTTTCTAACCTTGCTTTTCTATAATGCAAAAGTGTGACATCGCACCATCTGAACCCCCCTTCCCTCTCCCCCTCATTACACACCGTCACAAAATTACGGACCACCCCTCCCCCTTATGAGTGTGACGTCATTTATGGACAACCCCTTTTCCCCTTCAGCCCCCCCCCATCTCCACCAGCTCAGATGGGTTCATAGCTTGTGTGGGTAAAAACTAAAGATGGTAAAGTGCTAAACACACAATACCTTCAGGCCAAAGAAACAGATGAGCTCTACTTCACCTGCATTAAGAGTTGTCAGTTCTGAGACAGCACTTTGCTGTATGATGTATATTAACCCTTTTAAACCTTACGGTCCAAGGGGCAGGTGAAGTAGAGTTCACCTGTTTCAGGATGGTATGGTCAGAACCATCCCCAGCCGCCTTTTACTTTCCATAATGTGAGAACAGAGCTGGATGGACTCAGGGGTGTCAGACTGACTCAATCTCATGACTTACAGGTTTAACAGTCCAATGCCGTTCAACCACACCATCCCATATGTTATATAAATTTGATTTTAAAAAAATATAGCTACCCATCTTTTGCAGGTTTTGACGGCCCATAGAACATCAGAGGGGAGCAGGCGTGAACTTTGACCCCTCGGATTTCATTCAAGTCAGGGAAGGTCAGGTCATACCACCTGATACTGGTGGACGTCGTTTGCCAGAAGATCTCGTTCTGCTTGATGGACCTGGTCAAGCCTGATGTGTCTAAGATACTCAGCTCAAACTGGACCCCGACTTTACTGAAGACAAATAAGTAAAGAAATTATTTTAAAATATGAGAGGCATATTCATATTTTAGAGTTTATGACTACTTAAGTCTCGAGTTTGAATTTAAGGTTTGTGTAAGTAGAAATTGAAAGTTTGTCGCTACACCTCTGAGACTTAGTTCACTTAAGAAACTTTCAATCTAAAAAGCAAAGGTCTAAAAGTTACCCTAAAGTAAGCTCAGGTCTCTGTCGGAGACCAGTGTAGGTGTCTGGCTTATTCCATTTCTTCAGGTAAATGTTATCTCTTTTTATTTTACACCTGAAAATCAACATAAGCAACAAATAAATAGTAGTGTATACTTTTAAAGATAAAATTTAATTTTAGTTTTTAGGTTATATTTCAGCATTCATGCTTTATACAACTTTTGCCATTGTTTGTTAGATAGTTCAGGTAAATTTCTTAGAACAACCTATGCAGGTAAAATCAGTCATTTATCTCCATAGTAAAAACAGTCCTGAAATACATGGCATGTATAAAAGCAAAATTTTCTGTTGCGAAGTGAAAGTATATTGAATTGGCTTAAAAAGGCCTTTATTAATAAAAAAGAGTAGTAACAATATGTGAGGTTTTGCACATTTTCCAGAAGAAAACACAAACATTTTGATACCAAAATATAAAATATGCCTGATTAGTTGTACCTTTTAAGGCACAGATTTTTCCAGCATGACGAGTCAAGTTCTTGTATTGCCATTTTATCTTCTTTTTCTTTGCTGGTTGGTCCAACAAATCTGGCATAGTAGTGTTTCCATAGCAAACTAGGAAGAAAATAGAGACTTGGAATAATAGAACCAACAGGGCAACTATTCATTATAATTTTACATTAAGAATTTAAAATTTTAACTTCTAACCTACTTATGTTACATATTTGCTTTATAATGTGTCAAGTTTCCTTTTCGATGGCTTAAAATCTGATGAACTCCATTGATTTTACTCACTTGTCTCCTGCAACTTTGTACCATCTCTTACAAACTTGGGCAGCACTGATTAGGTCACTGACTTGAAGTTTCCAAAAAATCTGGGCAATTATTTCATCTGGAAGACTTAAAAATAAAATTAACATATACGTTAATGATGTAATTGTATTTTTTTTAGTTAAACAAGTTAATAAAAAGTCTAGTGACAATTTAAGCGCAATTTCCTTATGTTATCCATAAATTTTTTATGACCAAACGAAAGGATATTTTTGAAAACTTTCTTCGGCAATATTGGTCTAAATTATGGCAGGAATGGATTGGTAAATGTTTCAAGTCGCTAAGTGGTCTAGTTGCCGAGATATGGGCCAAAAACTGCATTTTTTTCGAGGTTTTTTGGATTTTCCAGGAAATCCAGGAAGGAATTCCGGGAACTTTTTTGGCCCATAATCATCCTCGGAACTTGCTTAACATATTTGATTTTGGAACTAGTCCTCGATATTGCTTCGTTGAGGAGGAGATACGACTTAAAGCTGCGGACACACATCCATCCATCCAGAAATAACGAATTAATAATCGCAATCGTCAGTATGGAAATTGCGCTAAAAACCTTATTTGGCATAATGATTTATAAAATGAAATAATCCATTATAGGCTCTAATCTCCTTAGGAAGATTTTTAAAATATTATAAAATTCACATTGATAAAGTAATTTAAAACTGTTTTTAAAAATGTCAGTTCTTATTCTAAAGATTTCTACCATGGTCTTATAATGGATACTTTAAGTTGCTTTTATTCTATCAAAAGTTTATGTTATAATATTAGCAAAAGTTTATAGTTTATAAGATTTCTAGCTAATCAATGAGAAACAGTGAATTCTTATTTGCACTTTAAGAATGTTACCTAATGTTCTAAAAATGACATTCAACATTATTTTATTAACTTATTGCTTTCAATAAAAGTTTAAATAGTAATTACTATTAAATTACAAACCTTTCAAATGAAGCTTTTGTTCTCACTCCCCCACCTCTTGGGATGTGAGGCAAGGTCAACCTGACTTTTGTACTTTTCCCTTTTAAACTGGATGATAACTTTGGTGTGTTTTTTGAAGGTAAATTGTTACTGTTGGCAGATATTTTTTCAACTTGCCCATGACTTTGGGTAGTACTAGAAGATTCTGGTCTAGAATACTCTGGTGGTCTTAAAATTAAAATTATTAAAATTTTGAATTTTGTGACAATGTGTGATGAGGTGGAGGTTAGGTTCAGAAAGCATAACCTCAAAATTTTGCACTTTAAAAAAGTAATTTAAGTTACTGAATTTTAGCCGATACTTTGCATTTTAGAAAAGAGTTTTTGTAAACTATAAAATAAACTGATTATTATATTCAATATTAATGAACCTTACAATCCAAAAAAGCAAGATGAAAAAATAAAACACACATATTAGGCCTATGTAGATTTAATTATATTATAATTATAATTAGTAGTTTGGAGCAGATGAAGTAGATTTCATCTGTTTTGATGACCTCTGCATAAGTGTGGTCAGCACTATGACCTGCCATCTTAGTTTCTTTAACGTGAGTTAGGTACCCATCAGAGTTAGGTACACTCAGGGACGTCCTACAGATTCAAGTTTGAGATCCGGACTTAACTTAAGACTTTATTTTAACTTTTAAAAAGCAAAGGAAAGTTCAGGTTAGTTATTAATTTAATAATTTAATGTCAACTACGTTCTGTTTAACCAATATTTCTCATGAACAAAATAGTCTTGCTTGATTCAAGCTTTTTTTTTACTTTTTAATGGGTTTTACATTAGTGTGTGATCGCAAATATTGTTGTAAAGCAGAGCGATGTCGCTGCTGAGCACTAGTAGTATTGGTGGCCATATTGTAAATAAATCCGTCGTCAAGTTCTGATTAGCCGGGTGATTTGATTCCGCTGAATTCGTAATGTGTTGTTTTTTTTTTCAAAATAATAGTCTACATATTTAATAGAATTAACACTTTTGTTGTAAAACAATGTATCAAAAGCATATTATATTATAGAGATATAATTTAAAGTTAGTTGAGTTCACGAATTTTAAAACTCTTAAAATTTCGGGCAAACGTAGAAAAAACTAGAATCCACCATCCGGCTTGATTTTAGACAAGCTTAAAAATAGGACTATTCGATCTAGAACTATAAACCGTTGAGGATTGAAGCCTTAGACATAAAATCCGCGACTATTAATTAAAACACAGTCATTTAATTTAAAAAAAACGTAATTTCCAAACAAAATAATTTGAAGAAAAGGAAATTTTATTTATTGGTTATAATATATAATACGCATCCAATTTCACACGGGGATGTGGCTCAGTGGTAGAGCGTTCGCTTTGCATGTGAAAGGCCCCGGGTTCGATCCCCGGCATCTCCATTTTTTAATTTTTATTTCTTTGTTCTGTGAATTATAAAATATTTAAAAGCTACATCTTTTTTTTAACTCATAGAAGCACTTGACTTTGTTTTAAATGTAGCGGATGCAGACCTTCACTTCTCCAAGACACCAGAAACTGGACAAAAAATAAATTGGCTAAAATGTGTTCATAGAGTTTTTCTAAAACTAAAATAGGGCAACAGAGTGGCACCTGGAGACCGCTTACAAATTCTGACAGCACATTCAAACAGTCTTTGCTACAATGATGTACAAGTTTTATTGTAGAAGGACAGACTTTACCACATAAATTAATGTTTACTATTTATTATTCATATATGAAGGCATTTTTATTAGCTCTTTAATTTTAATATGAAACCTAAGAAAACCTCTATGTACTAGTTAGTTGATCATTTGTACATGCAATTTTGAATTAAAAAAAAATATGTCCTAAATTAAGGACTTGTCGCAGCCTGATTTTAAGAGCTTCAATTATTGTTAAAGAGCATTTTGATTTTAATGGCCTTCAAACACTTATTCAAGACAAAATTTGCCATTTAAGTCATTTAATTTCTTTAACATGAAAAATAACAAAACTGGTAAATAAAAAACCAACATGATGTGAGAGAAAGGAAAAATTTATTTTCAAATGGACTCATTCGAATAGCCCCTAGCAGGCTAATAATTTAATTAACAAAATATTTGATCTAACTGGTCCCAATAGAAAAAAAATGTATTTAGTAAACCATTCAATCGCAATTAAGTTCAAATACTCTCAAACCAAGCGTACACAGGACACAAACGGAGAACAAAGATGGTTTCTGTCAACTTGTATTCAAGACCAGGAAACTAAAACTGTAGTGTTAAGATAAAAATTAATTGCTTGTTTAATCATGTCTAAGAAATACAAACATTTATTTGAGCCATTTAGAGAGCAGGAAAAATGTTGATTGTTATAAAAAATATATATATACTGTGGTGATTTTGGAAAGATTTAATAAAAAATATCAGGTTTGCTGAAGGTTGATTGGTCGGGTTCGACACAAAGGAGCTTTTTTAAATAGTACAGAAATTGTGAATGCTCAGAATATAAAGGTAAGTGTGTATAACGAACAATTTAACTTATCAGTGCAGATGTTGCCTCACCCTCATATGTTTATTAATTTAATAATTGTAATAATATTTTAAAATTTGATGTATTGCTCTCCTTATACTGACACAGATTAGATTGTAAAATTTGCTAATGTATTTGCTGTTTGCGTTTAATAATTCTTTGTCTACAAATTTATCAGTAAAGAGTGTAAAGGCATATGTGAGCTCAATGGCAGAAAAGTGAAGAGACTAATTGTTGGATTTTGCACTGATGAACTCTTATTTGCTATGTTAAGGATTCTGAACTCCATAAAAGATATCTAGCAACCAGATAATATTCAAATGGGTATTTAAACACTGAACATTCATTTAAGAAAAAAGTGTTATATAGCTAATTAAAATATCCAGCTTTAGAATTTTAAAAATACAAGCTTAGCAAGCAAAACTACACTTTTCTTAGAACTTATAGACCTCGGACTTAAACAGAAAAATAAAATCTGAACTGGTACTGATTGATTTTAAGAAGATAAATTTTAACCATGCCCCAGTATCCGATAATAAACATATCAAAGTATCACATAGATGTATCAAAACAACATTTAACAAAGTTATTTACAGATTAAGTGAACTCCATTTAGGAAAAACACATGAAGACATTAAAATCTACAACAACAAAAACAAAAAACATTCCTATTTTATTTTAATTTACAAAGAATAGAGAGCTCATTGCAGGGGAACTAATACATTTGTTTGTCATCCATGTTTTACTCTGTCTACTGCTATATAGTAAGCCTTCTTGTCTTGTACAGAATGCCATCCTATAGGCCCAACTTCACAATCCGCACACATTAAGTACTTTATGTTGTTCACCTAAAAACAAGAAGAACACATTTTATAAAAACAAAAATTTTAGATTTTAAAATTCATCTTTTTATAATGAAACACACAAAAAATGTAACAAAACACATAAATTTAGCTATTCTACATAGTCTGACTTTTCTATCTCCAGTTCCAAAAATCAGATTAAACTTGATCATGAAACCAAACTAATGAGTTAGAAATTTCATTAGTTGTAGCTTGCTTATACTACTAGTGTTACACTAAATTAAGAAAACTTTCGGCCTAAAAAAAATTATAATAATTCAAACCTCAGTCTTGATTTTTTTTCTCAATGTTGAGAGGGTGATTTTACTACTACAACTTACTGTTTTTGAAAATCCGACATTGTCAAATGTCAGCATGTCCGCCACATGCCAGAAATCAACCAATGTTACACCTTCAATAGGAGCACACTCATTCTTTTGATACATATTTGGAAGGAAAAACTGAAAAAAAAAAATCAAATAAATTAATTAATTGAACTAGGCCCTAATTAAAAAAGAACAACTATAAATTGCATATACTTGGAAAATTGAAATTTCCACAATATTTTTCAAAATTGGGAATGAAATTTGATTTCTTAAAAATTAGGAAAACCGCTAGAAATTGGAAAAGTTGACTTTTGAGTTAATAACTTAGTAGTTTTAGATCTAGATTCTAGTATTTATTTTATATTCAAGCTACCAGTTACTCTGCTTGGACCTAGAATCTAGATCTAGAATCTTATAATCTAGGTTGTTAGCAGTTTCTTTTACAGTAGTGAGTAGTGATAGTGGAGTGAGTAGTGACAGTGGACTGAGTGGAGTGAGTAGTGACAGTGGAGTGAGTAGAGTAGGTACTTCGCAAACTCATTTTAATTTAGGTTACCTCTTTTTGGACGAGAGTTGCTTGATGAGGAGATAAAACCAAACTTGGACATCTTTGACAATATATACTTGTTTTATTTTTGCCTCCTTCAGTAATTTTTTCAAGCTTCGATGAATTTGTAGCTGCTGAACTAGCTGGTTGACTGGGCTCGCTGTTCGAACTTTTCGATGACTCTTGTTCAGCCATTTATTGGCAATCAAACAGTTCAGTACAAAAGTATCAACAATTTATGAAATTTTAAGGGATGCAGTTTTAAATTGTATAAAATATAGTCTATCTAACAGTTGATTTATCAAGAATAGTTAATTATGTTGGAACGGATTCAGAAATATTCCTAGCTCCAAGACGCCATGTTTTTTAAAAATATTCATGGCGTTGAAGGAATAAAATAGCTTTTAGTTTGTTTGTATCATTTAGGTTAAGAAGAGAAATACAATTTGGATTATTTAGTTTGCTTTCATTCTCAAGAATTTAGATGATCATTTTTAATTGCCGTATTGTTCCCCTAGCCCTATCAAAGTTCTACATTTGAAGTGCATTATTTTCAGTATTTTCCAGTAAGATTTTGCCTCAGTTAATAATCTATTTCGCATTTCAAATGTGAAACAAATTGTAATGTTTTCTTGTGAAAGAAGTTAAACATCATTTTAAAAAATTAATACAAAATTTAAAACATCTTTTTTAAAAATTATCGCTTCTTTTGCAACATTTTTTTTAATGATCGGTATATTAGAAATGCACGTAAATCTTAAAAAAAAAAAAACAACAACATTCGATACATGATAAACTATGTGATATGACAATAATGACATCCATATATACTGTCTCCACTCACGGAAAGTTTGTAATCAAGATTTCAAATTAGCATTACTATATGTAACCTATGCAGCTTAACTAGGAGCGATATTGGAGAGGCATACATAAATGACGTCAAGGTTTTTTTGGAAGTTCTTTGCCCCTCCGCATCGTCACAATAAGCCAGAACCCCCCCCCCCCCCCTCAGCCTCCAGATTGCAGTTTCAGATTTAAAAAAAAAATCGATATATTGAGTAGGCATATATTAATTTGTTAGTTTCTATTAAGATAAACAAAAACAATCTTTAAAAAACGCGGTTCAAAAAATGTCCATAATCTAGTAACGTTAATTTTAATTTTTTTTTAAAGAGTGACATAACATTTTCTCAACAGGGGCTTGTCCTTACATGACATCATGCTCCATGGGGGAGGGTGAGGGGTCGTATTTTTTGTGACGAGGGGTGATGAGGGGGGGGGGGTAGGAGAGTGGTCGTGGGGTTCACGTTTGCCTTACAAAAAAAGTAATGTTAGAAACAGAATTTTAGCCGTTATTTCGTGTTATAGAAATTAATTGTAGTTTTGTAGGAGGGGGGGGGGGGGGGGTGTTGAAGGCTGACGTGCGACGTCATTTTACGGGAAAACGGATGAATACTTAAAATTTTACTTAAAACAACACAAGAACAGTAATAGTATAGATCTCACAGAGCAGGCGGTAGCCACAGGTTTCATCAGTTCTTATATTATTAGTACGTTATGAGTTGATGATTGTCATTAACCAAGAGGCGCAGCTAAGGGGGAAGGTGGGGGGGGGGGGGGGGGGAGCAGCTAACGGGCTGGAATAAATCACAAAGAGGTTATTCTACTTCTACGCGCATTACTATAATATTCGCAGTCAAATGAAATATAAAGACTGCTATTTGGCTCTACAGACCGATTGAACTGTTCTACATCGATTGTGTGACACACCCATTAGCAGCGGGCAGAGTTTCTTCCAGGCATCTCTTCGAAGTAAGTCTACCGCACCCCTCAGGAACGAAATGAAATTTATATAGAAAACATATACTTTTATCAGTGTCCCCCCCCCCCCCCGGAAAATGTTAACCGCCCCCGAAGATATCAAGTGCTCAAGCGCCTTTTTCGCTAAATCGAATAAATGCGTGCACAGGGGGGGAGGCGCAAATTTGATAGTTTGCCCCGCGCGTTGTAATGGGTCGCTATACCCTCTGTACTAACCTAGAATACGCCCTGGTGTGCTGTTACTCATTTCACAATGATATCTATCTACGCTTGTAAGACACGACCCCCCCCCCTCTCAGTTACCCCCGGTCCCTGATATTCTCTTGCCCGTTCCCTTTCAAGATGAAATAACCTGGTTTTAACTGTCAAAAAAGCTGCAGCAGGACATTACCCCCCCCCCCCCCCCGTCCCTCATTGATTATCAGTTGACCCTAAACCATATCAGATCAATGGTTTCAACTAAATTTACTCGAGGTATTTATGTATATGTTCGTTAAGTGCATCTTTACGTGCTAATCATCTTGATTCATACTAACGTTCTTGAAGTAGTGGGAGGATGTGTTTATTTTTCTGCACAATAATTCAGCTAATTTCTTCCGCCCCCACCCCATATAACGGCATATAGTTTTTAAACACAGTCAACATAAAAATATATTCATCTGTACAAGATGCATTCGAAAGATGTTGTAGATCAGCTGATATGCAATTGACCTGCTAATTCACTCCCTACTTACTACTAGTTTTGGCAAAGATAAGGAAAACCTTACTTTAAGGGACACATTTTACGTGAACAATTAGCTTACGTCTCTAGACTGATCTTAAAACCCAAAGATAATAGTCCTTCCATATAAAAGATGTATATTGAATGAGTCTGACAAATGCTACACTTGTAAATTATGATCAATCCGTGGGTGGTTGACGGTCCATATCCAGCAGGAATAACGCAAACATCAGATGTACAGATTTTAGAGTGGCTTGATATTGTTACGAAATAAACCGAGAGTGATCTCCCCTAAACTTTCTCGAATATTCTTATATAAAACAACAGAGGATGGGAACTCGGGATATAGTTATGATTTTTAATCCATTTTAAATACTTAAACTTTTTAAAATGGAATAGAATCTCATACAAAAAAAAAAGAATTGCGCACCAAGCGAATAAAGATGTGTATAATAGTGCGGAATAATATTAGTACTTTATAAATTCACATGCGTTTTTTGAGAAATCGGAAATAGCGTAAATTAGTACTTCCGGTCAACGGAAATTACTCAAAATTTAAAAGAAGGTAGAGAATTAGATCTTTTACTTACATGTGAAATTTCATTTATCTATCTGAAATAGTACTCAAGTTATAGGCTTTTGAAAAATTCAAAGTAGAAAAAGTACCACTTCTGGTTATCGGAAATCGCTCAAAAGTTGATACGGATCTACGGTTTTGATAAAATACTTATATATTAAATTTCATCAACCTAGCTGTAACGGTACTCAAGTTATCGTGTTTACACACACACACACACAGACACACACACACAGACACACAGACATACGACAAGATTGCAAAATTATGTTTTTCAGCATCAGTGAGGTGTAAAACGTCGAGATTTGTAAAAATTTCGATTTTTTTTGCACGATTACAAGACTTTCTCTATACTTCGTATATACGAGAAAGTAAAAACGCCTTAATTTAGCATGATGCTGAGCTAGGCGCCGAGAAGTAGGCGACGAGTGTTGAAATTCAGGCTACTTAACGTGGCAATTTTAAATTCGTAGTTTATGTTAGGTTAGTCTGTTTGCCGTTTTTATTTTATATCATAAAACTTGTTTTAAAAAGGCGCCACAATCCTAAAATTGATCGTAGGAAGAACGGCCGCTCCCCTGCTCCCCCCCCCCCCCTGCATACGCTACTGATTTCAAGGCTCTTTTTTGCTGGATTGTATATTTTTTAACACGTTTTTATTAACTCAGCTTCGCGTGGATGTGTTTGTTGTTAAAATTGACATCGAAAATTAGCCCACTTCTGATTGCTCTATAGATCTGAAATTTGGCATGCAGGTTACTTTCGCCTAACAATTTCAGATGCAATCATAAAAACTAGCAATTAGAGACCGTAATTAGCTTAATTTAATTACGCCCAAAGGACCATAAAATTGAGGACATGATTTCTAAAGATACCGACAAGACTGGAGGCTTGTTGACACAGTTACTTCGGCCCCAATCGATGTGAGCGCGCTGGCCGTGATCGTATAGTGGTTAGTACTTCGCGTTGTGGCCGCGACAACCCAGGTTCGAATCCTGGTCGCTCAAGATTTTTTTAGTCCGTGTATTTATAAACACTTAGTCAATTCATACTTAATCAAGTCATTAGATAAAGTAGAAAATAAACTATATAAAAAACTTTTTTAAAAACCACGTTTTTCATGTGTAGCAACGGACTAAAAAGGAGAAAATAAAATACTTAAAAAAAAACTTTTTAAAAAACCACGTTTTTCTTGTGGACTAAAAAGTAGAAAATAACTATTTACATACATTTGATGACAAAAAACGTGGGTCGGGCAGATGGGTCGGGAAATTTGATGGTGAACGTACCCACGTTTTTTGTCATCAAATGTATGTAAATAGTTATTTTCTACTTTTTAGTCCACAAGAAAAACGTGGTTTTTTAAAAAGTTTTTTTTAAGTATTTTATTATGTCATGGATTCATCTTTCATTCGGGATATCTGTGTAAATTTCTAATGCTACACGCAGTTCTATGCTATACTACCCTGTTACTCAAGTAGAATTAATATTATTACCTGATAACCACCTGACCGATACACACACACACACATATATATATATATGTGTGTGTGTGTGTGTGTGTTTGTGTGTGTGTGTGTTAGGGTAGTTACATTAATGAATATTCACTGATTTGACTTAAAGCAATAATAATACTGAAGGCTGTGTTTATCCTAATTTGGATTGAGGTAATTTAATTCTCATGTTGGCTCATAGTAGTTTTGTTGATTCTACTTTCTGCATCGGTGTCAACATCCGCAGCATCAAATAAAGAGGGACGACTTCCTTTTTTTCCCACTACTGATGCTATGGGGATCTCCACAGTAAGGAGCGAATTCTAACACCTCAAATAATTCGTACAACGCGATCAAGTTGCAAGTCCAGTGGTGCTGCACGATTTCATGCATATTTAGTGCAAACTGATACTTGTTATTTTCTTAAGGAGTCAGATTTAGCATTGGGGTATTACGTGACAGGACATGACGTCATTCAATTATTTTTTTTTACTGCTGGTTAATTTTAAAAAATAAACGTATAGGGATAAAAAATTAATTTGATTAATTGTTAAAAAAAAGTAAAACTAAATTGCGAATGTTTAAAAGAGCGATGAATCTATATTTTAAGTTCGGCGGCTTCTGTAAATAACGTAGCGTTTTTGTGTGTGATTGTACAAAGTTTCTCAATGTCTGCCGTAAGAGCCAGTTGAACGCCCATCCATATACAGCCTCGCCCTATTTTTGTCGCGTCACAGAAAAAGGACACCCTCTATATCACAGGAGAAATGTGGTATGTGACTGGTGTGTGAGGTGTGTGTGGGGTGTGTGTGTGGGTGAGTGTATGTGTGTGTGTGAAGAGGTGTGTGTGTGGGATGTGTGTGTGGGTGGGTGTATGTGGGTGTGTGGGAAGAGGTGTGTGTGTGAGATGTGTGTGTGGGTGTGTGTATGTGGGTGTGTGTGAAGAGGTGTGTGTGTG